CCCCGGCTGACAACCAATGTGCATCCCCGACGGCAAATGAGACGAGCTCTTCCAAGTAATAGTAGTAGAAGTAGTAGTAGTAGTAGTAGTAGTAGCAGCAGCAGTAGTAGTAGTAGCAGTAGTAGTAGTAGTAGTAGTAGTAGTAGTAGTAGTAGTAGTAGTAGTAGTAGTAGTAGTAGTAGTAGTAGTAGTAGTAGTAGTAGTAGTAGTAGTAGTAGTAGTAGTGTAGTAATAGTGGTACCTGCAGCGTGTGGTTCGCCCAGAACCACTTTGTTGCACTTCCTGGTCTCTATCCAGCCTTTGGCTTAACTTGCCCCATTGAGGGTTCAGATTTAGGGTTTAACTTGCCCTCAAACCCCGCCGTTTGGGTTTTGCCCTCAAACCCTCACTTTAGGGGCCAGGTTTTGGGCTTCACTTGCCTCATTTCGGGTTCAGGTTTAGGGGCCCTCGGGTTTAGGGTTTGGTTTTGGGGTTTAACTTGCATGCCCAGAAGCCCCTACTTCAGGCTTCAAGTTCACGGTTCTGGTTTAGGGGTTGGTGTTTAGTCTGGGGGTTTAACTTGCCCTCAAACCCTCACTTTAGGGTTCAGTTCAAGGTTCAGGTTTAGGGTCCGCTCAAACCCTCACTTTGGGGAGCTTCACTTGTGACCTTCTAACTTCTGGGCTGAGCCAAGGGTAGTCCCAAAAAATGCACATAGTGACCCATCGAAAAGACGCACCCTGCGCAGTCGCGCGCGTCGGCGAAGCTTGCCGCAGACCGTTCGATATCAGGCGCGGGAGCTAAAACGGTGGCAGGCGCGAGGCAATCTGAGCGCGTGAGGCCCCCGGAAGAGAGTTTCCGGGCAAGCCACAAGTGCTGGCCGTAGTAGTAGTAGTAGTAGTAGTAGTAGTAGTAGTAGTAGTAGTAGTAGTAGTAGTAGCAGTCATCGCCGTCGTCGTGGTCGTCCGTTGTGTGTGTGTGTGTTTTTGTTTGTTTACTTGCTTCGCTTGCTTGCTTGGTTGATTGGTCGGTCGGTCGTTTGATTTGAGTGCGGGTGCGGGTGTTTGCGCGTGTGTTTGTTTGCTTGCTTGCTTGCGTGCTTGTTTGCTTGCTTGCTTTCTTGCTTGCTTGCTTGCTCGCTTGTTTGTGTGGGTGTGTGCGTGTGTGCGGGGCCTTGCCATAATACCTGCGTGCGCCCGTGTTCGCGTGCGAGGGGGCTGCGCTTGCACGTGCGCTTGACGACGACGTTTCCGTTTTGGGCTATGATCTGCGACGTCCCCCCGCAGGATGTGATTTGGCCCCCTGCCGCTGCGTTAGGTCACTGTGGCCAGCTGCAGTGGGGACCTGGAAGTGCGTATGTCTCGTGGCCTCAAGGCGCGGGCTGAGACTTCCAGAGGTGCCCTCCATGCAGGTGAGGCGCCCTCAAAGCCTGGGTAGAAGGCTGGCCAGGGATCCCACCCAGAAGCAAGTGCTGAGTTTGGGTGGGCCATTTTGAAATCGGGCGTTGGTTAATTTGTCGTCGGCGCAAGACCTCACGTACTGTTTTTCTCAGTTGGAGGTTTGGATTTGCTGATCGGCGCCCACCACTCACCACTTTTGGATCACCATGGCAACCCTGGGCGGTTGTTTGTTCGAAAGCACTCTGCTTTTTCCACCAACCCAACATTTCACATGCAGAATGTGTCCCAACTCAGGACATCATACGTCGACAAGTTCTAAATGTTTACATCCATGATTTTTAGAAACATGTCTTGCCTCCATCTGCGTGGGGCTGCCCCAGCCGCTATCAAGCAGATCGTGCAGATCGTGCGAGGCCCAGTCTGAACAAGACAGTTGTCATGAGAAGCTTGTTGACAGGCAGGGACCAGCGGATGACTATGAGAGATAAACATAAGTGCGATAGCCCTTCGGCAAGATCAGTTGGGCAGCGTTTTGTTCTTGGAATCAAGGATTTATACAAAAAGGGAACTGCATCATGTCCGCGTAGGCAACTTAGCTGGGGGGCGTAGGCGTGCGGAGGCATCGCGTAAGCATTTCGCGCACATCCTTGTATTTTTCTTGCGTAGGCGCGCGCGTAGGCACTTGATGGAGTTGTTATGTATTGTCTGAAGCTTTATGTTTTACAATGCATATGGATGGGCATGGGTTTGTTCTGCAGTCTTCGCGTGGGCTCCGCGTAGGCCCCGCGTAGGCATTCGCGCAGGCTTTCAAATCATTTTGGGCGCGTAGACCTTTTCTTGCAGCCAGATCCTTGGACAGATGTTGGATTCTCACTTGTGCTGCACTTTTGATCTTAGAGCCGGAGCTGCCAAAACTGCACTTGCACTGAAAGCGATTTTCCAGCTGGAGCTGCCACAGTGCACTTCGACACTTGAACTCAACGTTTGCCCGCGTAGGTGGGCACCTGGAAGCTGACTTGTGATCGCGTAGGCGCCCCTCGCAGGCCGAGAAGGCTTGCGTAGGCCTTCGCGCAGGCGCGCAAGTAGTGTATAGGCCCCGAACCACCAAAAAACACTGCTCAAATGCTGATTCAGAGCCACGACAAAGCGGACCCCTGGGAAATCAATCAAACATGTTATCACGCTTTGGCGGTGCAATCATCTTCCACATCATCTGCTTCTTCTACATCATCTGCATCTGTGTCAGACAACGGTTGACTTGGCATTGCAAAGCTCGAGCTGGGAAACAGCGGCGCGCGATTTTCTTGCGTAGGCGTCCGCGTAGGCGCGACAAGAGACAAACGTGCGCGCGTAGGCGCCCCTTGCAGTCGCGGAGGCGTTGCGTAGGCGCTCGCGTAGGCATGTGTGCAGTGTATAGGCCCCGAGCACCAACCAAAAAACACTACCCAGTTGATTCGGAGCGCCTTTCCTGGCGTGAGAGATTCGGAAGGGAAATGGTTGCACTGCAGTTGCTTCTCATTGGCGTGTGCAAGTACCCCCAAAGTAGCAAATGACATATTACCACCCTGCAGGACCCATGCCCCCAAAGGGTAACGAACGTGAAACACCCGCATGTTTGCACTTCCAATCGCACGTTGGGACCCTGCATTCCCAACCCCACAACCTTCTTTTGTTTGACTCTCTACCTACCTCTTGGTGCTGGGGTCCAAAAACACAACGGTTGGGTTGAAAGAACGGGGCCTCCTCAAACATGTCCCGCGCAGATCCTGGCAGACCAGCACATCGGGGACTGCGTCGGGGAGTACGACGTGATCGCGTTGCCCGGGGGCATGCCGGGTGCGGAGCACCTCAGAGACTGCAAGAAACTTGAGGCGATGCTGAAGGACTGGAACACGAACGGGGGAGAGTGGTGCAGGGAGACGGGTCAAGGGGGTTGGATGCCCACATGCGGGGTGACGATGAACCCCCTTATGCCAACAGAAAGGTAGTTGTGTCATTCCAGCTTCATCCCTGGCGTAAATTTGGATTTGCCGTGCAAGGTCATTGCGCTCAAACCTTGGTTTTATCAATAAGCAACCCCACCAAGGTGCCATCCGAAAAGGTGAGCCACTTTTGCGACCGTGCAAGGGACGGAGGGCTTGAATAGCCGGAGGAACCAATGCCGGTTCAGATCCAGTGCTGGGGACTTCTGACATTCCTCCAACTGATTGCAATTTAATCCATGGTTGTGAGGAACATTTGCCTATGATGGACTTTTTGGCTTGGGTGCAAGCACGGGTCCCCGAGCAAGCCTTTTTTCCCGCCAGACATACATACCTGCGAAGTGCATGGTATGAAAGCGTTATGTGCTGCTTGGTTGTTTGGTTATCGGCTGATGTTCACCGCTAAGGGGCACTCTGAAGGGGGCCACATCTCGTCCTTCGGGCTCATCTCGCAGCCATATTTGTCGAATCGGTCTCTGGCATCGCTGGACTTTTGATCGTATGGTGCTATGATGCCAGCTGTCCTTCCTGATCCTTGCCTTTGCTCTATTTTTGGGTCTCCCTTGGGGCAGCTGCGAGCGATAAAACATGTAACCCGCAAACGGCTTGAAGTATGACGGGCAACATCATTGACCCCACTTTTTGTGGCAATCTACTTGGTTTCGCCTCATTTGGGCCCTGTCAATCGCTTGTTGCCTTGCCTGGCAAGGAGCAGAAGAGCAGCGGGCGTTTGACGGCTGCGGTGTGCGCGAGCCCCGCGGTGGTCTTTGCCCACCACGGCTTGCTCGAGTGCCTCGGCCTGGATGTTGAACGGGGCCACTCAACGGGGTTCCAATCAAAAAATTACGAACGCTCGCACCAAGGGACACTGTAGCAGCGAAAGGAGCCCATTTGTTAGAGCCCTGCAACGGGCCCAAGTTGGCCTTGAGAAGTTGTTTTGGCAGAGCTGAGTTTCGGTCTAGTTAGATCCACGTTGGAGGTCCCGCAAGCGTCCCGAGGATAAATGCTTCTTTTCGAATCCTGTCCAGTCCATCCAGCTAACTTCTGAGGCTCTGAGGTCGGACAAGTTTCTTGACGGCTGTTCGAGCGCTTAGCTGGGGCACTGGCTGTAGGGTTGGTTTCCGATGGAGCGAGCGAGCGTGCCTTGGATCTCAGGGAAATTCACCCAAGGGTTGAAGCTGATTGAAATGCTGCGCACATGCGTTAAGGCGAATGCCATGTGCAACTGAAGTGGGGCCTTGGTTCAAAAAGAGTTCGGGCTGTGTCAATCCTTTTCGACAGGAAGAGCGCCACCTCCTACCCAGCACCCCAGTTCAAGGAGCTGGTGGGCGACAAGTGGGAGGACGGAACTCGAGTTTCGCGGTCCGGGAATTGGCTCCTGTTCTGGGAGCCCTAGTTGTTGTTGGCGATGAAAGCATCGCATGGGCAACCCCTTATTTGGCTGGTAGGGATGGCATTTGTCTGAAGATGTGGCATGCCAGAGGGGACAAATGATAAAGAGAGAGCCAAAGGGAGCTGACGGCGGAGTGGCGAGCTTGTGTTTGTTTTCCTTCCGACGCCATGCCCGCTGATGTTGCATTGAACCTTTGCCTTCTGGGAACCTCTCAGGACTCCAGGGCAGTGGTCGATGGAAATGTCATCACCAGCCAGGGCCCAGGCACCTCGAAGCTCGGCCAATGCCTGAGTTGTGTTTCCCTCCGTTGAGCCCCCAAGTAGGTGCCTGGGTATGAGTTATGAGCATGGTCAGTTCATGGTACGTTTTACGGTCTTGCTAGAGCCTAGTTGCCTACTGGAGATGTCAGCAGGCCAAGCCCACTTCCGCTGATCTCTGTATAAGGGTACCCTTCCATTTCTGTGCAATGCTGATATATGATAGGAACGGTCACTTTTGTGGCAGGCTGATGAAGGCAACTCTGGGGTAAACAAAGGCAGCGCACTTTGTTGACCGGCCCTTGGCAAGTCTCCATGACATTCATTACATAGGAAGACCTGTATAGCACTGCTTGGGCCAGAGCAGTCAGCTTCATTCCGCATTCTCCAGACAGGGAGCTTATCAAGGCCAAGCTCTGCCAAGAGAGCAAGATTCCCTCCGAATTTGAGCATTTCAGTCAACACAAGACCCACACCAATCCCTTGACAAGGTCAATGCGAAGGACATGGGGTCAACACATGCGATCCATTGCGATCCAGTATCTCAGCTTTGGCTGTGCCCATGGTTGCGGGGTGAACCTCACGAGCTGTAGTGTTTTTAAAGACTCAGAGGGAGAGATTCGTTTGGATGGGCCATCCCAGGCTGCAGTTTGCGCTGAAGATCGTTGAGCAGCTCTACGGAAAGGACAAGGTGTGGGCTGGGAGTTGTGCAGTGGTTATACCTCGCATGGATCATGGGTCTGATGCGACGGGCTGCTTGCCATGCGTGCAAGGTAGATCATGATTGGCATTGCTACATGATGCTGCGCCTGGCTGGTTCGAAAGCAGGCATTCGAGGTCTTACAGCCGATTACATCCCGAGCGTTAGGACGTGCACAAGCAAAAGGGCGTTGCTTTGCTGCTTTGTTGGCCAGCGTTTACTCAAGCAACGTTTGTTAGAAATGCTTGGTGTGGCTTCAACCTGCGCGGTTCGGTGTGACGCTACCTATTGACGGCTGGTAGCCTTTCAAGCTGGGCAGCCTGAGGAAGGGAACCGATCGGAGAGCGCCTGAACTTGCAGATGTGAACAAACGTTTAGGTGCTAAGATCGGGTTTAGCAGTTTAGCACATGTCAAGTAGCGAGATGCGTGTAACTGCTATGTCTTCGCACGTGACCTAGGGTGTTCTGCGCGAGCCGACTGCTGCAACCCAGGCAAGAACTCACCATTCCCCTTGCGTACCTACTGTCTTACTGCCAAATGCTGTTGAGGCGGTCTTTGTGCGTCAATTGTCAATTTCGCTACTTAAACTACCAAGCACAACGGACGTCGGAACGGTCTGCTTTAGGCAGAGGAGCTCGCGAAGCAGATGGTCACTACCACCGCCTGAGTGGCGCTGGATCTGCGGAAGGCTTGCGCCCGGAGGTTCTCTTCTTCTAAGATGTGACATCTCCCTTGCTGGATAAGTGTGTGCCATCCAGGGGAGCTCGCTTGGGATTTAGACTCTGCAGCCTCGTTTGCACAGAAATGCAAAGAAGCTGCCTTTCTTGCCATATGCCTATGCGTGCATCGAAAGGGGGTTCTCCTCCCAGTTCAGATTTAAGGATGCGGGGTTAGCTCTTGAGCTGAGGGGCAACAGAAGCGCAGCACAGATGCCATGGTGAAGGAAAAGAGCCTGCCCGGTCAGGTTGAAACGTTCCCGACAAGTAAATGCTCACAAACGCGTTCTTTCTGGCTTTCCATCCAATTGTGTTTTGGAGTTGCTTTCGGTAGGGTGCCCTTTGCGGGGAAACGAAGCTGGGTCCATGTTGATGCCTGCAAGAGCTGTCACTTACAGCTGCGTCATAGCACTGAGTTTGAAAGGGTGGTTGCTTTTCCAAGGCAAACCGTGGCAAACCGCTTCGAGCCGTCAATGTCCTTAGAGCGGAGAATTGAGTGCCACTGGGCCAGTTGTTTTTGGCCGACCAACGCCTCAGACCATTAGCAACTACAACAAGAAGCAATGGGCATTAATCAGCTCTGTCTGTTGGGTGGGTCTCGCAATCGCGAAAGAGGCGAAAGGTATTCCCGAGTTTGGCACCCAAATGAACGTGCCTGCTTTGTTAAGTGAACGCGTGTCCAATTGACTCGATGCGCGCGTCCAGGAGCGTACGGACTTTTACCTCAGCATTTCGAAGTGACGGTGCGTGGCCTTGGGTCTCTTAAAGCGGGCCGGAGGAAGCCTGCGTGAACAAGATTGTCGCGTTGGGCAACTCTTGGTCTTGACACAGAGCTCAAGTCAGCCTTGATGCGTGTCAACATGCATCGGCGATGTCCCCACGACCTGAGCCTCTAGGGAAACAAACGTCTCACCCTGCCTTGTGGATCGTGCCTTGTGAGTTGAAACATGTAATCGGAAAGGGCGACGCTGCAGAATCACCCGGGAAAGAGCGATTGATACTTCGGGTCAGTCATTTTGCTGGTTTATGCTGGTTATGTCAGCCAAGGTACGGCTTTCCAGTGCATCCATGGTGTCATGGCCCAACATGTGCATGTAAGGGCATGTATCCGAACAGAGAGACAGACAGGCCAGACAGACACGACCTTCTGGCGCGAAACAGCGCCAAAGCCAGACACCTGGCAGCATCTCGCAGCAGCTTGCTCGATGGAGTGCATGCCGTCTCCGCAAGCGTGGCCATCCCAAACCAGCCCAACAAAGAAAACAACAATATCCACCCAAACAAAGACGCAGCAGTTGCGTTTCCAAAGACATAGCCCCCAGCCGCCTGAGAGCCACCGACCCGAGGCGCCATACCAACCCAGGTTTACCAGCCAAGGCCACGGCAAGGAAGAAGAAGCGGACACGGGACGTCCTCAACGACTCGAAAGAGGTTTTTGGCGCCCCTACCCGAAAACAGTGCCCTCAACTCTCAAGAGATGTGAGGATGGGCAGGAGGGCCCTCTTCTCCATGCACTCCCAAGGTGGCATTGGACGGTCGGCGCGGTTTTTCATCCGGCTCAAGCAGCGGCTCCGCAAGGCCGAGGCTCAGGCCATCCGGAGTCAAGTTGAATGGACTAGCAACCCCTCAGAAAATAGAGGTCATCTAAGGCCTTTAAAGGCCATTTGAATGGGTACCCTCTTCCAAGAAACTGCAATTTTGTTTGTTCTTTGGCGATGCGAATTCAAATAAATGGATATGTACTGTGGGCAACCATTGCCGCTTGGTGAGAAGCGGTTGACAGCTTTGCCGCTCTTGGGCCCAGCCATCAAAGAAACGGCGTCGTTCAAATGGTTGAGACCACGCCTTGTCCACATCCATGCCTTCAAGAATAATGGGAGTAACAAAAAAAGTAGCCGGAGATAAGTCATGGCAACAGCTCGCTTTTCGGGATCGTGACTTGTGCAGAAAATCATCCTTGTGCAAGCCAGCTTGCTGGTCAAACTCGGGTCAACTGTCCTCTTCAACATTCGATCCAGGTGCGATGGGGTATGGCCGCTTGAACGCACTGGTCAGGGGGAAAGATGGGGAAAGGTTCTTGTCAACTTTACACGCACGAGCCTCCTCAGATGTTAAGCATGCCAGGGATGTTGAGGGGGTCCTTTGGCAGCCGTGCCAGCCGTGCATGCCGCCTCCCCAGCATCACCCGCAGTCCTGGGACCCCCTTTTTCGTTAGCGTCAACTGCATCACCAGCATCGCGGTTGTTGTGCGAACTGCGCTCACGGTCCCGTGAGCTCGCTCCTGTCTGCACGCGCATGCCTGCTTCCATGCCTGCATTCGTGCGCCCGCGGTCTCTTGTGTGTGTGACCTCCTGTGCCTCAGGATGTCTCAGGACTCCTTGAAGAAGGCTGCTCAGATCCGTAATTCACAGCAAGTGCGGCCGGGGGGCCATCCAAGTTCGGAGTGCGATGGTCCAATGAAGCGGCCTCCGCAACTTGCAGATGTGACTTGGGACGCCAAGTGATGTAGCTGCCAAGGAGTTGAAGTGCTTTCAACAACTTTGCGTGACAAAGACCAAGTCTATGCTGAAACAAATGCTCAACGTGTGTGTGTGTGTGTGTGGGTGTGCGGGTGTGGGGGTGTTGGGGGTGTGGGGGTGTGCGTGTGTGCGCGTGTTGGCGTGTGTGCGTGTGCGCGTGTGCGCGTGTGTTGGCGTTTGCGCGTGTGTTGGCGTGTGCGCTTGTGTTGGCGTGTGCGCGTGTGTTGGCGCGTGCGCGTGTGTTGGCGCGTGCACGTGTGTTGGAGTGTGCGCGTGTGTTGGCGTGTGCGCGTGCGCTGGCGTGTGCGCGTGTGCGTGTGCAACTGTTGTGCGTGTGCGTGTGCGTGTGCGTGTGCGTGTGCGTGTGCGTGTGCGTGTGCGTGTGCGTGTGCGTGCGCGTGCGCGTGCGCGTGCGCGTGCGCGTGCGTGTGCGTGCGCGTGCGCGTGCGCGTGCTGAGCGTGCGTGCGTGCGTGCGTGCGTGCGTGCGTGCGTGCGTGCGTGCGTGCGTGCGTGCGTGCGTGCGTGCGTGCGTGCGTGCGTGCGTGCGTGCGTGGGTGTGTGTGTGTGTGTGTGTGTGTGTGTGTGTGTGCGCGTGTGCGTGCGCGTGTGCGCGCGCGTGTGCGCGTGTGGGTGTGTGGGTGTGTGGGTGGGTGTGTGTGTGGGTGTGGGTGTGGGTGTGGGTGTGGGTGTGGGTGTGGGTGTGTGTGTGTGTGGGTGTGTGTGTGTGTGGGTGTGGGTGTGTGTGTGTGTGGGTGTGTGTGTGTGTGACTGTGTGTGACTGTGTGTGTGTGTGTGTGTGTGTGTGTTTGTGTTTGTGTTTGTGTTTGTGTGTTTGTGTGCTTGTCGCGCGCACTCTCAGCGTTGGAGTCAATGAAGCCCGCTTGGGTGGAGGGTTGGGCTAAGGTCTCGGCTTGTTCCAATCAAGATTAAGTCCCATAGTTAATGTACGTGTTTGGGGGGGAAAACGTATTGAGTAACACGGGTCGGTGTATGCATATGAGCAGCGCCATAAACCCTGACAATACAAAGTAGTAAAGGGGGGTGTCCTATAGAATTCCCGCGAAAGCCAAAACGCAGGCCGCGAAAGCTTGCGAAAGCTCACGCGAAAGAAACTAAAGAAGGTCCCGCCGCGAAAGACCCGCGAAAGCCTGCATGCTGATGACGCAGTGTGACGGTCCGCCGCGAAAGCGCCGCGAAAGCAATTCTAAAGAAAACGAAGCCCGCGAAAGCAAAACGTGGGGTCGCGAAAGCATCCGTGAAAGCAAATTCATAGCACCGCTTTTTACACAAGAGTATTTGGCACGGCTCATATGGGGATCGGATTATGTCAGCTGGCTGCTGTTGTGGAACAACAGGCGGGGAATATGGGCAAGACTTGGACCCGAGGCCTGCGCCTCATCAACAACAACGCCACCTCCGGCGGGCCACCGGCCTCAGCTGACCGCAAGCACGGCAATTTGCAAACTTCGTCCCACGAGCCCAGCAAATGGTTTAGGTGCGTGTTTTTGCAGATTGCACGTATTCTTCTCCATTGCTTTTCTTTTGCATGATGCTCGTTGAAAGTCGCTTCCTGGAAGCCGGCCAAGATTTCACGTCTAGGTAAGAATCAGGCTGACCAGCCTGCTCTCGCAGCTACATGCAAATCAGCCAACGGCGGAGCAGCCACAATCAGCAGCTGCGCGCAGATGACCCTCTGGGTGCAAGTCAACCTGACTCATGCAAGTTGGTGGTGATTAAATGCGCCTGCCAGCAGCCGTGCACAGGTGTTGCTGCATTTGCTGTTCAGGATTAGCGGCTTGCATTTCACAGTTGGGACCTAGATTGGACATGTTTGGTCAGCGTTCATTGCTCAGACCGTGCGGATGTTCAAGCCATGTTTGCTTTGCAAGCTGTCAAATACTAAGGTGTGTCAATTTAACGTTGAACGACCTGATCCTATTTGCCTCAGGCACACCAAACAGAGTTGTCTCAAAGCATAGCAACGTCAACAAATTCAAAGGAGGCGGCCAGCTCATTGCACCAGAAAGCCAACTTGTGACAGCATGTAAGTACGCTGCTCAGGCTCAGGCTTGCAGGCAGGTGTCCCTCTCCATTCAGCTGCGGTTCTGACATGGTTTTGTTGGTCCTGCGCGGCATTCTGTCCGGCTGACGCGAAAGATGTCATCAGGCCGCCCAAAAACGAAGCACCGAAGGACAGCCCAGAGCGACGTTGCCCATAGCCCAAACCGTTTCGGCCGCAAGCGCCACCCCGGGCCACCTGAGGAATGGACGGGACTGGATTCAATTCGGAGATGAGGCCTTCCGAAAGGGCCGGGCACGGGGCCTAGAGATTCCGATAGAGGACTTTCTGAGATGGCAAAGGTTTCCTTGTGGCTTCCCTTTGCAGAATGTCAACTTCAAAGAAGAAACTGAAAGGCTGCATTTGGCCATTCAACACCTTTGCACAATGTGGCACAAGAGGATCGATTGGGGCAAGCGGCAAGTAAGAGTCTTGCCTGACATCCTAGATTGATTAAGTTTGCGCTGCCGACCCCCACCTCAGCCCGATTTCCCGTCAATTTGGCTGCAGCTCAGCATTTGTCATAGACACGCAGGTTGCCTTTGTTCGGTGACTAAGCAGCTCAGGCGAAAGAAGAGACACCAGGGCGCAAGCAGCCAGACAAATCTTGCCAAACCAAATCTCAGCCGCCTGCCATGGAACCAAAACACCGGGAGCTCCTGGTGAACAGTTTGCTGGCCTATGGGCTTTTCGGCTTTTTGCAAGTGGCCTATCGCTTGGCCGCTGGTCGCGCTGATTTCGCCAGGGCACGAAGGATGATGAAAGACATCCCCTATGCGCGTGGCTGTGAAGGCTCCATGGACTACGCCAGAGGTTTGTCCGCCAATTTGCATCGGATGAATGAGTTCAAGTTGGAGGCGTTCGAAGGATTTCCTGTGTGCAAATTGTTGGGCTTCCCATGGGCAATGGACCAGCACGCCATAATTGTCAAATGCCCAGGGGATTCGCCATTTCCTGAAGGACAAGTTTGATACATACACCAAGTCACCTCCTTCTAATGCCTTCTGGATTTACGTCACCGAGTTCTTAGGCGCTGGAATTTTCACAGCCCTGCATGGCCTGGGTTCATCTGACAGAGGTCAGAGCTGGGCTAACATGCGCAAGACATCCGCGCAGATCTTCAATCGCAAGAACTTCAACACCCTGATGCAGCAGGTCTTTGTGAGCAAGGCTGCAGCATTGCGCGGCTGGCTGGAACAGTTCCCGGAAAGTGAGCCGGTGGATATCCAACAGGGCTTCTTCAACTTCACAATGGATAGTATCATGAAGATCTTTTTCGGCGAGGACGCAAACTCACAGCTAGGTGAGCCTAACAGATATGGCCAGGCATTTGACGAGGCACATGAAGCCATGTTGGTTCACACGATCGAGTCTTCGAAATTCAACTCGCTTGCCGCCATTTTTCTTCCGTGGCCATTTGGCGGGGCGAATGGGATTGCCAGGAAGTTGTGGGACTTTGCTTCTCCCACATATCGAAAGTTCAGGAAGGCTTTGCGAGTATTGGATGAAGAGTCAGACCGTATGGTGCAGGAGTGCCGTGCTGATCCCAATCTATTTCAAAGGTCTGATTTGCTGGCGTTGTTCTTGCAGGCAGAGGAGGAGAAACACTACTCTGCAAAATTCCTAAAAGAAACTGTGCTGAACTTCGTTCTGACTGGACGTGATACCACGGCTTGTGCTTTGTCATGGATGTTTCTGGAGCTTGCACGCAATCCTGAGATACAGAGTAGGCTATGCGATGAAATCGATCAGAAGTTTCCACCCGGAGCAGCCTTGACTCTGCAGAGCCTTGCGCACAGCCAGCTGCCATACCTGCATGGCGTCTTGTATGAGGCGCTGCGCTTGTGGCCGCCTGTGTCGTATGATTCAAAGTTGGCCTACGCGGATGACGTGATGCCGGATGGGACCAAGGTGCCCAAGGGTACCACGCTGCTCTTTGCGCCCTACATCATGGGCCGGGATGCGAGCCGCTACCCTGAGCCCTTGGCATTCAAACCGGAGCGATGGATCCCCTTCTCAGCCCCCGCCCCTCAGGAGTTCCCGGTCTTCCAGGCCGGGCCGCGCATTTGCCTCGGCATGGACGCCCGGCAGAGTGGTAGAGTTTTGTTCCCGCTCGGGAACTAAGAAAGCCACAAACTCCCACGGGCATGTGTCAACACGGGGGATCCAAAGTAGAGGTTTAACCTTTGACGTGCCTTGCATCCAACCTTTATGAAAGGGTGCCCTCAAAACAAAAACACACACACACACGGTGTGTGTGACACACACACACACACACCACGGGCACGCGCGCGGGCGGAGACGCAGAGACTTGGTGGGACATCGGAAACTGGAGCGATGGGCTCTCCACCGGCCGGCTGAAGTTCAGCCCAACAATGTAGCTGCCATGGAAGGGCGTGGTTGGTTGAGGTTTCACCTGCCGTCCCAAACGCGAAGTAGATGTTGGCAAAATTGAAGCCACCGGGGTTCCTTAGCTGCACATTGGCCTGGGCAACGGCAAACAGGTTTGTTGGGGCTGCAAGGATGGATCGCGCCAACGGCGAAACTGCCGATCCTCCTCTTAATCGCCACCCAGCTATTTGAGCTGGTGCACTTGCACGTGCCGGAAGTTCACCTTTGGACCTAGCAACCAGGACAAATAGCAGAAGCCCATTTGGGCTCCTCTTCCTCACTGATCAATCCCAGGTACGTGGTTGAGCGTTTTCAAATCGTCGGCTGGAGACATGCGAAGAACACCCCGCGCACACACACGGACACACAAAAAGCCGCGCGTGCGGAGTCATGGAAATGCACTGGGCTGAGGACATGGCGATCTTTGAGGCCAAGGTCGTTGCTGTAGAGCTCTTGCGGGATTTGCAGTTCCAGCTGGTCCCAGGCCAGCAGATTACTTCCGGCCCCAAGCTCACCTCCAACGTGCGCAACGGAGACAAGGACGAGCTGCTCGTGTATGTCAAGCATCGCTGAGACGAACATGTTTTCCAAACCTGTCATCTTGATTTCTGGTGTCTCTCCGAAAGGTGCGAGATTTTGCGTTTTCATTGTAGCACAGCCCTTTCGTAGGGCGAAGAAAATGTGCGCTGCACATGGCTGTCCAAAAGCTGGTCCAGCTTTTCAAGCCACCCCCCAACAAAATGGACCTGTTCCATCCTCTTCGCGTGAAAAGCCCGAGTTTCCCTAGGCTGGGGCTGTGCTGTTGGCTGCTGTCACGAACAAATCACTCAGGAGACGATTGAATTATCCGAGTCGCCTGTAGGCCCTCCTTTTTCACAGAATGCGATGGCCTAGGCCCAGTCCGAAGATAGTCCGATCCAAGGCCGAGCAGCCATCTCCCAAGGGCAGTACTGCCATGGAGGTCCGGGGCGCAAAGGGCAGCGCTGAAAGGTTGGCGCGGGTGAGAAGGGAAGAGGGAAACAGGTGAGTCCTAATTTTCAGTCTGGCCGTTTGGCCGTTTGGATTCGTTTGGCCCGCTGCCATGGCCTGTGGGAGGTACCAATTGCCAGAAGATTCGTACCAAGGCGTCTTGGCAGTTGTCAATGTGAGCGGCTATCCCTCATCACTGTAGTAAACCCCCAGAAGCTTGTCAGGGAGTCTGATCAACAAGTGGCAGGGCGGGTTATTTCTAAGGCGGTCGACATGACGGTGTTTACCGTTGTCGCCAGTGGGCAATTTCCGCTTCAGGCAGGCGAGCCCCTACCATCATTCGTGCAGGGAGCAGCGTTTGGGACTGAAATTTGCCAAGGGCTTCGGGAGTTGGCTGAGAAGCGGGTGGACCTCTTGACAAGAAAAGGCCAACATCACCCATGCCGACTGGAGAGATTGCCAAGCGTTCCTTAATTCAGGTTGGTGAACTACGTTGTTCAAACTGAACCGTTTTGCCACGTAGGATGGACTGAAGAAGGCTTTTCCAGTTTGATCAATTATGGGTTTGGCCTTCGCTACAACCCAGGTGAAATAGTATGGGTTTCAGTCCCGCCCTTCTCAGCCGGCCAGCTGCGACGTGCCAAGCAGAAGCTACGTGCAACGCAGCGGGCAGAGGCAAGCGGTACTAGCGAGTTGCACCGGGACGAGGCGATGCGATTCCATTTGCAGAATGGAAGCATCCATGTCGTATGTCGTGGGTCCTTCTTTTGTCGAATGCCTTTTTTTTCACTGCACCTTTTGTTAGAGTCCTCAGATTCCGTCGTAAACCAAGTTTGGATGTGGAGCCTAGCCATTTAAGTAGTTTTCCGGTCAGTGTCGTGGACATGCCTTTGCCTCGAGAAGCACAGCAAGGGCTTAAAAGGTTGAACATAACGGCTCACTTTAGCAGCTCAGAAGATGCGTGCTTAAGACTTGGCATTTGTTAGTTCAACTTTTTTTGTTTTTAATACATATATATATATATATTCTTGCAAGTTAGGCAATGACTTAAGCCCCTCGGAAACCAACAGTGTTCAGCCCAACCTGTTGACAAACACATGGTCGTTGCGTGGATGTTGCGTGGTGTGTTTGTTCCGGCAACGAGGGATCTGAGGCCCAGTCAAGCAGAAGTATTTGCAGCTCGGTTGCAATGGGATTCTTGTGATGTGGTTCGATATGTGCTTAAAGCCAGAGTGGCTGGAACAAATCTGCCTGATTCATGGCAAAGCTGGCGCCAGTGGGAAGACAAAGCCAAGATTGAACAATCCCACAGGCTCAAGCTATTTGTTGACCGTCGAGGGCGATCAGAACGGGTTTTCGCGTATGGGGACCGATGTTTCAACCGCGCGAGTCCTCGCTGGGCTGGAGCCAAGCCCGGCAGGCGTGGGGTGGGGCATACGGCCGCGGGAGTTCGGACACTCGTTTGACATGTGCAAGAAGAAACTAACAAGCCAAGCAAGTTTGAAGCCAGGCTAGACTTGTGTGAGTTGAGCTGGACATGCAATCGAGCTAAGCTAGACACGTTGTGAGTAAGAAGCACTTAGAATATACTAGCAGGTATGATATGAGTATGCCGGGTTTGTGCTGAAGAAACCAGATAGGAATGCTCTACAACTACACGAGACACATGATCCATATGGAATGTGTTTGACACAAGCTAAGACTTCTAGACATTCTAAAGCCGTGCTAGACATTTAATGAACTACCCAATATGCTAGACATAGTATACATGCTCCGCACGTGCCACACTTTGCAACACAATTGGAAAGGCACCAAAAACAATCAACACGTATCACTGGAAGGAATATTCAGGTTGCAAGCTGATAACATTTGGCCTGGGGATTTGTTTTTGCGTTTGTGTGTATGCGCTCGCTTTTTCAAGATGTTTGTTATTTCTGGGCTTGTCGGAGGGCAGAAGTCATGCTGGGAATATTTGCTGCGTGACCTGCAAAGCATCCCAACACTGAAACCGCTGAGACAGTGCTTCTATTTCAAGTCGGCATATGAACTTATGGGAATGATTGCTCGTCCATCCGTTTCACAGATATCTCGTGGCTGCTGCGCCAGTTGAGAAGGATTCCAGGAAAGCACAGCGACAATAGAAAGTCTACTGTCTGCAGAAGGTTGCCGGTCCAATAGGTATGTCCCATGCCTGGATCCACAAGGCAAAAGCTCGGAGCAAAGCCTTACGAAGTCTCAAGCATCGTGCACGGGTTCAATCTGTTAACTGTTAATCATGAAACTTTAACCCCCCCTTGGCCCCCCCCTACTTGGAAGCCAAAAAAACACTACTTAGCCACTACTAAGGCCTTAGTAGCGCTAGCGTGTTTTTGCATGTTCCCCAAAACCTGGGTCGGGCCTCAAAACGTGCTTGCGCAAGTGCTCCAGAACCTGTGTAGGGCCTCAATCTCGGTAAGGTCTCGCTAAAGCGCCTTAATAAGGCCTTGGTAGGGCCTCGGTAGGTTGGCGGTCGGCCTGACGAAGCACTGTTGCGGCCAATCAACAAAACCCGCAAATCTCAGCAAGCTAAACCCGTAAATCAAGCTTGCCGAGGGCTCTCCGAGTGGGGTAGGGGCGGGGGGGTAAGTTGAGTGTTGATGCAGCGGCTCTTTCAATTTCAACGACCCATATCTATACTGACGATTATTGTTGCTTGTGTCGACGTGGCTTTTGGGTTCCATTAGGCTGCTGCAGGTTGTACGGACAAAACCGGTCAAGGTGCGTTTTCGATGGTAGTGCTTTTCCTGGCCCTGACATAAACAGGCCTCTCACATGTAACTCAAATGAAAACGCATTGCCAAAAAACAAAGAGACAGAGAGAGCCGCAGTTGGTGGCTTTCCGCGCATCATGTGTACAAAGTGTTCCTTGAGATTGCCCGCCTTGCAGCCAGGGCTCAAGAGCATCGCCAGGCAGGGTGCGTCATGACCCACAGTTGGCCTGCGGCTTCTCCGCTGTCCCTGTCCAGTCCAAAATGTGAGTAGGGGCCTGTCTTTTTGGAGGGACCCCTTTTTTTTTTGGGGGGGGGGGTTTGTGGTGTCCAAAGCATCCAAACTGGTGGGTTGCCTAGAAACAGGCCGACCCGTTTTGACCGTTCTCCAGTCTCGTTAGATTTGTTGGGACTGACGGCTTTCGGGTGCGCTCTTTGAGCCATTGGCGTTTGCCAGGCTTGGCCGTCATCCGGAAATGGCACCGTCCGCTGGCCCAGCATTCCTGGCTGACCTCTTCAGTCCAAACCATCGCGCGGAAGTCGCATTTTTCGTGCTGACCCTTTGAAACACGACAAGCCCAGGAGTAAACAATTGACTCGTGAATTGCAGCGATTCACCCAGGCACAAACGAGCAGTTTTTTTTCTCAGATGATGGATTTTAGCTTCCTGGGGAACTCCAAAAAGCTCCGCGAAGGCACTTGTGCGATACATTGTGTACCGCGAAGCCCCGCGAAGCCACTTCGCGTAGCCCGGTAACATTGACACAGGCGAAGCCACTTCGCGAAGCCACTTCGTCGTTTGAGCGTATTACGTGCTTTCATGGCAAGTGTGTTGTGCGCTTTCATGGCAGTAGTATTCCAAAGGTTGATGTTTAGAGTCAGCAGGCTACGACAAGATTACAGGAAGATTACGGGAAGACGACCGGAAGAGCACTGTGCGTTCGGTTTTGCTAGAAACGATGGAACGTTTTCGCGAAGCCTCTGCGAAGCCCCCGCGAAGCCCCCGCGAAGCCTCCGCGAAGCCACCGCGGTCCAACTTCCATGCTCCGCCCCCTTGAGGCCCAGCCATGTCCCCTAGTCCTGAAGCTCAATGCCTCTCTTGCCGCCTTTCATCGAACCCTTTCGCATGGACTCAATTCAACAACATGGGGGCGCAAATGTGAGAGATGTTTGTGGAACAAACATCCGCGAAGCCCGGCGAAGCCACTCCGCGAAGCCACAGTCTTGCCGCGAAGCCTCGCGAAGCCAACCCTTCCACAAATTCTGGCCCCGCGAAGCCCCCCGCGTAGCCTCCCCAGCAGTGTATAAGCCCTGAACCTCTAAAAAAACAATGCTCAAATGATATTTGCAAAGGTCTGGTGCAGTCCGGACCCATGAAAGGTTATGGCCAGAACATGCATGTTGTAGGTGGCCCTCTCCGAGCAAGCCTTCGGATCTCAAAATCGCAGAAGAAAAAAAACCGTGTCTAGCACTCCGAGGCCCCAAGCTTTGCGCTTTCTGGCAGCAGCCGGGGGCAGCACCCTGAACCCCAACCGAACAAATGTAAAACAAAACTCGGGAACAACGCAGCCTTCAACACGTGTTTAAAACCTTTCAACACCAACACCATAGACAAAGCCCTCAAACAGCACAAGCAATCCAGACTCCAAAGCCCGAACACCCTTAACCCTATATGGCAAAAAGACGCAAAAAGCCCCAAGCCCTAAAACCATAAGAAGACCTGTGGCCGGCATGTATCTTTTGTGGATATGGTTGCATTCCCCTGGCTAATCAACAATGGAAATATGCGAAATGAGGCATGAAATGTCGTTTGTTAGGTAAAATGGATTGAATGGAGTACCAAGGCACCCAGCTTGGCACGTGCCAGAATGGGTCAGAAGAGATCCTTCTGACTGAGGTGTCCACATGCAACCGAGCATGAATGACCGAGAAGGCTGGTCATGTCAATGCGTGCTGCTCCCGAAGCTGGCTTCGAAGACACTTTGAGGTTTGCACCTGGGGGTAGGGAGTCCATTTTCATAACTGCACATTGCCTAGATGCATGCTTTGGCGTCTGTTTAGACTTGCATAGGCATCCCATTTCGACGCATAGGGTCCGCTTAGCCCTTTCATTTCGACCTTCCAGGCTCACAAGCGTTTGGGGGGGTGGGCGATGCTCAAGAAGACCGGGAGCAACAACTCGAGTGTTGCCACAGGGTACTTGTAGGACATCGACCTGGTCATGTGGGAATCACCTCTTCCCAGCCGGTGTTTCTCAAAATGGGGGACCTCCTTTTGGTGGGTATCAATGGGAACCAAAAGAACATCCACCATTTTGGGGGGCAATTAGTTTGAGGCTTTAGGTGTGCCGGAACTTCCGGGATGCATGAGGTCGGTCGCTTTTGCGATTAGCTGAAAGCAATCCAGTTTGGGCACTGCATCATGAGACAGGGACGCTTAGAAGATCAATGGGCCATGAGAGACACCCGCAATGGATAGCTGTCCGCAAGAGTCCAACGCGACGGTGCTTTTTCTTTTGGCACATGTTTATTGCCCCTTGGCTGCACAAAGGGTTGTTTAACAGCGCCTGCACATGTTTTCTCAGATGTAGATGCATGCAACAATGCGAGGACCGCACCGAAATATGTGCTTGATTCTGCTCATGGATTCTCATGGGTAATGCTAGGGAATGACAATCTCGAGGGAGTCTCGAGGGTGTATATGGACGCATTCCATCAAGTGGCAATGCCAGCCCCTATTCTTGCCTCATTCACGGTGCTGCTCAACACCCCCCATTGCTTTCTATTGGTTGGGAAACTCATAGCCATTGCCTTCTTGGGATATTGGAGATTTAGACAACCTTTGCAAGGCTCCTAATAAAGGCACATCAACATACGTGTGTCCGTGTGCCTGGATTTGCTTTACAGTTTGTCTGGGAGCCTCGAGCATCTCGCAGTGTAAACTGGAGATGTCACAGGTGTTTATGCAAGTGAAAAAGCCCCGAAATGCGGCACAGGCCTCATCGATGCCAGGCGGGGCACTTCGGAAGTCAGTTTGGCAAGTATCGACTCAAGGCGCTGAGTTACAAGCTACAAACAAGCGAAGCCAAGTGGGTGTGTCTTTTTTAGGGGGGCCCCCAAACTGGTGGTTTTCTTTGCGGTTTCCTTTTTAAAGCCATGAGAGAAGAGGTTTTCCAAAACGACACACGCACAATCTTGCAAATATTTACCAAAATGACGCTCATCCCATGGAAAGCAGCAAACAATATCATGCACATGGCATTCACTTCACATCCACAAGTCCACCCAGCCACTCATTTGCCGACCCATTTGCCTTTCGCATGAAGTCCCGCGTCAGGCCACCTCCGCCATTGGCGGGGGACCAAGGGCTGGCCCCAACTGAGGCAGCCAGGAATTGTTTGAACCTTGTTTCCCTGATGCTGATTGGTTTTGGTGTATATATGTACGTATGTTATGTTATAGCATGGTATGTGATATCATGTTTTGGTATGGTATGTGATGTCCTGTTGTGGTATGGCATGGTATGGTATGGTATGGTATGGTATGGTATGGTATGGTATGGTATGGTATGGTATGGTATGGTATGGTATGGTATGGTATGGTATGGTATGGTATGTGTGCATGTGTAAATGCATATACGCACACCTGTGATGAATACGATGTGTGGGTGGCTTTCTTGGCTAAATTCTGACAGACAGACATATGTTAGCCACGTGAATGTGTGCAAAGTTGTTTGAGAGCTCGCTGAAAAGCACCAGTCTCGGTCCATGCCGGTCTCCATTTCTTGGCGCACCCTACCCCTTGCAGCACTCAGTCCAGTTCCAGAAAAACTAAATCCGTTGGGATGGAAGGAACCATGACCACCGCATCCCAGAGGTTTAGCATAATACTTGACAATTGCCTGTGGCTCAGGCAGTTTGCTGCCCAAAACCTCCAAAATCTGTTTGTTGGCTCATGATGTTTGCACACAGAGTGCATCCATGCCTTCAAAGCAGGAAGACGTCTTCATTCACAGGGTCACCAGGCTTGAGCGTTGACGGCTGCAATGACGAGAGCCTGCATGTGTTTCTCTTTCTCTGCCGGTGTTGGCGAATCACACACCTTGTTTTAGTCTCTGTTTGTTTTTGTTTCTGCAGCACCTTTCAGATACGTAACCCCTTTGCAAAGAGCACCCCCTTGGAAGGTGGAGCGCGATGAGCAGGAATGATCCAAAGAAGGAGCTGAAAAACCACAATGGCCCAAGTTGGACTTGCCCAGGTCAAAGCAGACACCACGCTGGCACGATCTACACGCGCTATCGTCGAGGATCCGATGCTCTCATGGAGGGTGCGCCCGGCTTTGTGTTTGTCCTTGCCTTCATGTCCTGCGTGTGTGAAGGCTGAAAGATGCTGAAAGTATGAACCCATGCCTTTCTCTCGGTCCACAATTGCCATGGGTTATCGCGCATGTGCAGCCTTTGTTTGACCGCCTCAGGCGACACGGCATGATTCAATGAGTGCTGGCCATCATGGACTTGAAGACGAAATCTTGGCCACCTTGTTGGTGTTTCGTAAAGGCGGCGCGTCTGACCAGTCTGGCGAAGACATAGAATGAACACCTGGCCCCGCATGGACCGAACCTCGCCAGGCAGATCTTTTTCAGAAGCCCACCTTCCCTGTGCCTCAGTTTCACTACCACTCGATGCCAATGGCGCAGGCCTCAGCTAACGCGCAACCTGTGCGTCATGTCATAGCAGTCATCAGAAGTGCCTGCTGCGGCGTGATTCTTTGGAATGCGCATGGGACGACTGAAGATACATGCAGGACCCCCACGCTTCTTGCAACATGTGAAGCCCGCAAGTCGCTCACAGGCGGATTGGTTTGCGTCCCATTTGAAACCCTTTTATTATGTTCTTGTCTTCTGGCAGGCCAGCACTCAGCAAACGAAACAGCCACTCATAGGTTGCCAGACCCCGGCCCAGGTGGCCTATGCTAAGATTCCGACAGATCCAGTGGACGCCCCCCAGGCGAGTGAGGGATGCGAAGAGGCAGATAAATCCGCCTTCCAAGATTTCGCCTAGAATTTGGAGGGTCCAGCTGGGCAGCCAGGAGCCCAGGACCCTCGCCCTGCTGTCTTGAGTGGTATGCATCGTTTACCCCGTTTGAAGCTCTATCGGTCCAAGGTCATATTCCTGTTCTTTGGGAGGCCACCCTCACGCCCCTGCGTTTAGGTTTGGGAATTGACAAGCTCGCCTACTCGACCACAATTAGATTCCACACTTAATGGAACTAGGGGAAGACCAAGATGCCTTGTCCGCTGTCATTAGGGTGTGGCTCCAAGTCTAGGAGAGGACCGCAGTTTTAGTTGCGCTTTGTCTCTGCCGCGCCTTCATGTGCCTCCAGGAGGCTCAACCAGACCTCTCTGACAAGGCCGGAGCGACAAGCCCCGGGGCTATGTTGGAAGGCAAGCGCAAGGCAACCAACCCCACTGAGGACAACATGGGCGCATGTTTGTCACCAAAAGCAACGTGAGCGAGATGGCTGGCAAGGGCCAGGCATTGCAAAGGAACTTGGCCGAAATTTCTGCAACCACTCGCAAGCCGTTTTTGACACGCGGCCAACCAGTTGCTTGGGCCAAACCTTCAGGGTCAGAACGTACCACTCTCGATGCTAAGGACGCGTCCTTTCTTTGGTAAGGCTATTTATTCTCCAGCAATATTCCCAATAAAAACGATTGCCATTGGCAGTAGTCAGCCTGCTTTGGATTTCGAGGATGCCAGCTGACAATGTTGTTCCAGCCTGCAGCCGTCTAATGTCAGCCACAGCTTAGCTTTAAGAACCGATCGAGTCTTCCGCCCCACCTAGGCTCAAGACTCAAACCATTGAAGGCCCTTATCATGCTTGGGCAGGCCGACAAGCCAGGCATCCATTGCTGCTTCATGCTCCATCACTCCTCGTCCTTCACACAGCGTGCCAAAGTGTTTTCCTCCAGTACCCAATGAAAAGGTGAGAGATAGGGTGTGACGGAGTGGGGTAATTGCGCTGCAACACTTCTGGGCAAGAGAGCGGCCTGCCCAGAACCCTGAGAAGTACTACTTCTTCAGCGACCCGCGCAGGGGCTCAGTCAGATGATCACTGGCCATGGTTTGGCAACAAGCGGGCATGGAGGTGAGCTTGTGAGGGTTGTTGTCAGTTATACCGAGGAGGTCTCTTCAGTATTACTGTAGTAAGGCTACGACTCGCAGAGCATCTTAGGTAGGTCAGAATTCAAAAATTGTATTGCAAGGACCTGACATTGAGCACATGCTGGATCAAAGAAGTTAGCTGCTTACAACATATAGCGGTTCATTTTCAGGAGTTAGCTCCATGCCAGTGTCGTTTGTGTGTGTGCTTTCATCAACCCGGAGCCATGTTCAGTTCGTGGCAGTAGCAGCAGCTTCAACAAAGTGTCATTCTGCACTGCGCCAAGCTGAGACGATAAGTCTATGAGCTCAAACCTAACTTGACAATCATTTGCTGACGGGGCACCACACGTTCTGGTAGTAAACTCGCTGTTGTTTGATTGTGCTGTTACGTATGCCCCTTCTCTGGCAGAGCTCCACGTCGCCACACAGGATGATCACGCGATCCCACACGCTGCTGCCGGAGCATCCCTCACATGGTCTTGCAAAGCCCAGAGCCCCAGACTCGACCCTCTCGCGATGAAACAGATTTTCCGCTGGGGTGTTTCGTATGTTGTGGTGCGTTGTGTTGTGGTGTGGTGTCTGGTCTGGTTTGGCCTGTCCTGACTGTTGCATCGGCGTTTGTTCTTCGAGATGATCCAGTAGCAACTCGATGATCACAGGTTACATCCTTGTTATGTGAATCTGAACGTCTTTGCCTTGTTTTTTTTTTTTTTTTTCTGGGGGGGATATTTTTTGGGGGGAAATAAAAAGCACAGGGAAAACAACGGAAATTGGCAAGGACCGGGATTTTGATTTGGCCTAGGTCCAAGACCGTCTCAGCAGTGCAGCTGAGAAGCTACGCGTCGCAGCCAACGCTTGCCTGAGTAATTGCCAGGCCTCTTGACGGGTTGAAGCAAGGAATCTTTCTTCATGCTTGTTTGGCAACTTCGGTTGCCTGAAGCGACAGAACCTGAGCAGGTGGTCAAGATGATTCAAGGTGTGCTTTCCCTTTGCCCTTGCCAAGCGTGTTTGTATTTGGGCAAGAGCCGTTGTTTCGCGCAGCGCCTTTGGTCTTTGGGGCAGGGTCATAGTCTTGTCATGTTCTTGCCTTTGCCATCTCAAGCCTAAACAACAGCATGGGTTTGACATGCGCGTTTGTTGCTACGTGCGTGTGGTATGTGGGAGGCGAACTAGGCTTTTTGGGCTGTCAACTTCATGATATGGCAATGGCGATGTGGTTGCAGTGAGTTTGGTCAAGCAGGCATGGCCTTGTCAGAACTAGACTCTTGACGATGGAGTCACATCTTGTTCAGCGCTGCTTCTTTGGCACGCTGGCCGCTTGCCAGGCGTGCGAGTTGCCAGTGAGCTGCTAAGCGAGAGCATAGATACCATCCGCCTCAACGGCGGGCAGGAAATCAATCGACAGCTCCAAAGGAGCATCTTTTCCTGTTTCAAAATCCAGGCGCAGAAACAGGCACGGCGGGGATCCTGGGAGTCGTTTGTGGGTGTGCCTGCTGTCGGTTGATCAGCCGGATTAACAACCTAAGCTTCTCAGTTGACACATGAACTGATGCGCACTGCAGGCCCAGACTGACGCAGCAAGTGCGCCTTGTATCGGGAAGTCGTTTTTGCGAACGCCGGGGCGAGGGAGTGATGTGTGAATCTGCGTTTCGATTGTGCGAGCCCGTTGTCAAAGCATGGCTTCGCATTCTGCCAGGCGGATGCTCGTGATTGCCCTGTTTTTGCAAGGATCACCTTGAAATGATCATCGGACTAGGTAGTGATGAAAGACGTCAAATTTTAGGTTGGCTAATGTAAAGTGTTTAATGTGTTAATTGTTTTGTAGCTTGTGAGCTTGCAGCGTGGCATGGCTACCATGCTTCAGAACCTATTTTGCTAGCCGCTTGACGGGGGAGTGGGAGGGAGGAGAGAGAGAGAGGGACACAAATATATACGTATCTGTATATATACACAGATGCTAACACATTTATATTTGCATGAGCGTGCATGCATGCTTGTGGGCAAGCGCGACTCAGAGACTTTCGCGCTCGACGGCGCCTTTAAAGTGGCCTGGAGATTGGCGAGCCACATCACAAGCACGCCAACTTCTTTAATGTAAGTATGATGTGGCTCCAAAATAAAATACCTGATAAGCATAGCTTTCAACTTGAACTTGGCAATCGCAGAATCGCTCACCAACCTGAATTTGTCTACTGCCTTATTGGTATTTCCAGGCCTTTGCAACAAGTCTATGTATCCCTGTTACTCTTCAAAAGTGGCATTGCGGCTGCTGGCCTGACTTGCTGCTCTTCACGTGCCCCTCCGCGGCGCAAAAATCGCTGTGCTGAATGTGGGCGTATGTGGGCGCTGCTGGCGGGGTCTGGGGGAAGGGGCCAGGGGGCAAGTGGGCTGTCAGGCGGTCACCCCACTTCGCATTGCTCCACTTCCAAACTCGCCAATTGGACATCTCGTGCCTTGCAGCCTGGTTTTTGGAGAAGAGGTCTGAGACGAAATTGTTCGCATTGAGCTGAGAAGGCCGTTGCATTTGCAGGAATGAAACTTGGTCCACTGCTTGCTGTTCACTGGGATGGTTTGCCAGTAAAATCAGTCAATTGGGCCCATTGAGGACCAAACTTGAGCAGAGACAACTAAGGTTACTGATGCCCGTCATCCATCGCCGTGTTGTTCTGTGCACTTTGCAGCACCTAGGCTTGATGCGCATTCATATTTTTTGAGCAGCAGAGCCAACGTTCGATACCCGCCCTGCTTCCAGAAGTTAACGAGTGCTGCCAAGAGCATGTTTGTGTGGAATGGGCATCGGCCAAAATACGCAACAACTTTGACGTCGACTAGGATTTGGACAACACCCGAAGCCACAAGAAATTGCATTTGCCATTTCAGCGCAGTCTCGGGATGCTGGGCATGCTATAAGTTTGCACGTGCGGAGCCTCACCAAGCTGCTTAGCAGCCAAAGCCCATAGCCCATTTGAACAAGCCCCTCTCCTACCAAAGCAGTCCCTGGAGAGTCCAAAATTCGAAGGGTGCCCCGGCCCCTTAAAAGCTTACAGAGGATTTGTGGGCCGTCGCAGGCTGGTCTGGGTGTTGCTGGCGCAGGGCTGCCCTATGTCACTGACTTGCAGGACGAAGGCGCTGCCGGATTTGGTTGTGTGAGTTGATTCCCAGCAGGCCACGGCCAAAAGACGGCGGCTTTGAAACAATATCAGCATCAGCATGTTTTTGGTCCAACTCTGGTGGCTCAACGTCCCAGGCGGAGAACTTGCCAGAAGAATCTGGCGCAGTTGGCACATGGACCGTGCCGCCCTTTCAGTTGCATTGAAGATGCAAGAAGCTTTGGCTGAGAAGCTGCAACCTTGTGGAAATCCGGTGACCCCAGCACCAGGTCTTCGGTTCCAAGTCACTCCAAGTCACCGGCAGTCAGGCGCTTTCGGCTTTCGGTTTCAGTCCGTTTCGCCAGGCGCCCGGTTCCGGGCGCGGGGCTTGCTGCACGTGGCGGGCGCGGAGCTGCATATGGAGCTGCCGAGGCGAGGGGGCTTGGGCGGAGGCGCCTAAACGAGCAACGGTCTTGTGGGTTTCAACTACTTGACGTATGTTAGAAGTAATACAGGGCCACGACATGCGGTTCGGCTTGCGGCTCGGTCCAAGCGATGTTGAAATAGGCATGAGGTCGAAGCCGGCAAGCTCACACCGTTCCGCTAGGAAAATATAGCGGAGAGAGACAAAGGAAACCTCAACTTGGGAAACCTCAGCTTGCGTGTTTGCAGAGCCAAGTTGTGCTTTTTAAGCTCAGTTTGCATTTGTTTGGTTCCTAGTAGGTTTGTTGAACGGTTCAGTTTTTTAACGGATTGGTTCTTATACGGTTCGGTTCGTTCGGTTCGGTTCCACGGTGTTTATTTCGGTTTCCGGCTTCCCAGTCATACATATACTGCAATTGCATTGCATTGTACATATTAGAGTGCTGACCCCAACCACGCTACAGCCTTGCTGTCCCACAAACTTGAAACTGGTTAAAGGCTGTTGAATTAATAATAAGTCGGGTTGCAGAATGCCCAGGGTTACCCATTTCCATTTGGGTTGCCATACATCAAAGCAAGCAACCCTGATAAGGGAACCTTTCTGCACGGTCTGCTCTGTTCAGCAGAAATGTGGAGCACGTCCCGCGCGCAGAGAAAACCAAAGTCACCTTTTGCACAGCCGACATTCTTTGTGGAAGCGCTTGAGTCGTGTTGAGTTTGTTTTGCTCCCTCAGACGTTTGATTGGGGCAACGCAATGGTGGGGGGGGGGGGGACGTCCCTGAAGCTTTGCAAACAGCAAAAAGCTGGGTTGCCCGTAATGTTGTAGCCGTGTTGAAAATTGTTGGTATGTCCCCTTGGCTTGCAACAGCCCCGGCCAACACCCGCACCAGGTCGCCGTTTTCTGCGCCAGAGCCATGCATAACAACCTTCCAGGAGGGCGTGCTGGCGAGCGCCAGCGACTCGCTGAGTTAGTCAAAGTTCTGATGGATGTTCAGCTTTTTGTGCTGAAGCTCATGGCCGAATGAGCACATCTTTGGACTCTTGGGGTGCTGAGTGCGTGAACTAGCCTTGGGACAAGCAAGCAGGGAAACCTCACATTTGCAAATTCAAGAAGCAGCCAGGCAACGGGTGAAGCAACAAGTCACCTGGATGATGGATAGGGTTTTTTCACACATGACTTTCTCATGTACTGGTAGTTGAACCAACAAACCTGGAGTCATGCCTCAGTTGGGCATCAAATGCTGCACACGGCTCAGGGAGTACAGGGGCTACGGCCCTTAAACAGAGTTGGAACGGTCAAGTTCATCCGTTTGTGCATGTTGGAATTTGTGATGAGTGGGTGGTTCTGGCAGAACAAGTGGAACGTTCTAGTTGACAGTATCGCGCATGATTAGTGTCGCAACAAGCGCAGCTAAGTCTCACGAACCTTGGGTTTGATGGTAAGAGGCCCCAGCTTCACAGCATGCCAACTTAGTCGGGCAATCCACTCCCCGCACAACTGCCTAGCTAGACGGACTAGCCAAGTGCGATTGGCTAGTGCCCACTGGGTCCCTAGCACTCTTATTGAGGGTTGCCAACCCGAAGGAGGTTCAGCAGACCAGTCGCTACTTTTGTCTCTGAGGAAATGATGCGCGTGGCGTAAGTATCCGCCTCTGAGTCCGTCCCAAGGTCGCGCATTTAAAAGCGAGGCCAACTTGTTTCTTTTTGGTTTAGGGAGCCAGCCAGTTGGATACCCGGACGCCCAGTTCCTTGGCGGCGGTTTGCATGGGGCCGTGGCCTATCCGAACCACTAAACCCGAACCTTAAGTATTGGTTCCGCTTGGTGTTTCCGTTTGTATGTGTGTGTTTGCTTGTTGTTTGGCAAGGGCGCTCTCACTGACAGACTCGGAAAATGCGGCAAGCATGAACCACCGAGCCGCGGATCTCATTTTGAGGCCTTCGGCTGCACACGTTTGGCACCCCAATCTTTGATTTCGACGAGGAGCTGCAAGTCACTGCGGACTCGAGGCGTTGGGCTGTGGTTTTTCGAGCTAGTGCATACGTTGCTGTTGATGTTGCTTTCTTTTTTCTTGTTAGGATTTGGTCGGTGTTGGCTGTCATTGCTGGCTCCAATACCTTGGAAGATTGAGCGCGCATTTGGCGCACAAACCCTGGGCTTTGGGATCTTTGGGATCTTTGGGCGGCGTTTGGTGCCTTTGCCCTGGGTGGCCGGTTGATTGAAAAGCAGCCCCTCGTTTGGCCATTCACTTCTGCGCTTCCGCGTGGCACCTTGGCGTGTTGCAGCCCTTGCACCTGAAGGACCCCATTGCCCTGCCTGCACTCAGACGGAAGAGACGCCTCAGTTGTTCACATTTTGCTTTTCGGGATAGATGCGCTGGTGACTCATGCCATAGACGCTCACATGCGAGGAATGTGTGTTTGTGTGTTTTTTTGCGCGGAAAACGGCACAATGGGGCTAGAATGCTATAGCCCTGGAAATCCACGACTGTTTTTTAAACGTCCTTTGCACCTCGCCTGTTTTTTGCAGCTAAAGCCTGTTTTTTGCGCCTGCAATGAGCCATGGCGTGGTATTTGATGGATGTTTCATACTGTTGCCACGTTTAGATTCTACAAAGCCTGTTCCACCCCAACATGTCTTGACACAACAAGTTTGGTGTGAACATAGCGGTCCGTGATGTACGCAAAAGTAGCGTGAAATCACCGTGAAAATACCGTGAAATTGGCGTGAAAGCCTGTTTTCCAGCGTGAAAGCACGTTTTCTGCCGTGAATTTTGACACCGGTGAATCTTTGTGTTTCAGCCTGTCCTTTGGTAATCCCTCCGCTTGTTTTGTGGGAACGGAGGTCAAGTCTTTGCACACTTTGGTCCTGAGCACGTGCGGCGCCCGAATTGTTCAATGATATCAGCTGAGCTTGGACAAAACTACTCCTGGCAAAAACCGTCTTTCACAGAAAGCATGCAAAATAAACCGCCTTTGGAACTTCAGGGATAGCAGAGTCTGATGGCACCCGGGCGCCTTATGAAGGCAAGTTCATGTTCCATGAGGTACCCAGCGTCTCTGGAGAATCCAGTGCTTTTGGGGCTTTTGGGCAAACTGCTTTGAAGTGCAAACAGCAACTGAGAGGTCGATCTCCAGCACGCCACCCCAAAGCAACATTCTGCCGTCTAAAGCAGCAACATCTACCACAAAACAACCTACTGGACTATGCCGACCCCCGAACTTCCCCAGCCAGGCTACGGGTTTGCTGGCGGAATCCGGACGACTGCTGGGCAGCGGTAGCATCTTGACCTCATTGGGGGTTCCGAGGCTGGTTCTTGCCTTTGCCTGGTCCAAAAGCAAGCAGGCAGGAAAGCAGAAGGGCACGCGACTAGGCAGGCAGACAAGCAAGGCAGAAAAGCAGGCAGGCAGAGAGGCACCCTGTCAACCCAAATCCACCATAGCACCAATTAATTCAGAGAAATGCTGCAGGCCTGCGACCTTAGGACCTAGGAGTCGCGCAAAGTCCTCGAGGCACCACTGTGCGTCATTTGCGATCCAAATCCCGGGCATTTGCGGCCACAAAGTTCGGGTGTTTTAGGCACACAGTCACAGGCCCTCAAGTTGAATCCGACTTTCTGGCGTCTGGTCCCTTTGAAACAAGGGCGCGAGGCTCAGGGAGGGGTCCACTGTGTTTTGTGTTGTTTTTGTTTTTTGTTGTTGGTTGTGTTTGGTTTAACCATAGTCACACGCAGCTCAAGATTCTCTTCCCTTGGGCAATTCGACCACCCTTCGCATCTCAAGGCATTGCTGGAGTACACAGATCAGCTGGATGATTTTCGGCTGGACTCTGTGGACAGCCCGCCGCGCGCGCTGCATTTGGGCTGGGTGATGGTGGTTGCTCACATTTGGTAGTTCCTGGCAGCAGGCTATATGAACCCCCCACCCACTTTCAGGTAGGCCGCTTTTGACACAGCGAGCAGTTGTCCAGGTGCTTGATTTCCATTTTCCAGCTTGTGCAGCAGCGCGAGTCGGGCAAAAGGCTAGTCGGGAAGAATTGATAGCAGGCATGCTGCAAACGAACAGACGGACCAAAAACAAGGTGTTAACTTGTAAATGCAAGTCTCCGGGACACCCGGCAAGAATTCACGCAATGGTCAACCATTGGCTGCTGGAATTCTCTCGTCAGCCCATCCATCTCGTGAGGACTGGTTCTGCCACGCTGCTGATCTTGGCGCCCCCATCCTGCCCCGCGGCGTGAGAATTCCTGGACTTGAGCTCGCTGGGTTGAGAAAGCCCGAGGCAACAGCCGAGTGACCATTGAGAAAAGGAAGGGGTTGTTTCCAATTTCCAATGCTAAAGTGAAGGATGCCTGCTTTTGGTTGTGCTAACTTGATCTGTTTTGTTGGTTTCGCCCCACTCTGGCCTGCTGGGCTCCTAGACTGACATTAACGCTTTTATTGCGTGGCATCGACAGCAAAGGTCTGATGTGGGCGCTGCGTCCCTCTCCATGAGGGATGTCGTGGATGTCGTGGTAGAAGTGTCGGATAATGTCGGATAAAACCGCTCGTACAGTTTCCACAATCGCAGGTTCGTAGTTGCATTGCGCATTCGCTGAGCAACTTCTTCCTTGGTTTTCAAGAAATTGCTAGGCATGGTGCCATTGCCCGCGAGGCCGCATTAAGCTGGCTGTCGCAGATGGACAACCAAAGACTGACCAAACACAGCAGTGCTTTGCCCTCAAGCTGCAAACGAGAAGCTCTCATGTGTTTAATTTTGTTTGTCTCCAAAGCGTGCAGACAAGCAGCCAATTGGGCAGGGTCTTGGTTCCCATAGCTTACCAGCATCGTCACTCTTTCAGCGCCTGAGGAGCGGTGAACATGTGCACCACATTGCACCACGTAACACACGAGGAGGCATGCAGAAGGCTTTGCGGAAGGGAGCTGCCCGGAAAGTGTGCACAAGTGCGAAAGAAAACAACAGACAACCAACGTGCACGCAACGAGTGCGCAAGACGCTGAGTAAAAAACAGGCGTTGCGTTGCAGTACAACTTCCAGCAGGCCCGGCACCACACGCTGCGAAGAAAAAAGGCGGATGCCAGCAACCAACACACCACGGAAAGGACCCTTGGACCCAACGGGATGCCGAAGGGTCAGCAGCTTGAAACAAATCCTGAGGCACCCAACGTGCATTTGTTTTGAGGTACGAGAGAAAAACGCTCTAATTGCCGATTTCTGCTCGACCCCCAAAAAACGCTCGCCCGAAAAACGCTCGACCAAATCCCATTCTTCCATCCGTACGTTGTTTTTTGCACTCGTCTGCGGATATTTGCGCTCGTTTTGCGGATATTTGCGCTGGTTTTACACTTCGATTTCTGCTCGCTCCTTTCGAAAATTCAGCGACTGATCAACTTGGAAAACCGACCAGCCCGGTTTTGGGAAAACGCTCGAAGCAGGAAAAAGTGTACGTTTACCACATTTTGGTGACGACCCCTGGTTTTGCAATACGTTTGGGCTAAGGGCAGAAATTTAGGCAACGAAGGGTGCTCCAGGATTCTTCGTGAAAGGATAGAAACGCCACTCGTTTGTTTTTTTGTCTACATGTCCGCAATGCCGTTTGTCATTTCAACCGGCAGCTGTCCCACACGTAACCATGTCCGAATGAGCCATTGACTTGTTTTTTCTCGCCTGAGGTACGCTGCAGGAGACGGGGCGGAGGGGGGCGTAGAGGCTATGTCAGAGGGAAAGCCTTTGGCGTTTTTCCGAGTTTGGAAAGGGTGATCACCGTCAATTCATAATAACATGGATAAGCACGTCCAGAGTGAAGTGGGTGTTTTCCATTTTGTAACTGGATGTTTTGCTGGCTGGCGCTTGTGTGTTGGTTTTGTGCCTTGCTGCTGTGCACCTGTTTTTGAGCAAAGATGTGCGTTCCCATTGTTGACTCTTGGTTAATCCAAATGCGAAACCATGCATTTGTTTGCGGCATCCTGCTTTTTACTCTGCATCACCCTCTTCCTGGCAACGCAGCATCCCTGATGGTCAGCTACTTGACCGGCTTCGATTTGCTGCCCCTGCAAGCTTAAGTCGCCCCTTCGGCAGCCTTGGGGCCTCGCAATTTAGTTTTGATCCGGACATTGCTGCAGTCTTGCGCGAGTCATAACTTTCAGAAATTGTGTTTGGAGCCATGCGACTGACAACAGAAAGGATGCCTTGAAGTATCCCCGTCGATGCCAGCGAAGCCACACATGCAAGCATTACGGTAGGGTTTTCTTTGCTGCACGGACGTTTGCTTTCTGGCTGCTTGCGCCAGAGAGCCAGCAACATCCCGCTAATGCCCAAGACACTTCCAGCCGCCGGCCGCAGAGACGCATGTCATGAACTGTTTGTTTACTCACCTAATGAAGGATGAACAAGGGTACCCTGATTCAGCTTGCTGCCTCAAGCCCCCCGACATCTGCCAACCAGCCCCTGAGCCCTCCCAACTATGACTGAAGTAGAAACCCACCTTACATTCCCTGGAAAGAGTGTTCCAAGTCAATAATATTGAAAGTAGATTCAGCCTGAAGCTAACTATGATTTTTGTGCGACTGAAAGTTGCAGCCTTGCATACTCTCAAGGCCTTGGAAGGTGGGAGACCTTCCGTAAGATTGTAAGAACATGTGTGCGACCAAAACCCTTAAACATAGGGGTCCTCTAATAGTAGAGCCATTCATGTCCCTTACATCTTGTTTTCATGCGTGCTGTCGTTTATCACTTGTGGGGCATGGTTTCGGGGTCGCACTCGGGTCAACATTCATTTTTTTTTGAAAATGCCAGCGCGACCGAGGCCCCAGAACAGTGCCGGCTCAATCACAAATGGCTCAACGCGCTGTCCCAAGCCAATCAGGCTAAGCTTTCAACCTTGTGCTGTTTGTTGCGCATGCGCACGTGTGCAAGAGCCCGCAAAAGCCATGCCCGGGCTCCAAATGAAAAGCCCTCGCGTAAGCCGTACTGTAGCCTGTAGCAGCATTATCACTTAATCAAGGCGAGGCTTCTTGAGGGTACCTGTTCCATACTCTCGCACTGATCACCACCGTGCAGCCAGCTAATGTGGGTGTTGCAGCACAGCAAGTCCAAGTAAAGAACAGTCAAGCAGTCATTGCTTCATCAGGTGCGGGCGACAGGCTGCTAGCCAAGGGCCTGCTTGGGCAGCTGCTGGCAGGCTGAAAGTTAATTCTGGGAGTTTGAGGCTTGACAAAACCGTACGCTACGATATGCTACCTTGCGTGCTTGAGGGCAACTATTTGTGCTGGTTCCCATTTGATGTGCGAGTTTGCGCTGGGTGTCTCTGTCCATTCGCCTCACTCATTTCATGAACAAGCACCGTTCCTGCGTAGTGTTACATCAATGATGGGGGTATCTGGCAGAGTGACGGTTGCCTGGCCAACTCGGCTCAACCAGCCAACTCGGACCTGACAAAGTGACGGATTTTCCTGGCCAACTTGGTTCAACAAGCCAACTCGGATCTGGCAGAGTGACGGGGTTTCCAGAAACCCAGTCACAAAACCCCAGCCAAATGGGTTCAACCAGCCAACTTGCGTGCCTCAGAACAGATCACAACTCCTGATCCCTCAGTCCAAGTGAAATCGTGACTGGGTTTCCAGAAACCCAGTCACAATTTAGCCTTGAACTTGAACACCCATCACACATCTGATGGTGGACAGAGTGCAGCAGGTGCGACTGGTTCGCCACAAAGGCCACAAGTTGTGACTGGGTTTCTGGAAACCCAGTCACGATTTCACTTGGACTGAGGGATCAGGAGTTGTGATCTGTTCTGAGGCACGCAAGTTGGCTGGTTGAACGCATTTGGCTGGGGTTTTGTGACTGGGTTTCTGGAAACCCCGTCACTTTGCCAGATTCGAGTTGGCTTGTTGAACCAAGTAACTAAGCCCGTCACACTGACAGATCCGAGTTGGCTGATTGAGCCTGGCCAGGAAAATCCGTCACTTTGTCAGGTCCGAGTTGGCTGGTTGAGCCCAGTTGGCCAGGAAAATATGTTACTCTTCAAGATCCAAGTTGGCTGGTTGAGCCAAATTGTGGTAGCCCCGTTCATCAATGCAACACTACGCAGAAAACGGCGTCTGTTTTCATGAAATGAATGAGGCGAATGGACAGAGACACCCAGCGAGAACTCGCACATCAAATGGGAACCAGCACAAATAGTTGCCCTCAAGCACGCAACGTAGCATATCGCAGCGTACGGTTTTGTCAAACCTCAAACTCCCAGAATTAACTTTCAGCCTGCCAGCAGCTGCCCAAGCAGGCCCTTGGCTAGCAGCCTGTTGCCCGCACCTGATGAAGCAATGACTGCTTGACTGTTCTTTACTTGGACTTGCTGTGCTGCAACACCCACATTAGCTGGCTGCACGGTGGTGATCAGTGCGAGAGTATGGAACAGGTACCCTCAAGAAGCCTCGCCTTGATTAAGTGATAATGCTGCTACAGGCTACAGCACGGCTTGCGCGAGGGCTTTTCATTTGGAGCCTGGCATGACTTATGCGGGCTCTTGCACACGTGCGCCTGCGCAACAAACAACACAAGGTTGAAAGCTTAGCCTGATTGGCTTGGGACACCGCGTTGAGCCATTTATGATTGAGCCGGCACTGTTCTGGGGCCTCGGTCGCGCTGGCATTTTCAAAAAACATGAATGTTGACCCGAGTGCGACCCCGAAACCATGCCCCGCAAGTGATAAACGACAGCACGCATGAAAACAAGATGTAAGGGACATGAATGGCTCTACTATTAGAGGACCCCTATGTTTAAGGGTTTTGGTCGCACACATGTTCTTACAATCTTACGGAAGGTCTCCCACCTTCCAAGGCCTTGAGAGTATGCAAGGCTGCAACTTCAATTCACATATAAATCATAGTTAGCTTCAGGCTGAATCCACTTTCAAAGTTACTGACTTGGAACACTCTTTCCAGGGAATGTAAGGTGGGTTTCTACTTCAGTCATAGTTGGGAGGGCTCAGGGGGCTGGTTGGTAGATGTTGGGGTGCTTGGCGAACCTGTTTGTTTTATTGGGAGACATTTTTTGTCACTAAGAGGAGGTCCTGCAAGCTTGCTGGTGGGCCCTTTGCGAAGGCCGCAAGCGGCACTTCCTGCTCCAAAGGAACTGTAGAAAAGGAAGAGGATCCGCAATTTAAGCAGCCATAGAATGCAAATGTTTTTGCAGCAAAGGAAAGGCCCTTCTGTAATGCTAGCATGTGTGGCCTTGCGCGAGCTTGTTCAACGCTGGCAGGGGGGGTGTACTTCAAGGCGTCCTTCCCGTTGTCAGTCGCACGGCGCCAAAAACAATTCCTGAAACTGACTACTTGTGCAAGACTGCAGCAATGCCCGGAAGAAAGCTAAATTGCAAGGCCCCAAGCTGCAGAAGGGACAATTTCAGCTTGCAGGGGTGGCAGATTCAGGCCTGTCAAGTAGCTGACGATATTGGACACCGTGTTGCCAGGAAGAGGGTGATGCGGTGTATGGTTGTGTCAACAAAAGCTGCACAGCGGCAAGGCACAGCACCAGCATAAAAGCACCAGCTAACAAAACACCCAGTTATGAAATGGAAAACACCCAGTTCACTCTGGACATGCTTGGATGCAGTACCCGCGATAGCTGAGACCTAAGCATCACCTCAGAGCGTAAGTGCGCAGAAAGGCTGAAGGGTTCCCGGCGGAATTCGGATCCACTCCTAGGGAGCCAAGGAGGGGGATGGCCATCTCGAGTGCCATTCATCAAGCCAGACGAGTTCCAACGGGATGTCCCAAGAACCCGCCAGCCACGCGTCAAGCCGCCCGTTTTCTCCAGGATGTGGCGCTTCATGCTGCGCCTGCCGTGTTGGAAGCCACCGCGGGCTCGCGCAGCTATGCGGTGGTCTCCGTGTCCGTGCAGGCGCGGAGCGATGAGGCATGACAGGCGCAGGCACGAGATACACGCAGATCCTTTGCTGACTTTCCGTGTCATTTTGTTCATCCCTTCCATGTACAACCACGGTCAGTCTTCCTTGTAAGGAACCCACATTGCGACCCGTATCGTTCCTGCCTCTTTTGTTGGCTTATTGTTGCTCGCGAAGCTATCTCGAATGTGTCGCATGCTCAGTCAGGCAAATCAGGGGAAGCCATGCAATATGTTTAAGGTTGCCAGTAGCCCACAACTGCTTGAGACCACAGTATATGCAATGCAAAATGTCCGACTTGCGAATTGCATCCATAAAAGACGTGTTGTGATGATCAGTGATTGTGAGCAAGAAGCTTGCAGAGCTGTGCAACTGTTTCAATGAAGAATCCTGCATCAACCACACTTTCTTGCATCAACAATTTTCTTGTTTCTATTTCCCTTTTGGTGGGGAAGGCTAGCACAATTTGAGTTGGAGACCCTACCCCCTACCCCTGAAGGTGTATGGGCATTTTCTTACATTGGAACCTTGCAACTGGTTGGGCTTATGATGGCTTCCTTAGCCAAAGCTTGCTCCGGCGAGAACTGCGTTTCATGCAGGGGAAGCCTCTTGTGCCGCTTCGTGCTTTTGAAGCCTTGCATGTGGTGACAGTCTCTTGGTGCATTGGCCTGGCCATGCCTCGAGATTCTCACAGGCACCTGACCATAGCGCAATGGTCCCCCTTCATGTCCTCCCTAAGCATGACAATATGTCGCTGGCTCGTTGTGCCAGCGCTTGTGTTGTTGCGAAGCATGATTCTATTCACAAGCCATGCTTGTGGCTCGGCATCACACGCCAGCTCAAGAGCGCATCTAGATGGCACCCTCTGGAAGATCCAACGTTCCAAAGCTGAAGGTGCTCAAACTTCATGTTTGCAGTCTAGCCGGACGCTCCGGCACCATGTGTTCCTTCCTTCTCCATACGCAAAGTTTTGGAGGCCTTCTGGGCATTAGTCATGCGACGCCTTGAGTGTATCATTATGGTATGTCGGGGGTGTCGCCTTATCATGCCTTATCTTTTGTTGTTGATGCAGCAAGCCCCCCCCCCTCCCCCGCTCGTTCCCTCGAGGAAGTGAAGCCGGGAGCCTTCGAGCAGCACCGCACGCACCGGAACTTGTCCAGGCGCGTTCGGTTGGCCGAGGGTCCGCCAACTTCCCCAAGGGCACGTCCGACTTAGGCTCAGGCGGAAACTGTGAGGGTCACACGATTCAGCTTCCATGTGCGGAGAAGTGTCCAAGTCCGAAGCGCAGTCTGTTGCGGGTGAAGTGGCAAGATTTGCGTTTTTAGCCTGTTGCGTTTTACAATGCATTTGGCTTCTTTTTTGGGCGCAGGGATTCGACTCTTTTCCCAGGTCGTGCTTCCATTTGGCATTTGCGCTGCTATTCTGTGGGGGGGCGTTGAAACCCAGCTTCTGGAGGTGGATACCTCCGTATCCAGACGGTCCACCATATCCTGAAGAGGCGGGTGCACTGTTGCTCGTGGTTGTATCCCACATGAGCCCAGGGCTGCGCCTTTGCCCACTGAACCAACCGAGCCTCCACAAGTTGCGACAAGTTTCAAGGGAAGCCTTGGCCCCACTTGCAAAGCTTATGGCAAAAGAAGTTTCAACTTTGTCCATTGTGTTGTTTGGAAATGTGCCAAGGAGTTGTTTGCTGTGTGTGTGTGTGTGGGTGCTTGCGTGCGTGCGTGCGTGCGTGCGTGCGTGCGTGCGTGCGTGCGTGCGTGCGTGCGTGCGTGCGTGCGTGCGTGCGTGCGTGGGTGGGTGGGTGGGTGGGTGGGTGGGTGGGTGGGTGGGTGGGTGGGTGGGTGGGTGGGTGGGTGTGGGGGTGTGCATCAAGGTTGTTGGAAACCTACTGGTGTTAGTTGGCATCCAAGCTTAGTTGGGTCGGCAAGGGGTTGGCGTGGAACTTGCAAGGGTTGCGTTTGGGGTGCTTGTGCGTGATAGCGTGCCGCAAGCCGTTCGGCATTGAACGAGTTCCGCGATGCTGATACACGCCCCATTGTCAAAGAAGATCCAATGCAATTCAAATGTGTTCACGCAGCTGACTCGAAGAGGTTGCCAATGATCCCAGATCCAAACTTGTCCCCCAAGATCATGCGCAAGTTTTGTTTTTTGTTCAGCAAAACAGCTGCAGGTTGTATAATGCATGTTTTGGTGGGAAGTGCCAGCCTGAACCATTTAACCCATAGGTGTGTGTTTTAGCTCAGTTTGGTTGCCCATGCTCCACGCATGGCACTGTCTTCAGTTTGGTTCCAACAGTATGCCAGTTGGCTGCTTGATTGGTTGGTTGGCTGGCTGGCTGGGTGGCTTGGTTGGTTCGGTTGGTTTGCTTGTGGTTCAACTTGATTGGCGCCAGTTGGTCTGTTGGTTTGATGGTCAGGTTGGTTTGTTGCTTGCTTGGTAGCTTAAGCACGCCAATTCAGCTCTTGGCAGATCTCTTGGCAGCTGACTAGGTGGTGGGCTTTGGCGACGAGTGCCTGCGAGCCGCGCTGGGGCCCATGGACGATACTGCAGGCGGACTAGTTGGGACAGAGGTCCTTATGAACACATGTGATTCAAAGATCAGGGGCCCATGTAGATTGGGCTTCCTCTGGCAAAGTGCTGTTTAAAGGGTATGGGTGTTTGTTTTTAAAGGGCCCCCCAAGATGGTGGTTGTCCCTTTCAAACCAGGAAAAGAGGGAGGAGTCCTCTCAAAAAGCCCTGCATAATATCTCCAACCGTTGAGGTGCACGTTATGGCCTGCGAGTACATAGACACACCTCCCTGACCAGCAAGTTTGCAAATCACTTCTGCACGGATGTCAAGGAACACCTGGAAGTGCACAAGCACGACTTGATTGTCCTTGGAAGTTTGGAAGTGGGAAGAACCTCGCGTGTCATAGTGGTTGGCCCTGTCCCGCCTGAAGTGAAGTGCGCCAGCAATATCACTACGGACAGTGGAGGAGAGGTGCCTCAACCTCCTGAGTTGGGCAACATCTGGTTGACTTCGACCAAACCCGCAATCCAACTGATGCTTGCTCAAGGCGTCTGTTGGAGGCCAGAAATAGGCCGAAGTTGGAAGTTCATCCCATTCAATTGGCTCACAATAGCCCCTGGGTTGCAAAATGAAATCAATCTATTCCTGGTGCCTTCGTTTTTGTTGCAGCCAGGTGTAAACTCTCCATGTGTACTTGAATATCATACTGTTTTGCAACCGCCAAACTTTTCATGGGGAGCCTCCCCGTGAATCCGTTTCCCACTTTGGAACCAAGTGGTCGGCGAGCCTGATGGCTCGTTGACTCTGCAATGCGGAGAAGCGAACCGCTTCGGGCACATCTCACCAGAAACATGGCAAGACCTTGCTGTCAACCCCCCACCCAAACCGTTATTATTGGCTGCATGCCTCGAGGGAAGGCGAATTCCTCCTGTTGGTTGACACTCAGGTCGTGAGTGAGCCTCTAGAATTAGAACAAAGTAGTTCTCTTTCCCACTTCCCGCGGAAGGCCAATCCGTCCAGTGCAGGAGGCATCTCAGTTTGTCTTAGCTGTTTGCCTTGTGCTCTGGCCGCCCCTGTCCGCACTGACGGCAACCACTACCCCTCCCCCCAAGAGCCTGTTGCCAACGTTTGCAGACACCCACTTCCACAAGATCTTCGGCCGGGTCTTATGCAGCCCCAGTGCTTGGTCGCGTCCAGAGGAGACGGGTACTCAAGTTGTCAAGGCCGTGCGCCTGTAGGGTGTTGCACTGCAAGCTCAAGATTCACAAACTTCAGGTGAGGCACATCGGTCCAAATGAGCCAGAAGCGTTCCCAGCAATTGCTACATGTTTTTGCTTCAGACTCAAAAGCGTGGTGCTACTACTTCAGCCTATTGGCCTGGTTTGCTCGCGACATTCAGGGGAATGGCTTCCTGGTGCAAAAGCTGACGGTCCTTTGCCCAGATCGCCGAGGGTTCACGACACAGTCTAGATGAACAACTGGCCTGAAGATTGAATGGAGTATTGGTTTGGTTGCGTTCGCCTTTGCAGGGGCCAGGTGCTTGTTTCCTTCCGTGTTTGTTCATTGCGAGCTGCGCTGTAAACAATGAGTTGATGGACCCCTTTGGATTTATGGCCCGGCGTTTTTATGCTAAAAACACAGCCTTGTGCGCACTGACAGAACCGCATTCATTGACTCGTCAAAACGGCCTCGTCCAGTAGGGTCTTAAGCTGTTGATCTTCCATACCAATGTGGGGGAAGGTATGAATCAAAGGGGTTAGTCTTGCTTCCTAGTTGGATTCAATTGCAAGGAACTGGTATTGAGTGTGGCCCCCTCGCGGAGAAAAAGAAGCCTGGAGTCGTACGTCCGGCTTTGCACAGAGTTTCTGGCAGGGATGAAGCTCAGATCTGCTTTTCCAAGTGCACCATGAAGCAAGTGCATAATTTCACCTGTTCTTCCCCCTGTTGGTCCTTTTTTTAATCCTCTGTTAATACTCTTTTAATGTCCTACCGGGGTGGATCCACAAAAGCCACATCTACAATCAGGGAATGGTTTATTTTGGTGTTTCAGCCTCAGCTCTTGGGGAGCGTGCCTGGGAGGGACTCGTTGGCCTTAGGGGAACCAAGACGTTAGGCCCAGCGACAGGACTTTGAGGGAGAAGCTGCGGGCTTGAAGATCTATGTGCAGCCGACGCTGGGCTGAGGGTAGCTGCTGTGTGCCCGCCCCTTCCAGCTGAGTCAAGCCAAACGTGCCGCCTGATGCCACAGTTGTAGTCCCGGCTTGCGGCCCACATCAAGCCCCCCTCAGCCTGGCCCTATAATGCCATTGGCCCGGTGTCACCTTAAGACCGCACAAATTTGATTCCCACCACCTGAGCCCAATCCCAAACTCAGCTTGAAACAACCGCAAACTCGCACATCCATTCCAACGCACACCTGGGCTAAACAGGCATCCGTAGAGAGCCTTGTTTGTTTTACTATCCCGCCGCGTTGCGTTTGGCAAATGTTTGGCGCCGACTACTCATCAAATCGGTGCTCAAATCAGTCTACAAAGCTAGTCAAACAATGCGATTAACCCTTATGGGGGCAATGTGTCAGGCTTCGGATCGTCTTGCCGCATCGGTATGTCAACTTGCGATCGGGGCTACCTGCGCTGAGAGGGCCGCGGGGACTGGAGTTGCAGCCAAGGCTTCCTGGCATCCTGAACGCAGACAGCGCCATGGCAAAGATGTGAAGCAAGCCGTGGACCTTGCGGCCACAAACGCGCTGTTGAGGGATCAAGTATCATGCAAATTAGTTGGGAAATTCCTGCATGACTTTGTTGGAGTCTTGACTTTACATGGAGTCCAGGGTCGCCGAGGCCCAAGAAGACAGGGTTTGACTTGTGCGCGCGCATTTGTGCGTTAGTGTCTACATGTTGTGCAGACGATACTGGGCTGCCCAGCCTCCGCCTCGTCCAGTCCACTTGCTGCAGTCCAAGGGTCATGTGACTCGGACCACAGCAGTCAGCTTGTTCAATTGCCTGCTAAGTATTGAATGGCCATCTGGGCCAGTTCCTTGCAACCAGCCTCCATATTTCTTTGATCGAGTGGCTGTTTCGACGGAATGATATTTCGTGATATTTCCCTAAGAAGGTGGCTGACCTTTGGACTCCCAGCACAAAGGAGAAGGTAAAGTCCTTAACCCACAATGCTCGCATTGAGGCGCAACCCTCCCATCTCGGCAACCAGTAGTGGCGTGTGTGGCCCGCGTTTCACCCTGGCTATCATTAACGAATTGTTGAGGGCTGGTGGCAGCTTCCCTGGTGCGTCTCGCTTACGACTTCGACTGCGATGCTGGGCTCTTCCTTTGCAGCGAGCGGCGCTGGGACGGTGCCTGGTCCACGTGGCGACAGTACGTAGGCCGGGCACCCAGCCCAGTCAGAGGCCAAAAGTAGGGTGGCCCTGGCCATTGGGTGGCTTCGAAGAATGGCCGCTCACAGAAAAACCTTTGAAGCATTTGTCCTTGTACAGGCAACCAAAAGGCCCCATCTTGCTGCCCTGGAGCTCATGGCAAGGTAATGCAGGTTTGGACATAGGGTTAGCCTGTTTGACACTGTTTCGGCATGTGTTGCCCAGGTCCTGGGCCAGTTTCATCGCTTTCAAGGGGTCAGTCAATGGTGCACTGCTTCGCTCACATTTCCTGACTTGACTTCTTGCGAACATGCTTTCAATGAGGAGTCTCCGCAAGTTGCCAGGTTGGTCCGGGCTGCTTGGAAACACATTGCCTGGAGCAAAGGAATGAGCGTCTTGGGCAGCAAGGCATCGCTCAAGCGTTTGGGTGCCAGGGGAGGTCGTGTTGCTCCAGAAATTCCTCACTGCGCCGCGGCACGTCCTGGTGGACAGTGCCAAGGAGGCGGAAGCTCGGCGGAAGTTTTGCGCGAGTCCACCTTCGGAGAGTTTGAGGATGTTTGCATCTCGGTGGTTCAGAAGATGATGGGATGGGTCAGAAAGCAGAATGCAGGATGAGAGGTGTCAAAGCATCCTGCAGTGCCCTACCTGCAATTGCCAGCCTTCTCGTGGGGGTAGGACGGCCCATGCGCAAAGCCCCAACCTTAGCTGCTTAGCAACCAGCCACATTCACGACCACCAGATACCCTGTGTAGAAACCCACACGTCACGAGCTACAACAGATGCAATTGGGGGTAGTTTCCTACGATCCACTGTCGAGCTCGGCTCAGGACATCATCGTGGTGCCACTGCTGATGGGTTCTCAGTGGTCAGAGTTCGAAAGCTTACGCTGTCGGATTGGCGAGCTGCCAATTTCCCATGAACGAGCTCAGTGCCGCACCAAATCACTCGGTCCCCACTCCTGGTTCCAACAGAAGGTCTGAGCATGAAGCCTTTCTTGCCTGGCATTTGACCGACTCATGAGCCTGCCCACCCATGCGCACTCAGAGTCACGATTCGCAGTTTGCAGAGCGCGCTCCCCGCATCCCAGATCCAAGTCGTTGCCTCGCGCGGGTGAGGTCACAATTCGTCAGCTCTTGGCTGGTGTTCAAGCAGGCGGGGAGGCGGGGGCAGACGCGTTTGGTCGAGGCCATCTTTTTGCCAACGATTTGTTCGCGGCGTGGGCATGTGTCTAACTCGGGTCGCCGGTTTTCCAAAATTGGGCGGCGCCTGCTCGGAGGCTGCCCGCGGCTGCCCGCGAGAACTGCTCAAGTGTGCCAGCCACCATCCTTTTATCTGCTTTGGGGATGGTTTGGGAAGTTTCCCTGCCCAGGCTCCTCTGGACTAACCCGAAGTTGGCATTACTGGTGGATTTTGCCACCATTGCGATGAAACATATTAGCGACCAAGCGGTGAATCTGGTTTGTTTTTGCAAGCGCGTTCCCGTGAGATTCTCAAACAGCTTCTCGGAACCGCTTTTGCTGCACAAGCGGGGTCAAATCAACATGCTGCAGCGACAAGCGGATGAAGTCAAATAGCTTATTTCAACGAACTCTGAGAGGGTGTCGAAGGAGAAGTTTCAAGTTTCCGGCCCAAACGAAATCATGTGGCCTTTGTTGTGCAGCCAGAGCCGCGGGGGTGCAGCATTCGGAGGTATTTTTGTTTCGCCCCTCCAAGTAGCCAGTTGCATCAACTTTGGGCATTTGCGTTTCCAAGTCAATCCGTCAGGGTTTTTGCCAGTTTCGACAGAGGTTTGATAAATGCACTGCTTGAGTTGCACATTGCTTTGCTTTTGCCCCACGATCTGGCAATTGGCACCTTGGGATGGTTGGAGTTGGGTGGGGATGGTGGGTGGTTTTTGTTGAGGCTAGTTGGTTTGCGTCATTTGCTTGCGGTTTGGGATGGCGTAGGCGTAGGTGGCTTGGCGGCCGCTCAAGCCCCCCTTGAGGACGCAAGCATTGGGTGAGGAACGCCCGTCAGGTACGTCAAGCATTTGGAATGGCCGCAGAAGTACGGTACGCATGTCTTCCTCTTCGCAGATCACATGAGCCTTGCCTCAAGCTGGTCGAAGATTGACTTGTACGGAAGGCGGATCTTGATTCGTGATGGTTCTCACTGCTGTGATGCCATGAAGGAAAGAACAGGAATGTTGGAAGGCCTGCTCGTGGTATCAAGGAGGTGGACTTTCCCACCCTGCCAAGTGGCGCAGATGTGTGCCCGGACCAAAAGATACCCACGCGTTTAGGCTTCCAGATGGAGTGGCTGGGGCAGGGTACTGCATTTGCCCAAGTTTGCATTGAATGCGGTTTGCAGCTTAAGCCCCAAATGTGTCTAGTTCTCCATGTAGCTAAGTAATTCTACTGTTTTACTTTGCCAAGGGCGCCATTTGTGCGCATGCCATCCCTCATTTTCCACTCTGCTTTTCATGCAAGTGCACATGAGTTTGATGTCCGTTTTGCTCCATACCTGCGCAGAGAAAACACTTCGCCAGAAGACACGGTATTTTTTGTGAATCCTCTCCCCTCCAACCAGCAGAAAATGACTTTTTGATCAAGATATGTGCTTGGAGCACAGTTGATTACTCACTGTTTCCTTCCAGCCTGCACCGTCCTATCGGATATGCTCCGACAGACAGACTTTCACAAGAACGTTGAACACATCAACATAGCTCCTTTGCCGGGTTGAAGAGGGCTGGCTGCCAATTGCCAGGTGTGTTGGAGCCTGGGGCGTGGTTTGCTTTGTTTCCCCGGTGGCTTGGATGATTGGGACTTTCAACTTTCATAATTCCTTGCTCCTAAGCACTTAGGGGTGTACTTAAAGGGTTGTCTGACTTGCAGTAGCCTCCTCACCCAAAGTGTCCCTCCTGGGGCTTCCCAGTCCCTACATTTGAATATAGATCTGACCCCTGATTTATGAAAGCTAACAATTGGGACTAAACATCAAGCCATGTTTTTTTTGCATTTCTTGAGTTTCAATGATGCCTTCGAGCGTTGCTCAGGATGAATTTGAGGCCAGGGCTGACGCTTGGTGGGGAGGGCCATGATGCGTTCGAGCCATGATGTTCTAGTTTGGCTGTGGTCAAGTCGCAGCAAATTAACAAGCAGCGCTCGACTGCGCTCATGTAGGATTTGTACAGGCAGGATGGCAGGATGAGAATTTGGGAGAATTGGTGGCAATGGGGTTCTATTGCATTTTCTGCATGTGGCAATAGCTGGCAAGGGGACCTCTAAATACCCGCAATGCTGAGCCTCATCGCCACAGGACTGCGTATGGGTTTCCGTTGCTCGGATCTCGGCCCAGAGCTAGTTCAACTCTTGGGCCTTTCAATTCCAAAGCAAGCCGCGAGCGACTGAAGAATGCACAGTTTGTGAGGCCAAGCCAAGCCCTGACAAAGTAGCCCGTATGCATAAACTTGTTGGTTACACCAGACTGCTTATCAAGAACTCAAACCTCGGGAACCAGCGCGTCACCACGATTTGTTGGCGGAACACCAGAGAGCCATTGGGGAAACAGCCTAGTTGCCTTTCACATGTGCCTTTGTCTCACAAGGTCAGGCTCCCTGGCATGAATCGCTCCCCGAAAGTCCCAAATCCATGAGTAAATTTTGAATGTTGGTCAAGACTGCTGGACCTAGGCGATCTGCAAGTGTCCTTGGCTGATCCAATTCTCCTGTGCAGGGAGCACGACCCCGGAGGCATGATGAGCCTCTTCGCGCTACAGGCTGCGCCTTGGCTCAAGGCCAATCAGACCCCTCGATCCGAACGGAAGGATGCTCTGGTTGCTGGTTTCGTGCTTGGCTTTAGTTACAACAAACATGATGATCACAGGCCATCTTAATTTAAGCTGCGCCCAATTACCCATTGAATGCCGTGGGTGTGTTTGCCAGAGGAAAGGCAGTGGTTGTGATGTCCGTACTCGGTACATTTCGGTGGATTGTGAGTTATGCAGCTGAACCTGGAGGAGAACGACCTCAGATCATTAATTCTGCGGAAGTTGCCATGCCTGCATCATCCAAAGCACAGTGACACTGAGTGTTCAGCATTTTGCCAGCTGGATCCAAGGGTTCACGCGTTTAGATGCGAAGAAAGGTTATAGTCTACCTTACACGTCGAAGGCGGATGCCTGCAGGGCCTTTCCGTTTGGCCCGTGGCCGCTTCTTCATGACGAAGTGTGCTCTCAGGAAATTATCTTCATCTCGCATGGCACTGAGCTCGCGTCGCCTGCGCACATCACCATGCACCTTGTTCTGCAAAGGGGGAAGCAGCCAATGTGATTGATCGCCCTGAGTCAAAGCTGGCTGGGTTTAGATCCATGCCTGAATGCTAGAAGCACATGCCATATATCATTTCTAGGCAGCAAGATCAAATATTTCAGTTGGCCACTCTGAGGTGCCTGAGCCTTGCATGTTGCATCGGTTTGTTCCGGCCGTCTCGCATTGCAGTAGTCATGATTGTTTCCCGACATTCCTTGTTGCGCATGCCGTTGATGAAGCACCTGACTACACATATGTCAAGGGGGCTTGTTCAAGCTCGCCGACTCTCGCAAGGGACAGGGTAACATAATTTATGTGTTTGTTTTTGTTGATTGTTTGTTTGTTTGTTTGTTTGTTTGTTTGTTTGTTTGTTTGTTTGCCTGTTTGCTTGCTTGTTTGTTTGTTCGTTGCAGCGCACCGTTTTCCGTCAATTCCACGACTGGCCGCGCGCATAGACAGAGACACGCAAATATCGGCACACCTTCCGTCAGGACCATTGTGGCATCTCGTTTGGCAGGCAGTTCAACATTTGAGAGCTTGTCAGCCGGAATCGGCGAAAGAGATATTTGATTTGCTGCCAAACTGCTTGCAAACCAGGGGTCTCTGCTTCTTTAGCAGGCGTCCACTGCAGAAGGGCAGCAACCGTTGCAGACGCTGTTTTTCGAGCCATCCATTTCCGCAAGTTTTGATTTGAAGGCCAGCTTCGCAGTTCAGACAAAAAATGCCCTTTGATGGAACACGAGGCACTCGACTCGCGCGATGGCCGCTGAATCGAGTGAGGCCATCGGTGCTGACGGACGCCGATTTGCAGCCCGCAAGCGAAGCGGCGGCTGCATCGGAGCGGGACATCTTCCTGATTTACTCGGAAGCACCAAAGCAATAGAATCTGGATGACCTCCCAAGTTGGTCCATTATGTCCACTGCAAATCTTTGAGAGGGAAGCAACTGCATGCATCAACAACTGCATTCAAAGGGCTACGGTGCATTGGGTTGGTTTCTCGTGCCTTCTTTTCGGAATCATCTCGGAGGTCGGTTTCCGGTGCGGTTACTTTCACCAAGATCTGCCAAGAAACGTGTTGCCCTCGACGCGCCGAAATGTGGAGCTCAAGTTGACCCCCGCCGCTAAAGCTGAGGAGACAGTGGACTGCTGCCATCCGGTGAGAAAGCACTTCTACGACTCTGGGCGAAAGCTTGCGTTTTATGCAGGGTGGTCCGACATCCGCCCAAGAAAGAATGAGGTGATGAGGTATAAATTTGATGCCTTTTTGTGTGAAACCAAACGCGCAACCATTCATAGGGGAACCTTCTTCGCAGGACCCCTTTCTTGGTCTCCCATGTTGCCGGGGTTGCTTGAAGGTGGTTCCTCAACTAGGCCTCCACGCGCAAACATGTTCAAGCCCTATGGACAGCAGTTGAATTAAATTTGCGTAACAGCTCCGCACCAGATGGCCAGATGTGCTAGAATGAGCCGGGCCGATACCCTGATATCATACCCTTTGCTTTGCATACCCTTTGTTTTGGCCAGGTTGCCAGACGCCAAGGCGAAACCGACCTATTGCACAAGCACCATGCTGAAAATACGGTTGAGACTTGTGGGGTGATCACAGTGCTCAACCCTATTCTTTATCCGCAGGTCTTCTTTTCTTGTATATGTGCATTTATACATACACACAAGGAGCTTCTCAGTCTGCATCTTCAAGCCCATTTCCCGCGCCGCGTTTGGAAACCACCATGCTTGCGCCATCGCGGCCACAATGTTTTGACCCGACGTTTCCAGAGCAAAATGTGGCGTTGGTCTTTCTTTGCATCTCAGAAAGGGATTTGACGATGCAGAGCTTGCTGGGCACTGGAGGGCAAAGCTTGGCCGAGCTTTGTCATTTGGGTCACTTAGGGTTGCTCGACTATGGATGCCTTGGCTTATTTGGAGTCGCGTGGGGTCACTTGTGGTCACTTAGGCAACTTGGGGGCACGTAAATGCAGATATTGATTTAATTGCACCCAACCGCACACCTCCAAACAAGTGACACGAATGGCAAATATCACTCAATACCCTGTTCGCGCTTGCAATGGAATGCTTGAAGTTCCAAGCAGTGCAAACTTCCATCCGCCATGTACTTCTTCCTTCACTTTGTCCCCGGGGCAGAGGAGTTCGGGCTGTCGGGCACATTTATGTCTGCCAAACGGCTTGTATCTCACAAAGGGCTAGAACAGAAGCTGACCCAGTTTGGTCGCGTTAGTGGACAGCAGTGAGTCACTCCACTTGAAAAGTCTAAGCCAAAAGTCAACCATATATCTGTGCACATTAAACTCCATGGAGTTTGGGTGCTTTGGGGGTTGGTCGAACACAACCTGAGGAGGTGCTGACCAGCGACCAGGGCAAGGCCTTGTGCGGAGAGACCTGTGTCGTTGAGACGCGCACCCGCTCCAAGCCCACAGATGCTTCAGAGACCTGGCAGAAAGCGGAAGCCGCGCCGCTCGCTCTGTTTTCTGGGCAGCCTGAAGCAACCAGCAAAAAAAGGGGTGCTCTTTTTCCCATTGCGGTTGAAGGTCGTTTGTTGCTGAGTTGGCTCTCGTTTGGAGAGGTTGTTTTGCAGTTGTTTGCATGAGGCATCGTGAACTTGCTTTGGCATTGTTTGAGCAACTGTTGAGGTCCTAAAACATGCCAGCTGCTGAAGTAAACACGGCTAGAACTCCAAACTGCCAGTAGCCACGTGTCTCTGTGTTGAAGGTACGCGCTCGTTTGGAGACTTGTTAAGGGAACCATACATTTTGGGGGGCCTAGAAGAAGACAGTCCCGAGTACTGGAGAAAGAGCGAGAGAGAGAGAGAGAGAGAGAATAGCTTGACTGCTCGCATCAGGAGAGGTCTCGGCAGACGCACGGCCTTTCGGAGGCGCGCGGCACAGCGGCTGATTGCGCGGATTAGGGAGCAAGTCCTGGAAAGAAATGGGTGTGTCTCTTCCAATAGTAATTCGGGTGCCACCTTCAAGGTCTTGCATTGCTTGAGAAAGCGATGCGGGAAGTGACGATTGTTTACGTTGTTTAATGTTGGTTCGCATCCCTTCTGAACAATTGCCCATTGTTCTGCTCTTGTTTGAGCATTTGGCTCCAGAATTTGTTGAGTGCCTTTGGCGCCAGTTTCTGATGGCCTTTGCCCGCCCCACCCAGGTGTCCCCTGCAGGGCTCACTGCGATCCACTGCCAGGGCGACGCGTTGTTTGCTCTGGACGCGGAGGTGACAGTCTCGACCTGATCAGACTTGGAGCGGCACCGTTGCAGACAGTGCAGGAGCAACCGTTGAGCGTCGCTGAGAGAAAGCTCTTTGGGCACCGTGCACTCCTCTGCTCCCCGCCAGCGCTCACCGCCCTGCCCGCCTATGCGAGGTGGATCCCGCATATCGACCGCTGCAGCACAAGGCCGATGCAACTGACGCGGTCCCAATTGTGTCATCAATCGGTATCGTGACCTCACTGGATCTCACTGGTGATGGGGGAGTCAGTCATCAACGCTGACCTGAGCTTCTTCGAAATAAACCTCCGCGGCTGCGTGCCCGGAGTCGGTCACGAAAAGGCAGGGAAATACACAGTGCTCGTGCCAGTGTGCCCCGCCGATGTAGTCAAACCCGCTCTCATCGGCCTCATCGGCCAGACGTATCAGCACGAGTCGCCCTTCTCGGTCCGGCGGGCCATCACCGAGCACCTGCGCGGGAACTGGGGGCCAAAGTGCCGGTCGTGTCCAACTGGGCCTCTCTGTATAAGGAGGTGGTGCTCCCCGACTGCACGCAGACGCTCACCTGCCCATGATGGACCTCCTCGGGCCGAGTCCCTTCGCCGGGTGCCTCGTCTTCCAACCCAAGTCAGGCCGACTCGGGGTCCTCATCGAAAAGTCAAAGTGGGGGACTATCGATGACACCCCCGATGCGGGGGGAAGCGTTTTCTTGAACATGCCAAAGGTCATGCGGAACGACGTGGCAAAGTAACTGTGGACCTGGACCGACAGCGCGTTAGTTATACGACCGGTGCGCTTTCCCGGAAAAGTTGCGCCGATTTGCGCCTTTGCCAGTTGGAGGAAACCAAAAGGAAACCACCCACCAGGGGTCCCTTTTGAGAAATACCCAGCGTCGCATCAAAATAGGGGAACCCCTCAAATGGGTGGTTTGTTTTGGCATCCCTTTAAGCAACCCTCTTTGGTACCTCCAAAAAAGACAGCCCCAAATCTCGCCTGAGGCCGCAATGGCGAACTTCAACGAGGCCATGAAGCGCGCCAAGTTTTGCCCCATGGGACCTGGCGATACTCCCCATAGGCGGGCAGGGCTTTTGTCGGGGATGGTTGCCCCTTTTTGGTACCTTTATGCGCACACACACACATGCATACATATGTACATGGTGGACCATGAGCAGTCCCATGACCATTCAGGGAACCCAATATACTTGGGGGCAGCCCGCAACACTTTCTATGGGATTGGCTTACAAGAATAAACTGGGGTCGACTGGGCCATTGATTTGCTGGGACGCGACTTGAACGATTTCGGCGCTGTGCAGTTGCGCTAGCCTTTTGGCTTGTTTCTCCAGTTCATGGTAGGTTGAATCCAGCTGGCCTGCGCACATTCTGAGCACGGCCCTGCTAACCGAGCTGCCAGATCCATCGGAAAGCTTGGTTCAGGGTCCAAACCGAGCCACGTGCCCAAGATTTTACGCAACTAGCTCTTGATCAATGGTAAACTGAATGTAAAGCGTGCACCTGCCTTAAGCCGCTTTGTCGCGGATAAGCTAGAGAACAACCCTGTGCCCGATCCCGTGCAGCAATCCTAACCTGAGCCTAAACCAACATTCAACGCACCCCAACGGCCCATCATCGTACTGGTTTTCGGATGCCACACCAACCACCATGGTTCTGACCAGGGTCTGTTTCAATTCTGTTTGAAACCAAAACCAGCGAAACCCACAATGGGACCCTAGATCGTCTGACTCACCTAACCCACCTGACCCATGCTAACCCTCACCCAAATTAGACCATCCCAAGCCCACGAGCTGGCCCCTGATCAACCAACTCAAAGCTGAGCCAGCGTGTAAACTGAATTGTTGAGACTTTGTTGCGCGAGGACTCTTCGATTGCTTCTCAAGCTTAGCTCGCAGGCTAAAATGAGCTTCCCAAGCTTGCAGTCCCCATAGGCCAAAAATCAGCTTCCTAAGCTTCCCACGGGCAAAAGTTGACGCTTCCGGTGGACTGCACCTAGCTTCCAGTTGGCTTCATGTAGGGTAAAAGTAGGATTCGGAGCTGATCGGCCCGCCAAACCCAGGGAGAAATATTCTGGTGGACCAAGAGCAAGCCCTTCTGCCCTGCTGCAAATGTGAAGTGAACCCCCTTCTGCCATCTCAAAAGGAAGTTCCAAGCTGCCAGGCACAAGTTCTTCCATGCCGCTCGGCCTGGAAGCGGGAAGGCTTTGTTTGGCTTGGTTTCGAAGGTCAGCAAACATCACTCGACTCTCAGCTCTCAGCTCACCATGGGCTTCCAGGAGGGGAGCCGTTGCACGCGTTCGAGGCCTTCCTTGCCGGCTGCATCCCGGTTCTCTTTGACTTTGCCTCGTATTTCCCGGGGCACAGGACTGCGCACCCGAATGAAGCAACAGCAGCTTTGAAAGCCTAAAGCCTGCCTCGCTGGCCCCAGAGATGGCGACTGTCCTAGGGGTTTAGCAGTGGAAATTCTGCCGGGAAGGCTCTCATGTTGCCATGTAACCCATGCTTGCACTACCGTCCTGAAAGCCTACTGGTGAACGGCCACCGTCATCAATTTGTGTATACGTAGTGACGTAGTCCTCCTGCGACGCGACGTGAGGAGCTGGTGGCGGGAGTTCGGGTCGCCCTACCAGCTCTCGTTGCCCTTCCCTGAGGCCGAGCCTGCGCTTGGCCGCTTCGTGCATGGAACGCACGCCTCGTTTTGTTCCGGCATTTGCAAGACTTGAAATTCCGGAAGAAGAAGTGCTAAGCCACATGACCAGCAAACAACCCTTCTTGCTTCATCAGGGTGTTTGGACATGGACGCGCAACAGTATTCAACTATCAGACTCTCTTTGTTTGTCCTTTGTGTTCGCCTGCACCGCACAGGGCATTGCGCATTCGATGCTAGGGCAAACTTGTTGTTCCCAAGAAATGCAAACCGCTGAGCCGGCCTTCAAGCGAGTGTGATGCCCAGGACATCCCCTACGAGGACATTGTCGGCAGCCCCAGAGATGCTGTGCATGCTGCCCCGTTGGCAGGTTTTCCAGACCAGCAGTGGCCACTGCCCACGTTGCCAACACTGAACACTCCTGAAAGTTGCAAGAGCCCCGCTGTTCTAGCCTTGAGCATCTCTTAGCACTTTGAATTTTGGGCTGCCGGTTAATAATCCAAATGGGCCCCAGCCTCTGGTGCTCCAAATCGCCATTTGGACCAACAGATGAAGATGTGTTGCATCTTGCCAACTAGAACGTTTAGCCAACATGTCCAGCCCGTTCTGCCCGAGGTAGTCACGGTGCCATGCACGCAGAACTACACCGAGTCCTCCCTGCAGATGCTGCAGCGGCTGAAGACCATGCCGTCGCAGGCGAGCATGGGGATGGTTTGGGTCTTCAACGCTGTTTAGTAACGTCGCTTGCAAGTGGGGAGCATGAGAGTTAAGCTTTGCTTGCTCCGAGCAAAATGGGTGTTGCTGCTCAGGGCCACCTCCCCGTTGCGCAGTGTGCAAGCATGCTGCACGGGCGTGATTTGGATGTGGTGATTTTGTGTGTTTCACGGGGCATGACTCAGGGGTTCTCACTGAATCAGGGCCTGTAGGATTTTCCAGGTCTGAAAGGCATACATGTTTGCCTCCTTGGGGTCTTCAACCAGCAGAGTTCCTGCAAGGCTCAATCTGTCAATTGGTTCCTTTCCTTTTGCATGGGTTTGCCTCCCACGAGCCAATGCACTTGCTCTTCCCACACCGGGGGCACAAGCCCAAAAGTCGAAAACTGCAGTGAGACGTCCCTTGGGTCCTGCTGGCTTATTTTGTGATTGGTTTCCCCACGAATCCAAAACGGCAGGGGGGCCCAAGAGCTGTGAACTTTGTGGCTGTTTATGGAGGCCTTGTACCTGTAGCGCCTGTAGCGGGCCTTCGCCTCTCGCCTCAAGGGGGGCCCCAGGAGCTAGAACGACGCCAAGAGCTGCTCCGAAGCTCTCGGCACTTCTTGGCCTTCCAGTGGCGGGGCGACTCCCCCGACGCTTTCACGGCGCGAGCCCCAGAGAGCGGTGGCTGCGACAGACACGCGCTTTTCGGCGCGTGGCTGTGTCTTCTTTGAGGAACCTTTGGCTGGTTTTAACGGGAAACCAAAAGGAGCACCACAATTTGTAGGGTCCCTAAGAAGGACACACCCATGCGATCTGGGAATAGACGGGTGTAGTCAGAACCGTTTTTTTCACAAGTTACTCTCACACGGTGAGACAGGAGTATTGCCATACTTCTCCAGGCACTTGTGCGCGCGCAGAGTCAACAGGGTCCCTAGATTTGCCTTTTGGCGGTCTTACACATTGCCTTTTGGGCGGTTGTAAGGTGAGTTTCCTTTTGCAGGGGTGATGTTGCAAGGGGGGTACCTGACAAACACACACATGACAACACGTCACCCGCTCACCCTTGCATTTGTGACCAGCTCTTGCGTTTGCAACTCGACGGCGCAGTTGTCTAGGGCATGCTTGCGAAGAACAAACTTACGACTTGGTCAAGGCGCAAACCAACCCGAAGCCACGTTGCTCGCGGCTGGCTTGGTGCGCTTGGCTGGCTCGTGGGGCTGGCCAACCTTTCGCAGATGTTTCTCCAGCCGCGTATGCTCTTCAGTGATGCAGTGATGCTTTGCTGGTGGGGTGGCTGACGCACCGTCTTCAGCGCGCTCGTGTCTTGTGCGTGCGGCATCCAAGGATTTGGTTTGAAACATACAAATTTGGCTCGGCTCCCCTTTGGGGAGCAAAGCGAAAGTGTTGCAAGTGCTTGGCCCTATCAAGCGAACATCCCTCCAGACGTGCGGACGGAGCTTTGTTTCTCTTTCAGGCCATCATGCAGCGCATCGGCCGGGCAGTTCGCAAGAGACCACAAATCCGATAGATTGAAAAGGCAATTATTCTTGAATATAAGCTCCAATGTGACCCCTCACAGTTGCTAAATACACAGACGAATTGCGAAGGTTTGGTGTAGCTGGCTTCACTGGAAACGAAACTCCCCCAATTTAGCCCGCAGTAACTTGATAGAGGCGACGTGTCTGAAATCGTTCCCTTTGACCAAGGGGCTTAGTGCATTGTATAACGTACGTTAATTTCCCTACCTACGTTCGAGCATTGAGGAAGTCAAACGCTTAGTTTGTTTGCATGATTGAGTATATGAGTGATGAAAAGTGCCTATTGGCGCTTTTGTATGGATGGCTCCAAACATTTCGAAACCCGATCATGCCTTCAGAATTACAAGTCGCAAGCCATGACATGTAGAACCGTTTCATTTTTGGCTGCTGCTGTAGGGAGTTCACCAAGCAGCACGTTGTTATCCAAGCTCACTTACACGGAGAGGCTGTGGCCACGTGTTGGATTGTGTTTAATCTACACGTATTTGCAGCGTTTTCTTAAATCTATAAATATATGCATATATATATTTATGTATATTTATGTTCATTGTATTGGCTATGCAGGTGTGTGATTTGTGTTACACTTCCACACGCTGCCACGCTCCGCCACGCTCGGCTACGTGCTGCCACGCAGCAGGGCTGCAGGGCTGCAGAGTGTGGCATGCGCAGCTATGCCGTTATGCGCTGCCACGCGCACGGCGGCAAAAGCTTCCCTCACACACTCACACTTAGTCGGTGGAATATCGCTTTGCTGCGCATGCCCGTGGTCGCAAAACCTTTTGGTAGGGTTGGATTTTGAAGATGGTGTTAGATGGCGCCGAACAACAACGCAAAAGAAGGTTTAGGTCCATTGCCAGGTGGACTCTTTAAGGATTGACAGAAGAAAGAAAGCCGCCGACTTACTTTCCATGTTTTGCAATCCGGTGGTTCCTTTGAAGTTTGTGTTTACCTCAGCTTTGCTGAGTGGGTCGAGTTGTAGGCCTTGATTTTCAAGACTTTTGAGGGTCGCGGGAAGAGGGGGGTTTGCCCCGCCCCCTGAGGGCTAGTTTGCGGAGCACGCGCACCTTCGTTGCTCCCGTTGTAGTCTTTTCAGTCAATGTCTTGCGGTAACAAGCTGATGCAAACTTACCATGTCGTTAGTATGGAGTGATGTTTAAGGCCCGTTGGTTGCCAAGTACTGTTAACTACGCGCAGGGCTGTATATTTCACCGATTGCTTCCTTTTGCACGACGCTGACGCTATGTTTGCTCTGTTTGCCTTTGTTTGTTTGTCTTTGTGTTTGTCTGTGATTGTTAATGTTGTTGTTTGTTGTGCCTTCTGTTGATGTCTGTCTGTGTGTTTCTTTTGGTGTTGGTGGTTCCTTGCCTCTGTTGGTGTTTGTTTGTTTTGTCTGTGTTTATTGGCGCATATGTCTGTGTTTACTTGTTTATGTGTCTGGGTTTGTCTCGGTGTCTCTTTGTTTGTCTTTATGTATTTGGCTTGTTTTTGTGGTATTTGTTGTGGTTTGTTATTGTTTGTGTTGATTTATGTGTAATTATGTATGTTTAAATAATTATAAATTATTATTTGTTTTGTTTATGGATCAGTTGTATAAGTTGAGTAAATTAATTATTCGTGTAAGTTAGGTTTTCAACTTTTTGCTTAAAACATGCAGATTAACATGGCATGTACGGAGATTGTTAAAGAAAACAGTTGTTTTTTTTGTTATTTTGACTTGGGTGGAAACATATGTTCGGAAAATTTGGTGTTGTTTGAATTGTGGGTAAGTTTAATCTATCGAATATGGTTTTAAACAATGTGAAAAATGAAGGTGTTATTGGCAACAGCAAGTTGATAAGACATATTTCATTGTATATACATATGTATTTATATCACTAAATATACGTTGTTGTTTTTAAGTAAACTATTAATTTGGAAATAATATGTATAAAGAGGATTTAAGTCGAATATATTTATAGATATGTTAATAATTCAAATTACATGAAAATAACATTTGAACAATTGATGATGTTTAGGACAAATATATAGGAACAATGGTTAACATATTTGCTTAACATTGGATATATTTTAGAATACAATGTGAACATATTGCGAATCTTATATATTTTTAAAATATATATATATATATGTATATGTTTAAAATAAACTAACAAACAGTACATATATATATGTATATATATATATATGTGATTTATGAATTATAATTTGATTTGCAAACCATATATAAAGATATATAGGTTATTATGTGCATTAGAAAGAATATATGAATTCAACACTAAAGTTGTTTTACAAAAGATAAAAATAGCTTTGAATTTAACCACACATTGTTATTTATATATTATCCAAAATGCCAATTCAATCTTGCAGTTTTGATTTATATAAGACACATTTTAACATTATTCAAGTACTTTTCAAAAGTATATATTGAGCTACATGTTTAAATATATTAAAACATATTTCGGAAAATATCGAAATTATTGTTCTGAATTTTCAAGAATATTTAAAAACAAACAATATATTGCTTTTCAATACTATAAACAAATTATTTTAATTCAACAATTCTTACTACTTTAATATTCCAAGTTCAGTAGAAAAAAACACCAGGAAAAGACTAAATAACCAAATAACAGTATTTCCAGTAATTAAATATACATAATCAGATAATCAACCAAGCTAAAGCATCCTGGCCAATTCAGAATTACATATTTCTTATCAATATTTATCAAACATATCATCTACAGAAAAAAAGAAAAACACATATATATATATATATTACCATATAACAACTCTACCAACACCCAACCTTCTCAACACCACAATCGAAATTCAAGTGTAGACATAGTCTTCCTAATCATCTCGAAATTAACTAAATAATCGACGATAAACCAACAAATCCGCATTCCAAAAATCAGCTTGCCCGTAATATTCCCAAGCCTCTCCTTTAAATGCCCTTCAACACTAACATGTTTAATGATTACAAGCAGGAGCAATCCAAAAAAACAAAACATTTAACTCTCTTCTAAACAACTTAAGCGTTGGACCAACTCGCATTGGCTCAGAGCATTCACCGCGCTTGGGGCTCCAAACGCCTGACCATTCAGGTCCCGACAGGCTCGGACAACACAGGAGCAGAAGCCGGCATCAACAAGGTGCTTGCGACAACTTCCCTCCCTGTGAAATTTGTGAAGCTCATTGCAATCTGGGCCCACAAGCACAAAGTGGAACTCTCAGTCTCGCACGTGGCAGGCTCACAGCCAACGGGCAGATGATCTCAGTGAGACTGCCTGCAACGGTTGCAAGCGCGTCCGGGTTATCTGACTTTGGCAGAAGGTCACAAAGTGACCCTACATCTGCCCAGGCCTCGCTGGAATGCACACTTGCTCTCAGCGGCTCGGGGCTGAGATGAAGGCAGCAGGACCGGACGCCTCTGGGCAGCTGCCGAGCCTTTGCGCCGTTTGGTACTAAGCAACACCTCTTGACAAACTCTTGTGCCGTAGTGTTGTGAGAGTAGTAGGTTCTGGAGCAGTGCATGGTTTGCAGAACATCAGAAGCATTTATTTGTTTCATCAAAGCTGAGGCAGGCTGAATTGAGTTTGAACGAAATTTGGACATATGACATTTGAAAGACCATTTCGCAGGAGTTCATTCGCCAATGAACATTTAGCAGCAAAGCAATCACCGGTTTTTTGAGTCGGTTTGGGATTAACCCTTGACTGAAATAGGAATATTAACCTTGAAGAACCCGGTCCGCACAAGGAGGTTCCTCAAAAATGCGGATGTGTTTTTTGGAGATATGTTTTTTTGCTGCCATGTTACTGCGCTGTAGGGTTGGTGTTGCATGTCAACATGAACCTACGCGATGGTAGACATAGGTTTGATGACCCTATGTTGCAATTCTGGGATATGTAAAGTCTTCAAACCCGTCTTACTAGCCGTTGAATATCGTTGGACCGTTTTGAGATGTGTTTTCAACATCTGAAATCTGAAATCGGCATGCACGCGCCTTTGTCTCTGAGGCTGGTTAGATGTGGGAGCGGGTATGTTACAGAAGCGATGCATTCTGCAGTTCACTGCCGTGCAATTGTTTGGATATCTCTTGGGCCAACAACTGAACAAACACATTGCTTTCTAGATCATCACCTGTCACGATCCGTTTTTCAAGAGTTCGCCATATTCAGATCACCCCCTCGTGCCCCTGAAATTCATTGCCATGCCATCCTTGGCTATGCCGTTTCCCGTGCCATGCCCTGAGCGTTCAGTCCGAGGCCCAGTTTGTGATAGAGCCTTCGTTTTTGAAGGGAAACCCCGATTGGCAGAGACTTGCGTGATGCTGTGTTGAAATTGGAGTGCTTTAGTCCCCAACTTAGTAAGGTTGGCCGTCCGTGCGGTTGTCCAATTCAGTCCTGGTTGCGGATGGCATGAAGGGATGCTGACTTGTGGAACAAACAATTGGTCAGTGCAACGGGCAGAGTCATTGCTTGATGCGTCGTCACCACCATGATTGCCTGCCCGGAGCTCTTGCGTTTTTCCTTGCAGCTTGCCCTGAGGCTCATGACCCGGGGCTGCACTGGGCGCAGGCGCCAATGCTTGAATAGGTGTCATTTGAAGTGTCACTGTGCCTGCGACCTTGGTCCTGAAGAGTGAAGTGGGATGGAAGTGTCAGTTGTGTGCCTTTGATAGTCATGGATGGATGTTACATTTTCAGGTCATGTTGAAGCGAAGGCATGTGGCATGTAGTTGAGCAAGTCTAGAAGGTTCACACAGTTTGCCCCAAAGTAGTTTGCCTGGAGAGGGCAAAGACAGTCGAGACTTTGTTGCTTTCACAGACTGATTTTGACAGTGCAGGCAGCCTGCCGAGGCGCGCTGAGCGAATGTCTCATGTGGATTTGCGGGGTTTGCCTTTAGTTGAACAATGTCACAGAGAAACGGAAGGTTCAAGATGTGCGGATGAGGCAATTCCAGCCTTGAAACGGCTAGCAGCATTGAATGAAGTGCCTGGAAAATTAAATAGCATACTGAGTCACCTAGAAGGTCATGTTGGCTTGACGCTTGCCCTTTTGTGAGGAGTTCAGTACTGTACCCTTCACAAACTTTCAACCTACAGCTTTGCGGCAATCAGCCTGGTCTCAACACCCAAGTTTTGCTAAAGAGATTGAACTTGTCAGATGAGAGGCTATGCCGCGCCCGCACATGTTTTTCCAGCGCCCTCGGCTCCTCGCCTGCAATGGCTTGTCTGGCTGATCTTCTCTGGAAGGCGCTGCTTTCCTTTTCTGGTTGATTGCTTTTGCTTTGCTGGAATGAAAGGGGCAGGCCTCATTGCATCAGCTCTGACTGCGGCTTCGCTTTTTTGCGAAGCAGGTACCGGTGGCTTTAAGTTGTTGTGTTTTTCATGCGTTCGTGGCTAGGCATGTGTGGACAAAAATGAATCGAGTACTCGTTTGTGCCGGTTTCCGTTGTGAGGATGTGCTCTCGACAAAACTTGGAGAGCGGCCTCTCTGTTGACAATCCGTCATCAATTTTGATTCATTGCCAACTTGCAGCGTTTGGCTTTGTCTCAGTGATCAGGGGATGCTCGGTCCAAGCCATTGCCACCGAGGTTGTGGCTGCAGAACCAGGCGCAATGGGCGGGCGCAGCTGGGAGGGGACTGAAAACAGGTCTCTCTATCTTTGGGTTCCTTGCAGGATGCGGGAGCCAGGGATTCTTTAGGACATTCCGACATTCCCATTTGGAGCCAATTGAGGAGGTAATTTGGGACTCAGCGACGCGAGCCCACAAGGGTCCCTGATGGAGTAAACTCGCTTTTTTGGATGGCAGACATCACTTTTTGTTCCAATTGCTTTTTGTTTCCGACTTTTAAATCGAATCATTAGCTTTTGGGCTCGACTTGGGTCAATGGCTCCGCCCCGAAGGCCTGCTCCGCGCTCCGTGGGGAAGCCTGGAGTTTTCGGGCCTGGGAGAGTCCACAACGACAATTAGGTTTGGAGCTTGGGCACTTGTTCCCATTTAAATTTGCAGCAAACCAGCTTTCAGATGGTGGTCCACAAGCAATTTGGTTTGAAAGTCGCCATTCGGTGCAAAGAAGGAGTTGCAGGGGTTTGGCGATCGAGTTGCTTGCCGCCCGCGCCCAACTCGCAAGAGTTCTCCTTTGCGGGGCTTGGGTGACTTACGTGGTGTTTGGTGGGGGCGCGAACGTCCGACTTGCTGGCCCAAGCTGGTTTCACCGGACGGTTTGCCTGGCATGGGCTGACAAATTGACAATCGCGCAGGAGGAATGGGCAATCTGGGCCGCTCACGTGAATCCAACCTGGATCCAAGTCTCGCCATCATTTAGGTCGTCACTTGTTGCATTTTGATGAGTTTTCAGTAACAGTGTACATGTCGAATACATCTCCTCAGCAGTGCTTGGCGTTCTTTCTTGAAGCATGGAAACCTCTAGGGAATCCGTGACACTCCAAGAAAATAGCCTGACCCAACATCTGCCAACCGCACCGCCCAAGACGTTTGTGTCACTTGTGCCGTTTTGCCGCATGGAGTCTCGCGCCCAAGACGGGCTGCGGCTCCGGAAGGGCGCCTTGCGGATCCAGCGCTGGCCGTCGCATGGGGCGGCTCTGCTCTAACGGCAACGGTTTCTGTGGAAAATGTTGCGCAACATTTCCAATCAACCAAAATTGGAAGTAGAAATGCTTCTTCCTGAGGTTGTTTAGAGGACAGTGGCCGGGGGGGGGGGGCAAATGCCAGACATGTTGTTCTTTTTAGTGGGTTTCAACCTGCAGTTCATGTGTGGAAAGAGGTAGTTTGTTTTTCTTGGAAGGGGAGGGGGGCTACCGTATCTGTATAGATTTGAGGACGAACAAGCCTTTTTGTGCTGCCGCCAGGGTTCCACATGCTTGAAATGTAGTCTTCTCGCCTCCTGTCCGGCCCGTGGTCATTTGACAGCCTTTGCAGTGCATGGGCGGGCTCTTCTCCTTCTGGAGGTTTCCTGCCGCCGCTTCATCCTTGGTTCTTAGCCGCAGGTACTCGAAACCTGATGTTTTCAGAAATACGTCTTCTTTTCACACGTGTGAGGGCTGCCGGCTCCGTCGCGTTTACCCCGCCGTGTCGCTGTAGCCCTGATGAGGACATCCCATTTTCCGGCTTGCTATCACAAGCAAACAAATCAAAACAAAACAATGAAGACCCCGAAGCTTTCAGTTGCACGGAAGAAACCACGACCAACTGATCGACAGACAGACAGACAGACAGACAGAAAGAGACAGACAGACAGACAGACAGACAGAGACAGACAGAGACAGACAGAGACAGACAGAGACAGACAGACAGACAGACATGCAAACTGACGTGCCCGAATGAATACAGCGAATTTTTGCGCACAACAAAATGCACGCTTGCTCGCTTGCCTGCTTGCCTGCCGGCTGGCTGGCTCGCTCGCTGCCTGTTTGTCTACTTGCTTGCTTGCTTGCTTGCTTTCTTTCTGATTTCTTGCTTGCTCTTTTGTTTGTTTGCTTGCTTGCTTGCTTGCTTGTGTGTTTGTGTGTTTGTGTGTTTGTTTGTTTGTTTGTTTGTTTGTTTGTTTGTTTGTTTGTTTGTTTGTTTGTTTGTTTGTTTGATTGATTGTTTGCTTGCGTGTGGGTGTGTCTGTGTGTGTGTGTGTCTGTGTGTCTGTGTGTGTCTGTGTCTGTGTGTCTGTGTGTGTCTGTGTGTGTCTGTGTGTGTCTGTGTGTGTGTGTGTCTGTGTGTGTCTCTGTGTGTCTGTGTGTGTTTGTGTGTGTGTGTGTCTGTGTGTGTCTCTGTGTGTCTGTGTGTGTTTGTGTGTGTGTGTGTGTGTGTCTGTGTCTGTGTCTGTGTCTGTGTCTGTGTCTGTGTCTGTGTCTGTGTCTATGTCTGTGTCTGTGTCTGTGTCTGTGTCTGTGTCTGTGTCTGTGTCTGTGTCTGTGTCTGTGTCTGTGTCTGTCTGTGTGTGTTTGTGTGTGTTTGTGTGTGTCTGTGTGTCTGTGTGTGTGTCTGTGTGTGTGTCTGCTTTGTGGTTGTGTGTGTGTGTGTGTGTTTGCTTGTTGTCACTTCTTTCGGAAGGATTTGCAATTTGGTGTGCTCGAAAGTGCTAGGGCAGCCGACGCGCAAGTTAGGGTGGGAAGAAGCTATGTTTCATGCCACTAGTCAGCAGTTTCTTGATGTTTCAAACCATACCTCAGGCAATTGGGTGTGATGGCCGCGACTCTGAGGTTTGTTTGTCATTGAGCTTTGTTTTCAGCTTGGATTTCAACCTCAACGGTTTCCTGGTAGGAGTAATTATCAAACAGACGGATTGAGATTGGTGCGGCCCTCACAGCCTGTCTCATTTTGTCAGATGCGCAACTCAGGTATTGAGCAAAGCTGGATTCTCCGAGTCCGGCGGCTGTTCTGCACATAGGGACGTGAGTCTCAAAACAATCGGGATGGTTGTCGGAGCAAGAGAGGCACTCAGCACATCCGGATGTGGATCGCTCTCGCAGTTCATACACTTGAAGGACGAAATCCTGCACTACGTCTCCTAACCGCATGTTGCCAGTGAACAGGCTTTGCACCCTGCTCCTTGTTTTTGAATTGCTTGGGGTGGGGTATTCTTTGCAGGGCACGGGTTACACGAGCAGGCTGTCCAGTATACTTTGCTCAGGGCATTTTTTCTCTAAGCTGACTTCTCTCGAAGGGGCGGCGTCTACCATCTTGATCATGCCCACTGTCCGCACGGGGTAAACCAAACCAACCAAAACATTTGTTCCACAATGCCGCATAGTTTGCCCATCCCCAAGCCCCAACCTGTGCCGTGGGCAGTAAACTCGGAACCGCCGCAACTCGCTTTCGTTGCAGGCCTTTGTGGCCCGGGTGGCCCCGGCCGGAAGCCGAAGCCAGGCATGTGACCAGGTTGAAAGGAGAGGGTGGGGCTGGGAGCTTCAAGAAAACAGTGCCACTTTTGCGGCTGTGTGACATTGCGATTCTTGGGGCAGACGATTCTCGGCATCTGCGGCAATGTGTGGGTGCCCTGCAATGCTGAATCGAGATGGACATTTGCTGCCCTCGCAGTGGACCGATGCTCCACTTGGTTTTGTGCGCATGTGGCTCCTTCACCCGTACATTTGTTTGGTAACAGCTTGGCAGTAGCTTGTTTGTCCGGGCTATCCCGGGCTGTCGTGTTTGGACCCGGGATGCCCATTGGTTTCGATGTGAAATGTCCATCAGGCAACCAGCCAACCAGAAAGAAGCAGCTAACCAACCAACGAGGAGGTTCAACTGGGCTTTCCATTTCTTCTTCTGAGTTCTGAGTTGAGAGTTGTTTGGGCAGCCCTCCCACGCCGCCTCGGCCCTACTTATGAGAGCTCAACTTTAGGGAAGGGCATGAAGTGAATGAGAAAGGAACGGTAACATCTCTTGACCTACCTCTCCATTCAAGCCCTTGCTATGTTAAAGCTCGAATAGAAGGGCTTGGATATGTTTTGCTTTCCATCGTCTCTTTTCACCGGATACTCCTAAGGGAAATCGTGGCGAAGTATTGTTTCAATTGCAACCTGACTGCTTTTCAACTCAAGACACTTGTGGAGCTCGATTACTTGTGTGGCATGAGGTGCCGTGGCGGACTGGCATTCTCCTCCCCAGGCTGGAAGGCGGACAGGGAGTGCCCTGTGAGTTGACCAGATCCTACCTGTCACACAAAATCTGGGGACGTACCCACCACTAGCCTTTGCAAACGCGAATGGAGCAGTTGGCGGCAGTCGACCCATGACCCATGCGCACTGTGAAGCTTTGCAAAATGGACATGTTGACAAGAATAGAGAACCCTGAGCAGCTTTGACTGAAGAGTTCTAGCTCGCATCTTTTCACCGTTCGGCTGGCAACGGACACTTGGCAATCGGCAAATTCTCAAACTTGACTTTGTTTATGAATGTGGAGTTACGGATGCAAAACAGGGTTGCCAGTTGCGGCTGAGGAGTTTGTTCGGGTACGTTCGCTTGACAGCAACGAGTCCGCTTTTGCTGACAGTCATGTATGGCCCTGGTTTCTGAAGATGACTTGCAGTTGATGTCCTGGGCTTCCCTTCAAGGCAAACACAGCCAACTACATGGGTGCTTCACCAGCAGCTGAAGGCCTAAAGAGAGCGCCAGCCCGCAGAAGCTGGGGCCGAAGTGCACACCCATGGACCTCATGTCACAGAGAATGGCAGAAGACAAGGGCCAGCAAGGAATTGCTGCTAGCAGCATGCAGCACAACATCCAAAAGTCTAAAAATCCAAAAATATACCATAGCACAACATCCAAACATCTACCATAGCAGCATGCAGCACACGTTTCAACCTGGCAAGCCAACCGGCGGCGGCAGTGCCACATTCTTGGGAACATGAAGCATCTTGGGCTGGCTTTTTGCAAACACTGTCTCCAACAATTCTCTCAGAAGCATGACACTTCAAATGATATGCCAGACTTTAAGTTTTCGTCAAACTTCTTCTTTGCTGCGCACTTCCCATTGCCGCAATTGTGCAGGGACCTTCGCACAAAGAGACCATGCGGAAGCAATGAGCATCGCCTGCAACTGGCCCCGTTCTTTGGGTAGGTGTACAAAGCTTCAAATCGAACCCTTGCATACTTGGGGCTCAATGTCGGAGGGGCAGACTGCCTGACGTTCTACCAACACATCAGTATTCAGGAAGTCTTCAAAAAGACACCCAACTTCGCATTCAAGCCAAAGCTAGTCGCAGAGACTTGATCGCCAGGATGCAGAGACAGTTCGCGGCCGCCCAAGCACTGCCTCAGGCGGCCGACATTTCTCCTGCTCCAACCACCCGCTGTTTGCAGGTAGCAGTCGTTTTCCTACTTGGGGTCAGAGTGGTTTGTTGTCTTTGGGCAGAGACCGCATGGGCTGTAGAGCATCTCTCGGCGATATCGAGAGTTGGTGATGCTGATCGTGGGTACAGGGCAAAGAACATCACAAATCCCTTAGGCTTGCTCGTGCCAGACACACACACAGACACACGAACTCATGGACCCAAATGCAAACGCAAGCACAAACACAGACACCAGGTTGCATAAAACGTGACGATTGAGAATCCTTCGAGGGTCGGAAAGCCAACCAAATTGGATGCCTACCATGTTGAGTCTCCCTCCACTCCTCTCATGTTGCTTGGCGCACGCTCACTTACCCGCTCACTTGCTCGCTCGCTCCCATCCGTGAACAATCAAGCGATGAACCAATGCACCAACGAACCAACGAGCCAACGAGCCAACGAGCCAACGAACCAACGAAAGAACGGACGAACGAACGAACGAATGAATGAATGAATGAATGAATAAACAAACGAACGAACGCATTAACAAATTAATGACATAGTGAATTGATGAATGAATGCATTGATGAATGAATGGATTGGGTTGGATTGGATTGATGGAAATATGGAATGATGGAATGAAGGAATGATGGAATGACGGAATGAAGGAATGAAGGGGTGAATGAATGAAGGGGTGAATGAATGAAGGGTGAATGAATGAAGGAATGGAATGGAATGGCATGGAAGGTTTGGGAAGGGAAGGGAATGAAATGGAAGGGAGGCTTAAGGGATTGGAATGGAATGCAATGAAATGAACTGGAATGAAATGAATTCCAAATCCAATCCAGTCCAGCCCATTCCAATCCAATCCAATCCAGTACTCACCGCTCCGAAGCCTGGCCGCCTTCATCATAGATGGAGAACAACTCAAGTTGAGCAGCGCCGCTGGGTCTTGCAGCTTGAACAGCTAGCGACGCGCTGGCTTAAGACATTCATTGGGTTTGGCCAAACCATCGGGGAAAGTTTACCTCCGGAACCTCGCCTGCAGCATCCAAAGCAGATTCCATCCTGGTTTCTTGCAGACTTGTTCCGCGGAGATTGCGCAGCAAGGGATCCTTTTGCAGGACCTACAGCCGGCGAGCGGAGCAGTCTTTGCATGTGGGACTTCATCCAGAGAATGCAAACTTTTTCTGCAACACAAGTGATCAATGGCTTGAAGCGCCCCTCAACCTCTTCAGAAGGACATCATTTGCACAGGTCCACCTTCTCTGCCCAGCAGCTTTTTATGGCTATGGATCAATGGTACACCCCCTGCCATCATAGCTGGAGCTCTTGCGCGCTTGCGCGTGCTTGTGCAGGCGCGCTGCGGCCGGCGGCGCGGCTGGCTGTGGCGGAGGCGAGCACCAGCCGCGTGGTGCTGCCAGGCCCGCTCATGCGCACCTGCGAGTGATTGTGTGTGTGTGTTTTTTTTTTTTTGGTTGGGGGGGGGGACCATTTGTTTAGCGGACAACTACAATATTTGGGGTCTTTAATTTGAGGCGGCTGAAGAATGAATCTCACAAGTTGCACACGGTGGCAGGTTCCGTTGAAAACAACAGCTTGAAATTGACTCAGCTAGGGGTCGATTTTGTCTTGGGATATGAGTCTGGCACGGGGTTTGGTGGGGGTTGTCCCAGTGACGCTCGCCTCTGGATTGAGTTGGCTGTGAGGAATGGGCAGCAATCACGGAAAGTGGCCTTGTAGGTCGATTCGCGAGCGCCTGCTGCAGATGATGCATATAATCCTGAAGATGAATTCACTGCCAAATAAAATCCCAAACAAACAATAGAACCAAAGACAGCAATTTACAAAACACGGAGAAGCACCTTCCCGGAGTGCACTTTTGAGAATCTGCGCGCAGCTTTCCGTTTTTCCAAGCTGGCTTACGGAAGTTCATGTACGAAAAGACTTGGAGGGCTGGAGGGACTTCACGTGCCAATTTTGATGCCAAGGACATGACTTGTGCCCCAAGCATAATGAAGAGACATTCCCTGAATTCCCGTGGAGTTTTTCGGGCATGTCCCCATAAAAAGGAGGGTCAGAGATGAAATTGGGGATTGTTCCACACGAGCTTGTCTGCAATCCCAAGTGGAGGAATGTACAAGTCCGGCACCGAGGAAGGCGAGGCGAGGCATTCGAGGCTCCTCTTGCCAGGCCCTGAGGCGCTGCAACGGAGCCGGCTGGAACTGGAGAGCTGGACTTGCTTCCCGGACCTGCCAGGGTGGGCCGGGGGGCGGCTGAAAGGGCCCCTGGGCCCAAAATCGAACCACAGATCCGAGTTTCATCGCTTTTGGGAAATTGGCGTTGCCTTGTTTACGAGGCCCAAAAAGTCGCCCCTTCCGTCTGTGCTCGCGGAGACCTCACGCGATTCTCTAGCTCATCCATGGGGATGGGCCCACATTTCAGCATTCCGCCGAGAGCAGGTGCTGACAAACCCTTCAGCAAGAGACCGAACACTGAAAGCCTGAGACAACATGATCCCGAACGCTGTCACATGCGCAGCGCTTCGCTTTGAGAGGCTGCGGCCTGGGCGCCAGGCAGCGGAGCGGCTCATGGCCGCCCTAGCCCAGGCGGGCGTGATTGTTTGGGAAGCTGCTGAGCTGCTCTGATGTTTAACTTGTGTGGTTTCTTTTTTGTTTTGCATTGTTTTGGCTTCTTTTGCCCCTTTGGGTTGTTTTCCAACACGCCTTTTCCCGGCTACAAGGCATCTCTTGAATGGTTGAAACTGGTTTTGCTGTTTCGGCCGTGCTTCTTTTCATGGGTTCAGACCTTGACTTGATCCCCGCAGATTTTCCTGGGTTCATGTTGATCTAAGTTGACATGCCTCACTTTTCAGCGCTCTTCAGATGGATGACCGAGGAGTGCTAGATATTTGCGGGTTCTGTGCCTTGAAAGGCTCCAAGGATTGCTGATCGTTTGAAGGGCTGGAGCTTTCCCCACATCCATGGCGCCTGGTAAGGAGTTGTTTTAGCAAAGCCATTTCTGGTGGACATGCAGATTGGATGATACAGAGAAACCTATTATTAACAGATTGTTGCGTGTGTTTTTTTGTTGGGGGGGTTGTTTCTTTTGATGCGCGGTTTGTTTCGCCTGGAGGCGCCAGGCGGCGCAGATCTGGAAGCCAAGCCGCGGGTGTGGCCTGGAAGAACTGGTTGAGCTGGTTGCTTATGACATGGCACGATGCGCAGCTGTTGTCGATTGGCAGTTTCTTTTGGGCACTCAGGTTTTTCCGGAAAAAAAGATAAGAAGGTGGGTTTTTGCTCGCCTTCAAGGAATGGGTAGATTTCTCGACACCCCTCTCCCTAGTCATTTTTGACGAGGCGTACGCCACACGTCCATCAGCCAGGTTGCTTGGTCAAAGCATTTCGAAGGCCTTATTAAGTCCAGCACCTGTTCCTTTGAGGGAGCCAGGCTGCTGCAGGGGCAAGCCAGGAGAAGCCACGGCAAACAAAAGGCAACAAATGCTGATTCGCCGATCTTGTGAAAGGCTGCTGATGTCGGCGCTGGGCTGCTGCTTGGAGTATTTGGGCCTTTCGGATGAGGCAGCGAGCCTCTTTGCACCTTGGCCATTTGGCCTGGTCTGATGGGTGTCTGTTTTGAGGCGAGTGGAATGACAATTCTCTCAAACGCTGTCCCCTAGATGGTTGTGAGAGACATAGATTTTCGATCGAAGTGTTCTGATAGTGGCTGAAGAGCGGGAGACTCAACCATTTTCCCAGTGGCGAACCACATTTTGCATTCTGGAAACCAAACTGGGGGCATGAATCCCCAATAATAACTTCATCAAAAGAGGAACTCGCCCTTTCCGTCCAAGCGGGGGGGTACGTATTCTTTGCAGACCATAGCGCAGGTCCAACTCGAACATTTTGTGAAAGCACTTCGGTTCTTTGCTTGATTCACTGGTGCGTTTTTTCATTCACCTTTATTTGGAGATCGCAGCTTATTTGAACATTAGCGTTCAAACAATGATCAAGCAACTGACAACTGTGTCCCTGTCAAGGGCAGGTGACAAGAACTGAGCCGCCCGCTGAACATGGGTTCTCCAGATGGCTGACCCCCAGTTTCCCTTCGTCTTTGGGTAGAACATTGGAACACCCCGAATTGGGAACAGGAGTCATTGATCTTCATCCGCAAACTAAGTTTCGGATGAAACATCACATCTAAAACTCCCTTGAAACTGGCCACACAGTGAGATCCTTCCGACCTTTTTGGGCGTTTGGCATCCCAGTCGACGTGTTGAAGGAATTTCCGTAATTATTGGTCTGATTGTGAGCTTTCTTTGAGAAGGACCAGGCTGGTGGCCCAACAAAAGAAACTTGAGCGCGTTTTGGGCACTGGACATGACCCCCGTCTGGTAGAAAGAGCTCAGCACGAAAATTGTCTCAGCCGGATTTAAGTGGAACCTGAAGGGGGCTTTGTCCCAAGTGGGACACCATGCTCTGTTAACCAGGGGTTTGTAAATCCACTGTTTCCACAGCTCCTTTCGAATTGAAGCGCTGCTGGTCAGCTTTGCACTATCAGGGTGTGTTTGTGCGTGTGTCTGTGCGAGGTCTGTGTGTCTGTGCGAGGTCTGTGTGTCTGTGCGCGGTCTGTGTGTGTGTGTGTGTGTCTGTGTGTGTGTGTGCGGAGTGACAGAATGCCCTGTCACCACCTTTTCTGAGATTCTCAGCAGGGGGATCAGGCTTCCAGTGACTGACCTGATCCAACGAAGCTAGGTCACTGGAAGGGAAGTAGCTGAGGACGCTCAGCTACGTACCTGCTTCCCAACAAGGTCCCCTCTTTGCCCGCGGAAATCAAGCAGATACTCGAGACTCATCAGTTGTACTCGAGACTCATCAGTTGTACTCGAAAGATTAGCACTCTCCATTTGGAGTTTAAGTGTGTACACCCCATTCGTGGGGAATCCTCGGGTGTACCCATTGTGTGACCCCGGGCCGGCTCTGTCGGAAAATTTGACCTCAGCGTGCTTATCATAGAACAGCGGAATTTCACATTTAACCAGGAACGAGGTTTCACTAAAGGGAAGACAGCGGTCAGATCATAGCGACGTCTCACCCTACGTTTCCCTTTTCTCGCCTTCTTCATCCGCGTGCCCGTCTTCTGACCCTTCGCCCGCTTAGGGATGGCTTCTCCTTCCTCCCGTTCTCTTTTTGCTGCCTTTCGTGACCCGCGCGTTCGTCCCGCTCCTGTTCGCCCGCTTAGGGATGGCCTGGTTGTCCTCGCGTTGTTCACCTTTTTCCTCGTCTTCGTCTTCGCGTCTGTCTTCCTGTTCCTACTCCTCTTCTTCCTCACGTAGTTTGGCTTGACGTCTTCTTCCCCTTCCGTTGCTACTTCGGGTCCGTCCTCTTGGCCCCTGTGTGGGATTCGACGTCTTTCTCCGCGAGCCTTGGTCTTCATCCTCTGTTCCTATCTGGGCGGGATGCGTCGCCCTAAAAACGCATACTACTACTTCCCTCTTCCTCTTCCTTCTTCCTTCTTCTTTCTTTTCTCCTTTTTGTCTCCTTGCCTTCTGCTTCTTGTTCCTTCTTCCCGGGCGGGATGCGGCGCCCTAAGTACGCACCCTGCTCCTTTCTTTTTTTTTCCCGGGCGGTTGCGACGCCCTAAATACGCTTCTGTCTGTCTCTCTCTCTCTTTCTCTCTCTCTTTCTGTGTCTGTCTCTCCCTCTCTCTCTCTCTTTCTTTCTCTCTTTCGTCCCTTTCTTTCTTCCCTTTCTTTTTCTTTCCCTCTCTGGGCTATTTCTTGTACTTCCTGTTCGCCCGGTTAGGGATGGCCTGCTCCTCTTCTGCCTCTTTGCCTTCGCGGCCCCTTTCGTCTACAAGGTCTAGGTCGTTTTTGCGCTGTTTGGGGTTGTTGCCCTCGGAGACCCGAAACCTGGCTTCCCCGTTGTTCTTGTTTCTTGTTTGGGGTTTTGCCCGCGGAGACCCAACTTGGTGCCTTTCTGTTTCTTTTGGGCTCCCTTGCTCCGTTTGTTTTCTGTTGGGGTCTTCGCCCGGTTTTTGGGGCGCGTGGTTTTTTCTCCCCCCGAAAAAGTGGTTCTCGCCCCTCATTGAGGGGCGTGTGTGTGCGGAGTGACAGAATGCCCTGTCACCACCTTTTCTGAGATTCTCAGCAGGGGGATCAGGCTTCCAGTGACTGACCTGATCCAACGAAGCTAGGTCACTGGAAGGGAAGTAGCTGAGGACGCTCAGCTACGTACCTGCTTCCCAACAAGGTCCCCTCTTTGCCCGCGGAAATCAAGCAGATACTCATCGTACTCGAGACTCATCAGTTGTACTCGAGACTCATCAGTTGTACTCGAAAGATTAGCACTCTCCATTTGGAGTTTAAGTGTGTGTCCCTCTGTGTGTGTGTGTCTCGAAGACATGTAAAAGGCACTCAAAACTCGTTAGCCAACTGAAGCCCAACCAAGCCCCCCCTAAATTTGTTTCAGGGCTCATGCTTTCCGCCGCGATGCGACTTTCGTTAAAACAGTCAAAAAAGCGGAACCCTCAAAAAAGACGCACCTGTTCAAGGCTGCAACATGCAGCGCGGATGTGCATAGAAATCTTTCGTTTGATTCCAGCACGGTCATTGCCTGAGCCCCGTATTCCAACGCTTTGTCAGCCGTCCAGCGCTCTGAATGGCCAAGGCACGGTGCCTCGTGGAAGATCCAGGCCTGGGGAAGCTCACTCCGGGTTTCGTCAGCTCGGTCTCGAAAATGCGCTTCAGCTGAAGCCCGCGATGTTGAACGTGGGCACGCAAACCGGCTTTTTCCAAAAGAGCCTTGCTGTGTGCATTTGAGGCAGGGCAGGTGCGAGGTAATAACCTGAACTTTATTGTGCTCATAAATTGATTTAGTGTGCCTTTTTCCAGGCGCTCTGCACTGTCCTTGCCGAACAAAGGCATCAACCATGCTTTGAAGTTGGCAAACCGTGATGGTTGAACATGGGCAGTTGGCTCAGCCTTGGGACATAATGAGAGGTGGTTTGAAGCCACGTGGACTTAAGGTTCGGAATGTGCGGCTGTTTCTCCCTTGCGCTTGTTGTCTATGACTTTGTGCCGCAGTTTTTCCACCTTGCCGGCTGGCACCATCAACCATCAACCATGATCGGCTTGGTTCAGCCGGATTGTGCGTCTTTTTGAAGGGTGCCCTTTTCGATTTCCAGGCAACCCGCTCCATGCCTACAATCGGGGTGCGGCCAACCTGCGGCTGGGCCACTTTGCGGCTGCCTGTAGAGATCTGGACCTTGCGGCCGGGGGTAAGGGGGGCATGTGCACTCGCAGAGCTTTGCCGAAGATGCCGAAATGGAGGGTTTCGTCGTGCCGATCGCGGCTGGGAGCTATCTCCGTTTTTCTCTGTGTTTGCGCTTGATCCACTTGTTAATGCTTGTTTGTGATGCTTATGCTTTGTTCTGGCTCTTCGGATGCCAAGACGGTCCTTGAAGTGAGCTGTCAGACTTGAGCATGATGATTCATCACGTCACAAGCCGAGTCTCAACATGGTTTCTAGATGTTGGAGCCTTTCTCCAATGTCTGAAGATTTGTTGACTAGCCACGTTACCCCGGGTTGCCACGGCAGGTGAGCTTGTGCCTGGCCAAGAACCTTCAGCCACCGGTGCAGATGCGCCTTGGGCATGCGCTCCAGTCCCTCAGTCCCCCGTTTCGGGAATCGACCGATGGAATGAACACGCTCACAATCGCAACCGGAAAGCTAACAACCTTCCTCGGGTAGAAGGATCCCAGCCAAGCCCTGCTTGGAATCATGACTACTTGCCCTTCGTTGCTTTGTGCAGTACCCAATGATGTTTTAGGTTTGCCTTTCAACACCCGAGGGAAGGGGGGAGGCAATTAATCACGTTAATTCATGGCGATTACAACTCTGGTTGCGTGCAATTGAGAGGTTTAGTTGAAGAGCTGCCATTCATGCACAGTCCATTAAGTTTATTTTAGCAAAAATTCGCGTGTCAAGCAGAACAAACAACTGCTTGCCGAGGTGAAGGTTGATATGTTGTATTGTCAAACAACGTGTTGGTGTCACACCATGCGGCCCACAAATCCAAAGGACGCAGTGAACTCCATACGCGCAGCGCGCAGCCCCACGCGTGCAGACGTTTCAATGATTCAAGAAGGCACCAGGACGGGGCAGCTGCAATATGAGTGTTTCCGATGCCTTCCAAAAAACAAAATAGGCACCAACTCGAAAAACCACATCCAGAGGTATGGGTGGAACGCCTTCCCACGACATTTGCCAATGCATTTGCCAGCGCAGAGTATGTTGGGGTCCTTGTGGGGCCATTTCCCCAAGACACGACCGCTCGCAAGCATGGATACAGATCAGCGAGTAGTTCAAGCTTAGTCTGGGACAGTCCCGAGCTTCTACAAGGGTTGGGTGGCTCGTCTTTTAGGCTGGACCCAGATATTGGTGGTTTTCTTTCTGATTGCCCTTAAAAAACAGGAAAGCAAAAACACAAAAAGAAGTACCCTCCAAGAGAAGACAGACCCAGAAGTTTAGTTTTGTCACTTGAACCAACCAACCTCAGGCTGCTGCGGCGGGCTCTGGCCGGTAGTCGCCTGCCGGAGCGCCAGGCGGAGGTCTGGGCGGACTTTGAGCTGGCGAGGCGCCGATCGGATCCACCCTGGAGGGGGATGGAAGGGGAACGAGGGAACTTTATGTACATGTATACATAATATGTATATATTTAAGTGCATATACTTATATAACTTATATATATATATATGTACACATGTATATAGTGCGAACCGGCCCTTGCCAAGAAATTGTCATGGCACATCTAGCCTTATGTGTTGTACGATTTTCTTTCGGAGTGTGCAAGGAGATGCCTTTGCGCAGTCAGGAATTTTGGATTGCACCAGTTTTAGATTGTTTAGAATTCTGGAAGGTCCCCGGGACTGGTGGAACCCTGTTCATCCCCCGATGTGGCTCAGCTCGCGAGGCGGCGCCTGGCCTTTCCGGAGCTGGGCGTGCCGGAGATCTGTCGCAGCCTGGCGCGGGAGCCGGTGGCGTCCTTTGCTCCTCGGAAGCACTGCGTCGCGGGTGCGGGAAAAGGAAGTGGGCTATGAGTGGCCAAGGGACGTGACATGGGAACGGCTGGGATCTCTTCACAGTTTCCCATGTCGTTTTTAGAAGGAACACAAGGTACTGCCCACAACCGAGGGTCAACATACTCCTGATTGCCAAACGGTGGATCCGTGACCCATTGTTGGTGCTCAGGCGGAGTACCGCCGGAAGATCCTGGGTCAGGCGGAGGACAAGAAGCACTGGGCCGTGATGATGCTGGCGGGGAGGGAGTACGAAGTTGTCAAAAGATTCGGCCGTAGTTTTGAAGAAAGGGAAGTTGTGGAGACTTGGGAGAGTGTCCTGAAATGAAAGCGTGTTGGGTCCTGATTGGTTTCGGAGGCAACGCCGTTTGATCAGGTGACATATTCCCATGTGTTGATCGCCGGGGCTTGTTCAACATTGTGAGATACTGCAAGGTCACCACAACCCACTCGGGACCTGGAAGCTTATGACGCGAATGTTTGGCTGAGCGAGTGAAAGGGAACATAGACCCTAAGGATCTACGAGAAAAGGCTGCTGATTCTTCAGGGGACTCCAGCTTTGTTTCCTTTCTGAAAGGCACATCAAGTCGTGACCCCTTACGAAGGCTGTTAGAGGGACACAGTCCGGTTGAATTGGATTCCAAGCAGGGGTGTCAGAATTATGGGCTGGCTCCGACTCCTGCGATACCCGGCAAGTGGGGCCAGCGCAGAGGAGGACATTCCGGAGAAACACAGCCGGTCAACAGAGGCGGTGTGTTTGAGCGCGTATGTGTGCGCACCAAAAGGTGTATCCTACTCTAATGGTCAACTCACTCTTGAGACCATGCACAACAGGCCAATGTGCAGGCGCCCCGCCAGTCCACAGTTTTGACCCCGCACACCCACTCTAATGTTTCATTCTGCTAACATCTTGCATTGTATTGATATGCATGACGATGGCCGAGGCTGGGTCTGTGTACTTTTGAATATGCATGTGCGCATACGTGACCCTATTCTTGCGGATGCCCCACAGTTGCGTGGCGATTATACTCATTCTAATCTGGGTTTGGTGATGGGTTCGGGGAGTGTGGGCTGACCCGCAAAAAGAGGCACGCACCTACGGGCGGCCGGAAGAATCCCAGCGAGTGACGCAGGCGGGGAGATGAGCGAAAACCGATCCGGGGTGAAGGTTAGGGACAATCCCAAGCAGAAATTGGAGCCGGAGAGTTCATTGCAGGGATCGCACGCTTACTCCGTCGGGCTCATCAGTCCCACGGTTTTTGTTTTTTTTCGAGTCGTGTTGGTTGGATGGTTAGTTGGTGGGTGGGTGGGTGGGTGGGTGGGTGGGTGGGCGGGTTGTTATCTGGCTGCGGGGATGATGGTTCCGCCTGGTTTTAAGGGTGTTAAAAGGGGAAGCTAAAGGATCTGCTTTTTGGGGGGTGCCCTACTCAAGCGTCTACTACATGCCCTTCCTTCAGCTTGATGGTGTTGGGTTGTGCCGGAATCCATTCAAACACACGTTTTCCGAAAGAGCGCACCTGCAATGGCGACCGGCCAGAGCCTGCAACATGCTGGGGCTCCCATTCAAAAGCTGGAAAAGCAGCGCTCGGATTCCTCAGGTTCCTCCCCCCAGCAAACGCGCTCTGGGAAGTGTACGCCCTTTGCGGATACAATCATATCAGCAATGTGGGCGCCAACGTTTTGTTATTAAAACACCTTCAATGAACCTGGTGACGTCCAATTCGTCTTACGATAGACGTGCGTGCATGTGTGTGGTTGCGGGTTGGACAGTTGTGCGATTGTGTGCTGCCAACCATTGGCAAGGTCCCTAGTTTGAGAAACTCCTATGTAACACTTGAAGGTGGCATTGGGAACTCTGGAGACTCAGGTGGAACTCTCAGCGCTGCTAGAGCTGCTGGATCCCGCACTCAATCTGCAGCGGCTTTGCTGGGAAAGTGGGCGTCGTTTTGGAGATGGATGCTGGGGGGGGGAGGGAAAACCGGGGGGGGCATGAAGTCTTGGCTTTAGGTCAAGGCTAGTTAAGAGAAGGGAAAGGTTGATCAAGGAGACTGCAACGGGATTAACGCTTTTTTGTTTTGTGTGTTTTGGAACTTCGAAAGTGCTAGTTGACGCTGACACTGAGGAGGTTGGTCGACATATGGGAAGGGGACTGGGTGGCTTAGAATGTTGGTGGTGAACGCCATTGTGGGGACCTGTTGACCTGCTGGGAACGGGACAGCGTTAGGTTTTTCGCCCTGGGAAGTTCGGTCGGAGCTGCGCTAAAAGGGCGTGTCCCGCAAAATCAGATGATCTTTGCATAATTTGGTGTTGGCAGCTTCGGTGTGGGCAAGGCGTTTTGTTGGGTGTTCAGTCACCAGTGCGCCGATTCAGAAATTGAGCTGGCTTTGATTCTGACTCATGCGCTGAGTTTCGAGATCATCGAGAAAAGAGTCAAGACAACCAAAACGGGCTGGCAATGTAGCAGAGAAATCAAGACGAGCTGCTTTTCCTTCTTTTCTTCCTTATTGAACCTTATTGTTTTCCTTCGGGATGCTGAGAGGAGTGCCATGTTGCTCATGGCAGTCTTGTGCTTCAACACACGCCGCTTCTGTCAAGGATAGTCTGAGTTTTGCAGTGGGTCTCGTTTTGTTGTGGGATGGGTAGGCAACAAAACAATGGGTCGAGTCTGAGGCCGGACAGGCTCCGGCAGCAGCTGCACGAGATCTCCGCGCACTTTGTGCCGCCAGGCAGGGTCCCAGTGGGATCCTTGGTGCGGAGATGCAATGTGTATTTCTATCAGATTCTGTGAGGTTCCACGCGCGAGGAGGGTTGCTAAGGCTGCCACTGCGACATGAGTCATGAGGGTTACATCAGCCTAAGTGGCAGACCAAGGACGCATGTGGGTCGACATACGTTTGATGGAGAAGCAACATATCTAACACTGGAATGCTGTGCGAAGCAAGCCTGCGAAGCAGACCTCAAAGCATGAAGTGTACCTGAGAGCGCTTTCGCCTGCTGTGTTGCCCCCCCCCCCTCCCCATGGTATGACCCCCGCCTCCCCTTGCGGAGACCCGTGGATCCGGCAAGCCGGCTACGGTCTGAGTTTGAAACATATACAAACACAGACACACACAGAGACACAAACACAGACACAGACACAGAATCACAGACATGCACACCCACATGCGCACGCTTTTGCGCGCACACCACAAACACATACACGCAGCACAACACAACACAACGCACCGCAACGCAACACAGCGCAGCAGCGCGCAACGCAATGTAACGCAACGCACAACAACACAACGCAACGCAACGCAGCACAAAACACACAACACAACACACAACACACCCACACACAGCACACACCCAGTATGTTGGCTCACTTGCCGGAAGTAGCCGGAAAACTCAGCCATGAGCTTGACGACCGGACAAACACACTTTCTTTAGTGGTCCCATAGCAGCCGGACTTCAGAAGCAAGCAGCAGGGCAACAGCTCAAGGGACTCAATATAGATATGAAAGGGTGGTGTGGCTCTGATTTGGACATAGTACAGTACCAAGCAGAGTTCCAAAAAGTAAAACACAATGCGCAAAACATTCCAGCCACTCCTAGTGCCAGTGAACTGTAGCATGGTAATGCGTGGTCAAGCCTGTAGCGTAGTAAATCAAGGGGGGCATCGTTAAAACAGAGTTTGGCATCGAACAGTGCGTGGCATGTTTACACTTATACGGCTGTGAAAGTTCAAGAGAGTAGTTGGGAAAGGACCAATATCAGTAGCCGAAGATTGGGAAGCCAGTGTGCGTTGCTGACAGCGTGGAGATGGATTGGGCAGTGTCTTGTGAGACAGGCCGGCTCTGCGGTGGTTGTGAATAGAGGGGTCCGTTGCTTTGAATGCCTTTGCCCTGAACGTGGCATTGCAAAGTGGGGTTCCGCGTGCGTGAATGGGGGTTCTGACACGTAGTTAGCATCTTTGTTCACCTGGGTTGTGTTCTTTCGTCGCCACGGCGAACAGATGTGCTGCTGTTGCAGCTTGTGGGGCTGGATGCCATTGTAAGTTGTCTTTCAGCAATGGCCATGGAACTTTTGTGCTGCCCTGTTGTGCTCGTGGCTTTCGAAGATTTCCCGGTGAATATTGAGCACTCTGCTTGGCACTGGCGGTCTATCATGATGGCCATGCTTCGTGAAATTGTATCTGCTCTGCCGAGTGTCGGCGCAGCCCTCCCTACGGTTTTGAACCGCGGAGGTGAGCACCCTTGAGTCGAAAACCATCAGAAACCATGTTTTGCGCAGTTTTGCTTGCAGGTGTGGACATTGCGCAAATAAAGCTGGCAGTCCGAATGGCGTTGGATTTCTTTGCGCGCTACCTGTTATGCAATCAACCTATACAAGATGCGGCTTATGCAATAGCGGAGTGAACAGTTGTTGTCACTATGCTCGAGTATGCCGCAGTTTGGTGCACCCAAACTCCCCGGAAACCCTGAAGGCCCACTTAATTTGTCCATGTGCTATATAGGCGTCAAGAGCCAATCACTTCGTCGAACGCTCAACGTGTTTCTTGAAAACCATGACGAAGATCCTTTGGGAGTGATGAGCAACTTTCCCTGGGATCTTGGGAAGGGCACTGAAGTCAGCCCAGGAAATTTCTTTCACGTGTAAACCCAATTCTGTCAGGATCAAAGCATGGGAGCAAACCAGCGAACTGCAACACTCTGAGGTCCCTAAACGAGGAACTTCCATTCGCATGCTTGCCATGGGCCCAAAAGCAACCAAGAAACAGACACAAATTTACACAATTGTCGATGTGGTGTCCAATGGCCAAGGGCATGCTGGAGAGGTTTCTCGGTGTCCCCGATGCATGCCAACAACCATTGTGGAGTGTTGAGGGCCGCAAGCGCTTTTTTTTTCTGCCGCGGTGCCTCTCCGTAGGCCAGCCCTTGCTGCCATCGCAGAGCTGGTTCTGCTTGCTGCGGGGGCCGCTTGGTGATCTCAGATGCGAAGGGTGAAAAGCGTAGATAGGTTTCCAAGAGTGTCTATGGTTAAGCCCACGCCCTCTCAAAATTGGCATGGGTTGGAGGATGAGGACCGGTCTCCAACTTGTAAGCGGCAAGTCGGGCGTCGCGTTTGGTCTTGCGTGTGGTTGCTTTGTGTCAGAAGAAGGGGGCCAATTTTGCCGGCGTCAAAAGTGTCTCAGCGCAGGCAGGGAAGCAACCTCTTAACATGAGCAGTTCCCCCACCACACCTGCAAAAAATATTGAGCTCTCTTGAAGGTATCTTGAGCCACGTGTTCCCTCGCTCTCTGGAAACGAAAGCACAACGCTGGTTTTCTCAGCCTGCCAGGTGTCACTGCGGTTCAACCTTGACTTGTGTTGCGACAAAGCAGAAGGTACCTGAGATTTGAATGCATACAAACAAATCAAAAAGGATTCTCGGTTGATTACATACTTGATAGCTGGATGACCGTTATTGTTCCAAAGCTTGGCATTACAGGGGCGAACCAAAACGCCACAAAGCCAGATTGATCCGCCGATTTTTGAAGCATGCTGAGGGGTCAAGTCTTGGATCCTGCACCGCGGCACACCCGCAGCCAGAGTTTCAACACCTGCAATAGTGCGCGCAAAATAGCAAGGAGTCCTTTTAGTTTCCCCTTACACACCATCCAAAAGCAGGCCTCGTTTGAGAACCCCGCTCCGTGCAGCATTTCTCGGTTCTCTCTCCTTCTAAGGGTAATTATGCCACATCCGCCGCGGATCCAGCCAAAAGTGCAAAAAGGTGCTAAAGGGGAGGTTTGCACCCAAGAGGAGAGTCCCCGACAAGGGGAGAACTCGAGGGATTTCGAATTGCTGGAAATCCACTACCCTTCTTGACTCACCTCTCTTGCGCAATGCCCGGCGTCATGGCTGTCTTGGCAGAGGGGGCTATTGTGGTGTTTTGAAGCGTTCAATGTTTTGACAAAGGCTGATACAAAATGGGCACGTTACCCTTGGAGCGGGAGCATGTATTGAAAGCAAACCACTTAGTAAGCCATCCTGGGTGTTTCCCTTTTGCATGCAAGCCGGAATGCCACTCGCTTGTATGACTCGGCATACAGGCTGCGTATGCTTCGTGAAGCCCATAAAGAGGAGTGCAAGGTGGAGTGCAAGGTGGTCTGGGCATGGTCAACCGTTTCTGTGATCAAGAGCTGTGCTCATTTCCATGTCATCAGCCTGGCAATCCTTTGCCAGATGGTCGGAAGAAGCTGGACAAGAGCATGTGATTTCCCCCAGCTTTCCCTCCCAGGGAGCTGCGGGTGGTTCGCTTTGCAGCGCCGCTGGGGCTAACAGCAAAGGCAGCACCGTCCTAGGGGAAGTACTTGCGGGGAATGACTCGGAGTGACCTAAGGCGGAATCCCAGTGGGAATATTTGCCACTGGGAGCAAGCAAGAGCAAAGTTGAAGAGGTGACTCTTAGCGTCATGTGGTTCTGGTGGGCCTGAAGAAACGGAGGCTTTTGTTCGACTCTTATGGTGCAAAGACTGTCCGAAACGATGAAGTCCAATCCTAGTATTTGGACTGGCCAGCAAGGCAGCGGAGAAACAAGCTAGAAGTCCTTCATGAATGGACCGCACGTCAAAACAAGGAACCATCGAAGTTTGGTTTGCCAACTAGGTGATAAGCTGACCTGTCCTCAAGTCCGGACACATTCAGGTCTCCCCCTGTAGGGCTCTCGAATATGTTCAATGGCCCCATGGCGTTCTTGTCCCGTCGAGAGCGGTTGGATGATCTGCCCCCTTCACTTGAAACCTGTCCAAAGCTGTGCCTGGGCGATTGACGAGCTGAATTGTTTGGTTAGCTGTACATTACAGCCATCAACAACCTGAAGGGAGCGCTTTTTTGGGCCGTTTAAACGGAAGACCGAGAGGAGCCCGTGTCAACCAACAAGAAAACGACCTTTTCCCAGGAGACACCGGACAAGTGAGTAGGTTTATGTTGGTTTCCTTTGCTTGCGGACGGCGCTGTCTTTTCGCCAAACAGCGTGTATGTCTGTTGGGGTTCTCTATTCATGCCAAGAATTGCTCTAAGTCACGAGATGATTTATCTCTGGTACCCCTGCTGTCTCCTGCCTACTTGTCTCCCTGCTTGTGCTTGGTGGTGCCTGATGGCTCGGACCTTGGCTTCTTTTTGACGCGGCTCAGTCCAAGCCGAGCCCCGGTGCCGTGCGATCCCGGTGCAGGAACCGGCGCTGACCCTGGAGGATGTGGCGATGCTGAAGGCGCCCAGCAGCTTTTGGGGCGCCTTGCAAGGCCCGCAGCAGGACGGCGCCTTCGTAAGAAGGGCCCTTGGTGTGGGGGGCGTTGCGGGGGGGTTTTGGGTTTGTCGGCCCGGTTTGCGGGAAGGGGGGGGGTCATTGGGGTTGGGGGTTGTTGTTTCATTTTGAGGTGCTGCGGTTTGGGCTTGGGAAGGTCGGGGATCTTGACTCCCTGAACAGCAGCCCAACCGTGCAGGGCTGGGGCTGTTTCGAACTGAGAGGGTGGTGTGGTCAGGCTTCGGTAGGGGTGGGGCAAAGAAACTGTTGGACCTACCTTGCCGCCAAACAGGCTTGCTACTTGACGACGTCTTTTCTGCAGTTCTCCTCTGGTTCTGCTGATTTGACATCTAAGCCTGGGGAGGGGTGTAGTGCAACACATTGGACTTGGTTGCCCCTTCGTTGGAACCATGATTTCTTGTTTGCTTCATGAACTTAAGGGGGTCATTTTACACAATATGTCCAGAAAAGAACAGGAAACTGGTGGAGCTTCCTTCATTTCCCTGGGAACCCCCTTCCAAAACGGGGCTCAGGCTGGTTGGTGGCCGCTCCGTCGGGCGCCACCGCGCTTCGGATCCCGCTGGGCCCCTTCCGGCGGCTCTTCGCGGGCGAGAAAAAGGACGGCGGCTCCACCTTGACGTGAGCTGAAAAGCTCCAAGGGATGAACAAGCCGAACGTGGTTTTTCCTTGTGGTTGAGCTAAGGACATGGGTGGGTGGTGGTTGGTGGTAGGATGGGGAGGTTGTAGTGGGAGGGCTGGGTGCTGGTAGGGTCTGTTGAGGCCGCTGTCTTTCACAAAAGCGATGTATGCAGCAACGCCTGAGAAACAGAGAACAGCGGGGGTGGGGGCGGAGGAGACTGTGTTGCATTCTTGCGTCCCCTCTCAGGGCAATTGGCTAGGCGCTTGAACTGTTGAGGTTTCATGCAATTTTGCAGGGATGCATTTGGTTCGAGTCTCATTGCCAGGGAGCCCAGGCATGCAGCGCACATCGATCGCTCCTTCCTTGCCCATGTGGGAAATAGGGTTTTAGCTTGTGTGATATCAAGGGGATCCCCAGTAAGGATGGACATGAGCAAATTGTTTCACACATGCCTTTGCCTCAGCCTCACACCTGAAGTTCAACGAATGAGATCAGTTTGACGCACACAGTTGCTAGACAGGCATCTTGTTTGTTGCTGGTGTAATAGGGGAACGAATTCAATCGCATCGATATCGGTTGTCATTTTTATTGTGGATTAGCGCGTTTTGAAAGAGAGCAGCGCGCCCTCGAGAACATCCAGCATTCCAGAACTATCAAACCACATGTTGGCTTCCCCATACATTCTTGCCTCACGCTTTGCCTATCTGCCTGCTTCTCCTGGCCTGCAGAAAGGAGACAACCGCAACACAAATCACAACATCAGAGAAAGCAAGGTGAATCTGTAAAGCTTGCCAAGGCAAGTCGGGGAAGATTGAAGGCAACAAAACCGGACAAACCTGCACACACCTCAGCAAGGCCGCGATCCTGGGAGGCCTGGGCGTGTTGCTTCCGGTTGGCTTGGGTCCCAGGGCTGTTTCGATTCAACAAAGGTAAGGCGCCTTTGAAAGCATGCAACTTGGCCGCTGTGTTTTTTTGTTGAAGATCCTTGGAGTCGATGACATGCCAAGGAGTTGATGTATGTGTATCACGGAGTCGGTTGACTAGTACAGTCGGCCGCGGCTCGGGCTGAGGTTGGTTCGTGGGGCGCATCAGGGTAGATCCTTTGCTGTTGGTGGACTATTTTGAATTGATTAGTTCTCCACTGCCTTAGTGTTAGGGGTTTGTGTGCCTGCTATTTTTATGTTTCAATGCAGGGGGCAGCAGGGAGACCACAAGCTTTGCTGCCAACAAAGACAGCAGGGGAATCTTTGCGATGCGAATCGGGGCGCCAATCAGTGTACCTGCAGAAGAAAATGCAACCAGTGCCTGGCATTGAACACTTGGTATCATGCTTTACCTCGAATGTTTCATGTTGGTAAGCCCCAAGCGTTGAGTGGCATTCAACTGAAGGCGTGTATGTGTGTGTGTGTGTGTGCGTGTGTGTTTGTGCCTTTGTGCTTGTGTTTGAGTTTGAGTTTGTGATTGCGCTTGTGCCCTTTCTTGATTTTGGGGTCTGATTGTGCGTGCTTGGTGGCTTTTCGTGTGTCAATCAGCCAGCCAGCCAGCTAGCCAGCCTGCTGGCCAGCAAGCCAGGCTTGCTTGCTTGCTTGCTTGCTTGCTTGCTTGCTTGCTTGCTTGCTTGCTTGCTTGCTTGCTTGCTTGCTTGCTTGCTTGCTTGCTTGCTTGCTGGTGTGCTGGTGTGCTGGTGTGCTGGTGTGCTGGTGTGTTGGGTGTGTTTGCACATGATAACAAGACATTGTTTAGCCTACCTTGCCCCACTTGTCCTTGCCTTTCATGCAGAGATGTATATAGCCACGTTTTGAACAGCTCGGGACAGCTTCGTGGAAGCACTCCTTGCAGGTGAGAGAGGTGCCTGTCTATGCGCAGGCCAGGCTGAGTTCGGAAACACGTGGCGGCTCAACTTGGCTTTGAAGTTGGGCTCAACACACAAACGCCCCCCTTTAAAATGGTTTGCTGCATGTTGGTTTTTGTCGGTCGCCCGTCTTGGGGTCCCTAGACTTTACGCATGTTTTGTGAACACTTAGGTGGAGTTGTTGCCGCTTGGGCTGGACGTGTTGTCTTGTAACGTATGCATCGCAGACCTTGAACACACACACACACAACCCGTGCAAGCAGGAACACAAAGTGTTGACACATGCACATACACCAGCAACATGGAATGTGGGCGATTCCGAGCTCCAGCTACGAGCAAACTGCCTCCCCCGGCATTCTCTTCGGACATGACGCAAAACCTGTGACAAGTTGCCCGGCTTCCGAACAAATGATGGGTAAAGAAGATGGGGAAGCACGCCTCTGAGTTGCTGTCCACCATTTCACCTACGGCTTGTGGCACAATGCGTGGCAGCATCAGTGTAGCTTGGAGAAGTCACAGGCGGTGGGAGCCCCAATTGTGGCTTTCTGCCTTTGATCCGTACGTATAGTAACGATGAGGATTGTCACTTTCTGTGAGCGGGGAACGCGCTCAACTTGTGACACACGTAGTCCTGGGAAACGGGAAGCTCATTTGGGCAATGCAGGCCACACCTTTTCCACCCAGTGGCATGCTTTGCCCGGCATTCGACTCATGTGCATTGCTTTGGCCCTGTGCCAGGTGCAGCCAGCACGAGGCGGGGAAACCCAAAGGGCACATGTTTGTTTGCTCGGTCGGTAGGGCTTGGGCAACCGTTGCGTGGAAAATCTGCAGGCTCAGTGGGGTGTATCCACCCTATACCATGGGGGTGAGTGGCACGAGTTGCCATTTGCGCAGACAACAACTTGACGGTATCGGTTTCCAGGCTGTGCTACGATGCCTTATTCCAGTTGCAAATCGGCGTGTCCTCTTGTGAATCAGTTTGACATTTTTTGGCCTTGCATGCCCAGCCCAAGTGGATTTGGTTCGTGCTCCACCTTTTCGTATCGCGCAAGGTCCGAAACAATTCGCCTCTGCGCGCTTCTCCGGGAGGTAGACTAAATCAAAACTCCGCAAGTAAGTTCAGGGCTTCAGCTACCAGTCATGGTCCTGCGCTTGCAGGGCGCCATGACTGGACTTTCCTAATAATGCACGAAAAGGCAGCTGGCTTTGGACACAGGTGCGGCATGAAATTTCTCCCACTTGAGAGGAGTGTGTTCAAACAAGTCTCGACCACACCAGACATACCAGCTTGAGTTCACAGTCTTTCCTTCCGACTTCCATGCAGTGATCCTCGCATCTTCACGTGGACTCTTGGACCCTGTGCTTTGGCTGACTTGTTTCATCTCGCTTTCTGGAGCAAGGGCCATGCCTCGGCCATCCAAGCTTGTCTTTGCCTTTCCGGCACTCACTCACGTCGTCCCAGGCTGCGCGCCCAGCGTCGTCAGGCCGTGGGATTGCTTGAGTGGGAGTGGGCCCAAGGTCTAGGGACACACAATAGCACACCCAGAGGCACAGAGGCGGCAATCTGTGACGCACGCAAATGAGACTTGCAATGTTTGACTTTGGCTCAGCAAAAACGGCATGAAGGAAAGGTAGAATCTCCCCGACGAGTCAGGGCAAAGGTTGCCCGAGTCACGCCCTTCAGAAGGTCCCTCCTAGTAGCATGAGGTAGAGAAGTAGAACAGAAGACTCAACGCCACATTTGAGCACTTTCTTCTCCAATGATATAGCGTGCACGCCTTTTTCCAACTACCATCACGAAATCCCATGATGAACCTGCCCCACAACCAAGATTTGACCCCCTCTTGCCACTTTGGCTCTTGGCACCCACTTTCGGAGGCTAGCCTGGAGTAGGTGGGTGTGTTTTTTGTGTTGTCTCTCAGAATGAAATTGCATTCTGCACCAAGGGTGCCGTTGGGCCCCTTTTTCAAAGCAATCTTCTTAGGAATTGCGCCGTCATTTCCTGCAGTCCTGCTTAAAGACTCGGACCTCGGCCTGCGACCGTGGGTGGTCCTTTGCGCGCCCGCGAGAGGTCGCGGTCTTTGCCGCAGCCTGCGACGCAGAGGGAGAGGTTGGGGATTCAGTTTTTTGGTCTGTCATTGGATTTGAGCACTGGCAAGTCCCAAGATGGGGTGCAGTTCAGAGAAAGGCCTACTGTTGGATCCTCACTCCGCGGCTTTTGGGTGTCTGAGGATGCGTTTCAGAATGGAGTGGAACTGGTTCGCCAGGGTGCCACGCGGTCCGTTGCCTGCCAATCGGATTCGGTTTGTTTGTCCACTTGTTTCTATCTTTCCATATCTCTCTGTCTCTATTTGCGTGGTTCGTCTTTTCTCTCTGTGCCTGTCTGTGTTTGTAGTAGTCTGTCTGTTCGGTCCACCTGTCTCTGTCTCTGTCCGTTTCCGTGCCTGTGTCCGTGCCCGTGTCTGCCTGGTGGCACCAGTGTCCAACAGCCTCTGCCTGTGTCTGCCTCTGCTTGTCTGCGTCTGCTTGCTTTCTTGCTTCGATCTGACTTGCGCATGTTGGAGGCCCAAGTCAGCGACAATCCCGCGAGTCTCAGGCCCAGGACTCTGCTAAAGTTCGAGGTACTGCCCTATGTGGGGGGCCCAAGTTACCCGGAGGGGTTGCGCTGTAGGGCAGCTCGGCGCTGAACACAGTTGTTCATGTTCAAGGGTTGTGTAGGGAGGTGGAAAATCAATTGGGGATAGAACATGTATTTTTTTGACATTTGGAAGCACCAGCAACATGCTGGGTCAACAGCAAGCAATTGCCCGGACCCACAGCATACTCTACGCCCTTGTTTTATTGGGGGTGTGATGGGGGGGGTCATAAGCTTCCATGGCGAATGCCCTGTCGAAGTCAAAGCCAATGAATCGGCATGAAGGCACAAAATAGATATGTTCAAACCAGAGGTAGCTTCTTGCTGGGACATGGCTGCCGACAAACGCGCAGGAGATGTGCCTGAAGTTTGCCTTACACCAGAATTGAGTCCTCGAACTGCATGCTTTTGCCAAATTCACCCAGTCGAGATTCTACCCACTGCGTGCTCTCAGATCTCATGTGCGAGTCGTTTTGGATCGGGGTTCTTGCTTGCGGATACCCAAAACCACCCAGTGAAAAAGCCATTTGCGACAGTCCAACCAGTTGAGCTTGCAGGTCACGCATGCATTTGACGACTTTTCCAGCTGCAGGTTTGAACCCATTCGTCATGATCTTCCTTCCGTGTCCATCTTCTGTGTGCAGTTTTAAGGGTGCCTCCTTTTTGAAAACCCAAGGGCTGCCCAGCTACGAGTGCCCGCCATTTGGAGACGAAACCGATGTGCGCACTGCCAATTCTTCCAAGGCCCAGTCGCGGAGTCGGCTCGCCTCAAGCGGCGAGGCCAGCCGGGTCCGCATGCCAGGCAGTGTTTTGTGAGGGATGTCCTTTTAAATGGCCGTTTTAGAGGGACGCTGAGAAAACGCAACATGTCAACATGTGCCTTCTTGTCTGTGAGGGGTTGCTTCAGTTCAAGGCAAAGCGCCCCGAATCTCTGCCGTTCAGGGAGTTTGAATTATCTCGGGCCACCTGTGGTCATCAGACTTCTGGAAGAGCGCAGTGCTGATGATTCCGTTGTCTTCGCTGGGTGCATTGTGAGCAAGGTGAAATGTGGCCTTGCGGATCCTACCTTGCGCGGGCTTCCTCAGGTTGCCCTTTCTCAATAGCTGCTGAAAGGGGTGCCCCAGACGGTAGCGCCGGGAGTTCGAGGGCCTGTTTCAAGGGATTTTAGCGACAGCCGTCAGCGTTTTCTGTAGCGATGTCTGATGGCCCCCTTACACAACGACATATAAGTAGGCGCTGAGTTGCCAACACTCGCGACATTGGCGTGCTTGCTGCCCAAACGTCATAAGGGCCTTGTGGCACGAAAGTTGGACCCTTGTGGCATTTGTGCAGCGTTTGAAGTGGGTTCCTCAAAATGCACAAGACCTTGGTTGCGGAAGACACGGGAGGCACCAAGCATCCCTAGCAACCCAAGAAGTCGTTGGCCAGGTTAGCAGCCAACTCAGCAGCCGGACTGCCAACTTGGTGCATGAGGCATTGTCGGAGCAGAAGGGGTGGCTTAGGCTGCACAATAGACACCTCCCCGTCATTATCAACTGCCCCTGGTACTTGGCCGTGACGGATATTCACGAGCAATCCCACAGAAACGCCTTAAAAGTTGGACATTCGGAGCTGGACATGGTGCACGTATTGTTGCTGATTCTGTTGCGTTGCTTTGGTGGTGTTCATCGCAGGCAATTTCAGTTGGTTGACTGGCCCTACTTGTGCTTGAAAAGTAAGCACAGGGAGGCGGAGAATTCTTCGTTTCAATGGGCATGAGGGTGCTTCCATTTTTTTGTAACGGTCCAAGAGCACTCCCCCCGTGTTGACCTCTGATCAGCAAGCCCCAAGAAATCTCCAATAAGGGACTTCCTGAAGCAGCTGGGGGCGGTATTGAAGGGTGAAAGGCGCAACTCCTGTGTTTTTGTTTCATCCTCATTCTGGTTCCTTATCCCACATCTATCGAGGGAGTTGTAGCTGGGTGTGATCCGGGGGCATTGCGAGGGTCACCACCTGGCAATGCGAACAGACTCACGAGTGTTGCAGAGAAGGCGAAACAAGTTGTGTTGACAGTCAGGCAGAGCTGTCAGAGCTGGGTACGGTTTGAGTTTTTGTTTCGGAAGCCGTACTTCCCCGCCTTGTGAGTTGTTGTTTTTCCCGAGTTTGCCCCACCCTTTAGACCTTTAAGGAATGAAACGCCCAGTAAAGCCAATGGGTTGCTTGAGCCTCATGCGTGCCGGGCGAGCAGGTGTTAAAGCCATCCCATTGCCACGGTCGAGAGGTCCTTATTTGGGAAGCCGGAACTTACAGCATGAGCAGATTCGGTCTTAACATGTTGTCAGCAGATTGCTGAAAGCTATTGGGGCCATAGGGGTTCCAACTTCTACTAAAGAGGGGGATGAGATTTGCGAGATTGACGGCTGGGTGCTAGCGGGCGTGCAGGTGCTGTTTGGGGGTGCTTTTTTGGGGGTGCTGTTTGGGGTGCTGTTTGGGGTGCTGTTTGAGGTGCCGGTGACGGTGCGTGTGCAATTTGCGAGATTGACGTCCGGGGGCGCTCTTCGGGTGGTGCTGTTAGGCTGTTAGAGGTGCTGGTATGCAATCATCAGCCTGTTTTTCGCTATCTGGGGTCTATGCTGGTGTAATTTCCCTGACATCGGAGCGTTTTATGATAAGCAACTGTCCCCCTGACTCCCTTCCGTTCTTAGGCAGGCCTCAGGGATGCTTCCTTGCTCAGTGGCCGGGTCGCTTTCTTCCAGAGGGCTTGCCGGGAATCACCTGGCGTCGTCAATCATGGCCATCGCTCCAGGTGCACTCTCGTGTTTTTTTTCTTCTTTGTGTTTTTCTTTCTGGCCATTCAATGAAATTCAATGCACTAGTCCCTTCCTCCTTTGAAGTTCCCGGAAAGGAATCTTTGGATGAGTACATCCAGATTTCCACGCAGGCCTCCTGGCAGCCCTGGGAGGAATTCCGCCGGAGGCCTCGTTCGGAGGTTGGGCCTCGTTTTGATCGAAGGAAGCTCAGAAAGATTTTTCCTTTGATTCGGGGCGTCGAATTGAATCGGGGCGTCGTTGCGAGGCAGTAACAGGGGTTTATTTCAAAGGCATTTCACAGGTGTAAGGACTGGGTCAAACTTCCAAAAACATGGACTGTTGGAGGGGGTAGTTTGCTCACCCCAAGCCACACGCGGCCACCTTCACGTACCCGTTGTAAACCCTGGGTGTACCCATTTTAAACCTTAAGGGTACCTGAGTCTGTTGCGGGTACTCCGCCCGACGCCCGCTGCGCTACGGGGGCATCCATCGCGGTCCGGCCAGGGCTCGGCTTTTGCTTTCCGCACGAGTCTCTCCATCGGAAGAGTTTTAACGTTTGGCCCATTGAAGGGCTTACCTTCAGAAAAAAAAACGCTCAGAAGGGAAACTCGCGTTGGCAACTTACGCAGCTTATGTGTTTAAAATATACGCTTCTAAGCCTCACGTTTTGGCAGAACATGAGCTACCAGTAAAAAGGTTCGTACTAGGGCTACGCGTTGGAGTTGACTTGGGTGAAAGACACGAGAAACGAAGGTGGCCATGCTAGTAAGAAACATAAGTACAAGTAAAAGGCGAGAGAATGATAACCCGGTCCAAACGGATCTTTGCACATCTTCAATACTGTGTAAAGGACCTTGGAAAGGTCCTGAGGCTTATCACGAACGGGCATGATTTTAGATAAGTGACTGACCCACCGAGATTCACCAGAAAAGCAATGGCCAAGCATGTGTAAGCTAAATTGCCCACACCCATTTCTGATAGACTTAGGGTTGAGTACGGGGCGAACTTGTTACACGTCGAAATTTGTGACGGTTCGCCGCGATACGTTTTTCTGATGAACCTCGATGAGGTTCATCGGGAAATCTGGAACGGAAATGACTTGGGATCAACTGTCCAGGACACACCCGCTTAGGGGGCTTTCCTGTTTTGACACATTCCCATCTCTGATATATAGACTTAGGGTTGAAAACGGGGCGGACCTGTTATACTTCTAACGGTCCGCCGCGACAGTTGTCCCTCACAATTTCTGACTTCTCCACAGCAACGCTTTTGAGATGAGCCTCAGTGAGCCTCATCTGAAACCCATGCGGCAATCCCTGACCCCTCCGGGTACCATAGGGAGATCAGAGCCGGAGGGGTCAGGGATTCAGGGATTGCCGCATGGGTTTCAGATGAGGCTCACTGAGGCTCATCTCAAAAGCGTTGCTGTGGAGAAGTCAGAAATTGTGAGGGACAACTGTCGCGGCGGACCGTTAGAAGTATAACAGGTCCGCCCCGTTTTCAACCCTAAGTCTATATATCAGAGATGGGAATGTGTCAAAACAGGAAAGCCCCCTAAGCGGGTGTGTCCTGGACAGTTGATCCCAAGTCATTTCCGTTCCAGATTTCCCGATGAACCTCATCGAGGTTCATCAGAAAAACGTATCGCGGCGAACCGTCACAAATTTCGACGTGTAACAAGTTCGCCCCGTACTCAACCCTAAGTCTATCAGAAATGGGTGTGGGCAATTTAGCTTACACATGCTTGGCCACTGCGTTTCTGGTGAATCTCGGTGGGTCAGTCACTTATCTAAAATCATGCCCGTTCGTGATAAGCCTCAGGACCTTTCCAAGGTCCTTTACACAGTATTGAAGATGTGCAAAGATCCGTTTGGACCGGGTTATCATTCTCTCGCCTTTTACTTGTACTTATGTTTCTTACTAGCATGGCCACCTTCGTTTCTCGTGTCTTTCACCCAAGTCAACTCCAACGCGTAGCCCTAGTACGAACCTTTTTACTGGTAGCTCATGTTCTGCCAAAACGTGAGGCTTAGAAGCGTATATTTTAAACACATAAACTGCGTAAGTTGCCAACGCGAGTTTCCCTTCTGAGCGTTTTTTTTTCTTTTTTTCTGAAGGTAAGCCCTTCAATGGGCCAAACGTTAAAGCTCTTCCGATGGAGAGACTCGTGCGGAAAGCAAAAGCCGAGCCCTGGCCGGACCGCGATGGATGCCCCCGTAGCGCAGCGGGCGTCGGGCGGAGTACCCGCAACAGACTCAGGTACCCTTAAGGTTTAAAATGGGTACACCCAGGGTTTACAACGGGTACGTGAAGGTGGCCGCGTGTGGCTTGGGGTGAGCAAACTACCCCCTCCAACAGTCCATGTTTTTGGAAGTTTGACCCAGTCCTTACACCTGTGAAATGCCTTTGAAATAAACCCCTGTTACTGCCTCGCAACGACGCCCCGATTCAATTCGACGCCCCGAATCAAAGGAAAAATCTTTTCAGGGGTGCAATGTACTGGCGGTTTGGTGGTTTTCTTTGCCGCACCTTGGGAGCAAATTCTTCGTGGGGTGCTCGGGGAAGCAAAAGGGATGTTTGGCGCTTCGAAGTGAGCTGCCTTTTGATGGTCTTGAATGGGCAATCTAGTTGGAACCTTGAAGTGGGGAGCCCGGATGCCAGGGTCACTGTTGATTCGGGGCAACTGTGCGTTGTTTCGGATTAAGAACCAAGCTTTTTGGAAGGCATTTCAGATAATTATCATGAGGAGTCCGATTCAGGGATCCTTCATCAATGCTTTGAATGGACTTGGATCATTTTAAGGACTACAACTGGGGAAGCCACGGTTCCTGCCTAGAGTTGATTGTGAGGGTCTGTTTTTGGGGATACCCTCGGTGGGGTTGGTTTGAAAGGGAAGCATTTGTGCGTTTCCTATTTAGTGACAAACCTACACGATGGCTCCAAAAGCCAGGCTATTCTTCATAATCCCCTCACGAGGCTCCATTCGCACCCACCAGGTCCACCAGCCAAGCACCGAGCACCGAGCCTCGCAGTTTGACCACCGTGAAGGGCCTAATCTGGTACCATTCAAGACCACCCTGGATGAACAAAAAAATCTCATGTTTGACAAAACCGTGGCCCGAGGCGATGACAGGGAGTCGAACTCCCTTGCGCAAGAGGTGCGTTGGGCCTGTTCGCCTTTTCCTGCACGGGGAGGAGGGTGTCACATTTTGTTCCATGTCAATTGTCCATTTTCCTCATATTGGGGCGGGCGCGGCATGTTGAGTGGCAGCGATTTTTGGGTTGTTCGATCCAACAAATTATCCACGTCCTGGCAACCTCACCAACGGGGTTTGCGACCCAAAGCCCATGATATGATTCCATTTGTTCAGGTCCCTTCATGTCGACTTGGTGAACTTGATTGATTCATGATTCCCCAAGGCAACTTAAAGGCAGGAATTGGTCCCATCTTGGGGAACCGTGCGTTTGATTCTGCCTTAGGCATTGCTAAAACATGGACTGGTGGGATCCCGATCCCTTTTGCCTTGGGCAAACAGTGACACCAGCCAGAAGCAACCCGTGTTTCGCATTGCTTCCTGGATCCTTGAAAGCGCAAGTTCTGGATGCTCAAAAAGCAAGATGGAGTCAGTGGTTCTGCGGTCTAGTTGTCGGTCCAGGCTTACAGTTGCCAATTGGATGATGTTAACAACATGTTATGTTAACAATATGTTTTGCGACAGGTCTGGGCTGACACATGTTTTGTGTTATGCCGTATGTTTGCTGATGTCACTTGCCAGACTTGCTTCAGTCTTGTGCACTCGAGCACTTCTCCAAGGCAAATCTTGAAAACAGGATTCAGATACATGTCTGGGAGTTGTGCTAATTCCTGGCAGGCTCGCTGTTTGATGGATTGGATGATTGTAACTCGCTAGAGGGCTGGCTGATGGGGTAAATCCAATCATGCCGGTAGGTTTCTGCAAGTAGCGGTCCTGTCACAATGCCTCGAATTCATGATATTCAGATGCACACGGCTGGTTCATGTCATTTTGGTTCTCTCCCGCGCTGGCCTCGTCTCATCCTTCGCGGCCTTGGCTTGCCGTTGGGCCTCGTGCTCTCAGAAGCCACGAAGCTGAGCAGTTCGTTTTGTTGGCAAAAGCACAGTGAACAGGCCTCAGACCGCAAGTCGGCAACAGCAACCTGGGGGGGGGTTCAGAATCAACGCCACTTCCCGGGCCTGCCTGTTGCTGCTCATGGGAATAGAATTTGTTTGCCTTCCGTTGCCATGTTCTGTGAGTGGCCAAGTGCATCGACAAAAAAAATGAGAGGGGTGATTTTCCATCACCCTGGTGCTGTTCGCGGCTCGTTTTGTTGACCAGTTCATCAGTGCGCCCACTTTCTGCGGCACTTCGGCAGGCAAAGGTGGCCAGCTATGGGCCGGTCTTGACACCTCGGCCCCTGATCGAAGCTTGGCAGGGATGGGGAGGCGAGTGCCGACTTGCCTTGAGGAAGCGGCGTTTTCGATGCAAACAAAGAGAGCCCTTATATTCTGTTAGCAGGCCACCTCCGAAAATTTGATTCGGGATGGTATCTCCTATAATGAAGGACCCTTGCCTATACGGTACCTCATTTCAGGCCGGTGAACGATTGGAGTTCACCCACTAGATCGAGCAATCCGGCTTATTGACGTTCTGGCAGCCAGCCAGATGTTTGGCCCTTGCGTTGCCACAAGGTTAGGAGGCACAAGGAGCCCGCGTTTTGGGTTCATGCTGATGGGAGCAGTTCCATGGGCTGTGGCCACACGTTCTAGCTGCAAGATGGCCATCCAGTGAACGAATCCCAGGCACCAAGCCACTTGATGTGCACATCGCTCATGTTCAGAAGCTTGTCCTGAAACCTATCCAGTTCCGTCAATCAAGTTGCAAATGACTTGGCAAACTATGGCGACCCCGAATATGGTTGCTCCGAGCCATGAAACAGATGACCAAGCCTCATAGGCTCATAGGTGTTTCCTTTGGTTCTTTCCCGTAGCTACCCAGGAAATAACATTTCGACCCTTATGCCAGGTTCCTCGGAGCAACCCTATCGAGGCTTGCGACCTGAAGGTTCTTTGCTTGCGGGTGCCATATTCCAGACCCCTCCGGGCCAAACACCGGGGAAATGACAGGCACTCCCACTGTGCACCTTCACAGCTCACACATTCAACTTCAGGCACCGTCTAGAAGCTCGAGTGGGTGAGACAACGGCAGTGGAGATGACGCAGTCAGTAACAAGATCTGCTGAGAAGCAGTAGTCACATGCTCAACTTCTGGAACCAGAATGCTGCATGATGAAGCCAACTATCGAAGTGCAGCGTGAATCCAGCATCGTCCCTTCACTCGAGCGCGGACTCTTCAGCCCAGGATGGGACGCTGTCATCGACTCGCTCCACGCTGCTGGTACCAAGGTACGATTCGAGGCGGGAGGTGTTTTCCATTTCGGGGTCCGGACGTTTGGCTGGGTAAGAGTTCAGACACACCTTTCTGGAGGTGGCCTTGTTGATGGTGGATTTGGAAGCAAACCAAAGAGCAACCTCAGGTAAGATCCTGATTTGGCCACAAAAGAAATATCCGCTCTCTCACGGACTTTGGCCTACTGCCAAAATCAGGGATTCCCTTTGCGGCCGGGCTTCTGGAGCAAATCAAGCCCTCAGCCATGCGAGGCCCAAACCCAGCCTTTTGGACGCATCCCCCCTTGCCCATTTGCACCAGTTGGCCAGCTGAAGCCCCAGACTTTCAGATCCTTGGCGGGGTCATGTTGCAAAGCTTTAGTCTGGCTTCTAGTGGCAAGGCACACAACAAGTCCAAGGGTTACGAGAAAACAGGGGCTTGGTTTCCCGGATTCGCGCGTGCGTTTCGCGCATGCAACCGAGCTCGCTTGGTTGGTTGGTTGGTTGGATGGATGGATGGCTGGATGGATGGCTGGCTGCTTGGCTGGTTGGTTTTGCTGCATCGCTTTACCACTTGTTTCCCACTCATGAGGCTCTAATGATGTCTCCTCGTTTTCACCATGCCCTAGGACTGGGGTGGAAGAGGTGACTAGTCCGGGCCTGCGCCTGAGGGGGAAGGGGGGCATATGACGGCGCGGGGAGAGAGGATCATGTAGCGGCCAAAAACGCAAAGATCATTGTGTGACCCAGGCTGCAGACCTTGAAATAGGCCCAAAGAAGGTCTGTTCTTTGAGCCAGTTGTGTTTGCGGATAGTTTGACATAGTTTCCTTTCAAGGCCGCCAGAAAGGAGTTCCACACCCCGGATTTGAAGCTGATGGATTTCCAACGGCCGCCTTGTGCTTGTGGTAAATCTATGTGGTTTTGAGTTTTTGTTCTTAATACATTTGCTTCAGGAATTGCTCGACTTCTACCCGTGCCCAACGCAGTGGTTCCTATAAGTTGGTTTTCAGCGACCGTTTGGTGTCCTCTATTTTGACCTCCACCGCAAAGTTCTGAACATTTCTGCCTGGCCCCCAGTTTGGCTGCCAGAATTCGCGTCATAGCCTTATAGTAGCTGTCGCGAAGTTCCGAACGCATATCCTCGCATGTTCCCGGGTCCCGGGGGAGGCAAGCATCATTTATCTACGCCTGTAGCTGCGCCTGAAAAACTCCGATTTCCAGTGGGATGGAGACGGGTTGGGTGCCTGCCGTCTGCCAAGCTCTCAGCTGCGTTTCCCTGTCTCTCCAGTTTCCTTCAAACTGACCCTGCTCCTGCTTTGCATGGTTCAAAAGGGCTTTGGCGGCCCTAGCTCCCACGCCTTGAAGGGATCCTTCAGGATCCTTCGCGTTGAAGAATCTCCTTGGAATGGTTTGGGGCGCGGTTGTGAAGCCACGCCTGTTAGGGCTGTTAGGGTTTGGGATGTCTGGGGTGTCACGCTGAGTTCTCCCATTCCTGGACCCTACCATCTTGGCCTGGGAATCCTTTGAACCACGACGAAATAGGATGTGTTTCCAGGATACCCTCCCACCCTTTTCACATGGAACCCGACGTGCGGGCCGTCCTGGTTTGGACCCTTGTCCTTTTAAAGGGACCGGGTCCCGAACGTCAAGTTCCATTGGGAGGGTATCCCCTCCAAAACCAGGGCTGGAACACGGTACTGTGCGACCCAAATGGTCCAATCATTTCGCGTTGTTTCGACCCTGTGGGTCGGACCCAAACGGTTCAAGCAGTCCAGTCAACAGTTCGTTTACCGAAAAGAGCACCTGCTTCCATGGCTTGTTGGGTGCGCTGTCAGTTTTGAGACGACAGAGAAACAAGAAAGAGGTCATCCACCTGTCAGGGCCAAGAGTCTTTTGACCATGGCCCAATTGGAGAACCCGGTGCTAGCCATCGATTGGGAGGATCTTCTGATTCACAGGGAGTACCCAAGATTGGCGCCGCGCGGCTTGTGAGGGGTTAACCCCAAACCAAGCACCAAATCCTTGTAATGTGTTGTAAACTAAAACATTTCCAGAACTCGTTTTCTACTTGCTTCATAGTTGAAATCAGGTAGCATCTTGCTGAAGTGGCCAGGTATTTCAACTGAGAGAGGGAAAGGGTTGAAGTCACCAACAAAATCTTGATTTCACCCTTCCAAGGAATCCCAGGGCACATCTCCGGGGCCCAAAAAAAACGGCCGGGGGTTTGGTGGCCTTCGGCTTCCTTTAACGGGTTTTGGGATCCGTCGACTTCGCTAGTGGTTCCCTTGCCCCCTGTCTCCACACCCTTTGGCTCGCAGAAAGCCGCCCCCCCCTCCCCCCAAGCGGGCGACCCACTCGACCACTCGACCACTCGACCACCCGGAGCCCGAGGCTGCGAGATCTCCTCGGGCTCGGAGGCCTCCACAGTGGCGGTGCCCCACTTCCCCAGGCCCCGATGGTTGCGTAGCGTGGGGGCTTATGACATTGACGCATATTGACGCTCAGGCATACAGCATGCGAACTGCTCAGCAGCTCCCCCGCCTCCCTTCGCCCGCTTTTCAGCCTGGGGACCATTGGACCGGCTTGCAAAGTCGTGATTCTCAACCGAGGAAGCTGCCCTTTGCGCGGATTTCTGCAGACAGCGAGTAAAAAACATGGCAGTCTTGAAGTGTAACTGATGATATGGGAGTGGGGCAAGTGTTGGCAAGTGTCCTTTGGACACCAGCGGTTTTTCAACCCTTGCCAGTAATCCCCTGCGAGGTGTTCACATGACCCATCGCTCCGCCGAGAACAAGTACAATGATCCGTTCCCAATGTCAAGCACGGCCATCGTGCTTGAGACCCGTTTCTTCCATCTCCATGGGAACCGGCACCAGCCTTTTGGAGGGCAGGTCTCCTTTTTGACATTTGGTTCAGCCTGGTTGGGTTCTCAACAGCTGGGTGTGTTCATTTCCTTTCAGTGCAGGCCGGTGCTGAGTGGCAGCTCTCGTGCCACTCAGACAGAGGCAACGGGGGTGTGGCAGTTGGGACCACGGGGTTTTTTTTTTTGCTTTGGGTGTTGCGCATGAAGAAGGGCATCCTTCAGACGCGGTGGGTGCTTTTTTGCGCAAGCCTTCGAAAAAGTCAAAAACAAAAACAGTGCTGATGAACGGAGAGCTCTCCTATCGCTGCAATGTGCAGCTTATCTTTCTTGGCTTGTTTCACACAATATATGTGTGATGATTGCAATGAGCATGATTTTTTTTCCAGTGTCACACATCGATTTGTTCCAGTGATTCATGTGTGCATCCTGGGAACCAGAAGGTCGCCATCCGCATCTCACCTGTGAGTTCGCAAACTTTGCTGCCAGAAGATTAAGTTCCTGGGCAGTCACTTCAACAGGATGTCTTCGGGAGATTCCAGGGAAGTTCCGGGGTTCCCGAAAAGTTCTGGGGAATTTGGGCTGTTGGGGATACTCCTTGCGCGAATTAGATGGAACTTCTGAGTTTTGTCGAGGGCCTCGTTTGCTGCCAGTTCGGAACTTTGAATTGTTCGGTTGAATGTTCTCTGGGATGCTATTGGTTCTGGTTATGTCCGAGTAGCATCCTGTCGGCCAGCAAGTATCCGGCCAGCAAGTGTCAAACAGCATCCGTGTGCCAGATGTACTCAGATCTATCTTTGCATCAAGCTCTTTGAAAGGCCGCAGTCTGTGTGACAGAAACAGTTCCTGCCGCTTCGCATGGGTCAACTTGTGGGCGGCGAGGCAGATGTTGAAGATGCAGGGGAGCCCGGCAATGGGTTCAGCTGGTTGAGGTGGAGGTTCGGGCCATGTTAGCCCATTGCCCCCGGGGAGCCTGGGGGATCCTCCACTGTTGGGCGTGCCCCAAACCTGGCCCCAAACCTGGAAGCTCGCTGCATCGCTCCGAAAACACCCGCCTCTTGAATGTGGAAGCGGGAAGGTTGCGTGGTTTGTCGTTGGCATCCTGTCTTCAACATGTTTGCCGTTCCACAGAAATGTGGCTTCAAGCTGTCTGTAGCCCGAAACTCTTTGAACATGGAAGCTCCACGGCCGACCAAACACTAGGGCAAATATTCCAGACCTTTCTGGCGAATGTGTTTGGTACGCATGCCGGTGGATCATGTGAGCGCTGGAACTGCTGGCCCTGCAAATGCAAGTGTGCTGCCAAGCTCTTAATTTAGGCATTTCAATGAACTTTGTCAGCTTGTTGGTTCGTATCTTGGGGTGAACATGGGTATGTCTCAAAATTCAAATGGGTCGGACATTCCCTTGGCAAGCAAGGACAGCCAGCAGGAAACCAATACGTCTTCAACACAGGACCCGCCCATTGTACGGCGCATTCTATTTGAAAGGATCAAGTAGGGTGCTGAGGTTTGCCAATTTGCCCGATTTCAATAGCTCAAACATGTTTCCTTTTGGCCCAGGTAAGCGCGGCGCTAGGCCGGGGCCCGGGGCTATGGGATCGGAAGAACTTGGCCAGTAATTACTGGCGGATATGGGCACTTGATTTTGAGTGTATCCTTTTTGCAGTGGTTTCATGTGAAACCAAAGGGAAAGCCTTGGCTTTAGAAAGTCAGACGGCATCCCTGGCCCTTCAACCTCTGAACTTCCATGAGGGTTGAACCTGGCTTAGAGGCGGGGACGATACAGGGACGCTCTGAGGCAAAAGTCACTTCAGACCTCCGGAAGCTGTCGATGTGAATCCTTGGGCATGGAGTTCAATCAGCATTCCTCCACCTTCTCCTGCTGCCTTTGGGAGATGGTGGCTCTGTTTGCAAGCACCTCAGGCAGTTTGCGCAAAGTGCTAAGAGGCGGATTCAGTGTTTGTTCTCCCTTTAAAGACTGCAACTGCCTTGCTGATTCCGGAGGCCACTGTCAATTCCGGTTGGGCCTTCAGGCATTGCAAAGGCTAGTCATAGTCAGTTGGGCTTCATCCCAAATTGCTCCGAGGCTTTCTTTCACATTGCACCCAGCGCGGACCACTCGCTTTGGCGCAAACTGAGGGCACCCTTTGGACCGCTTTGGACCGAGGCCAGAGGCCATACTTCTGTTTGCAGTGCGCCAACTTGCGTGCTTCTGATTGGGTCGCCTCCCAAAATTGGATGGCCCTTTGAGAAGTAAGCTTGTCCGCAGGGCTTCAGCTGCAGAAGTTTGGGGATGTCGGGCTTCGGCTGCAGGGGATCGTTTGGCTGGGGACGCATCAAGAAGCTGGGGGATTCCTCTTGGATGTTGACCTGGCCCCACTTTTGCACCGTTTCAAAGCACCTTCCCAGATCTAGTTTCAAAGGGACGCTGACTTTAGCCCTCAAACGTGTGCCAACAGCTTGGGCTTTGCTCAAGCCAAAAGAAGGCGTGTCCATTTGGGTCTGGCTCTTTTAGGGTACTCCTTGTTGGGATTGGTTTACAGGGACAAGCCATATTTGTTGTTTTTGTTTTGTCTTGAAAGAACACGTGCGCAAGAGAGACATTTCAACAAGCACACACACACACACATGCTCACTGCACGAGTTCCATTGCGGCAAGAGCTGTGCTAAGGTGCAAAAGAAACAAACCCCTCACCAGTGCCGCTCGATTTGGGAGGGCCGGGCGAGCTCAAAGCCAGGTGGTTCGCGCATGGACTCCTTGCATCAGTTGGTGGCTCGGGGCTCGAGTGAAGTGCGGCGAGATTCGCCGTCTCGACATTTCAGCCGCAGGTTGGATGGGAATCAGAGTTGCTCAGCTCGTTCAATGGGAGTTGTGTATCGGGTCTGATGTTGGCCCCATCGCTGCCCAGCTCCAGTGCCACCACCTGAACTCCCGGACTCCCGGAAACATGTCAGGTGTATGTTCCAAACATGCAAATGAGTATCACCAACGGGTCACCAACGATGATATTGGTTTTGGGTATCCCTCTTTGGGACCTGCCACACTGACCAGCATGCTGTGGTTGAAGCCCGGATATTGCTGGCCTTGTGCGCATGCGCGCGCACACTCCCAGGCCCACGCCCGCGCTCGCACGCGCGCGCGCAACACCTATGCAGCGTTGCTTCCAAAAGCCAAGGAGAAGTAACAAATCGCCTGGTGGTTGGACATGGGTTTGATCCGCCTGCATGCTCGTTGGTTGAGCGCACCTGGTTTGCATTTTCAGTTTTCGCAGGGGGAAACGTTGGACTTTTAGGACTCTGCGTTTGCCGGTCCAAGGCTCCGGGGTTGCTTGTGGCTTCTCGGGAATCCGCGCGCGAGCTTGAGGCCAAGCGGGCCATGGATGTAGAAGAGAATGACAGGCCAGACACAGCCCTGGGGCCTCCGTCTGCAGGTTTAGCCCACCGAAGGTAGCAAGGGGAACCACTTCTGAAGCGGCAGCTTCTCTTCGCCGTTGAAAGTTTCTCCGGGGCTTCAGCCCCTTGAAATCCCATCGCCTTTGTCCGCCGCCCCCCCCCCCCCCGAGTGGCACAAGGCGTCTTGACAAGCTTGCTTTGAAGTGCCTTGCTGCACGCTGTCTTCCAAAGGGTTGCTGAAGCATTGCAGGGTAAGCACGAACCTTTATTGCTTTTTGGCCAGTGCACCTGAGCTTGATGCTCGGCCTGACACGCGAACTTTTAAATTGCAATGTTTTGGTGTGTTGGTAACGACTGCTCCAGGACCTGCCGAGGAAAGGGCATTTGGAACCCAAGAACAATGCAGTTTTCAAGGTTCACCCAGACGCTTCATTCAGTCCTCAATCGTCGTGCACCGTGTCAAGTTGCTTTTTTTTCCCCCCTAAACAGGCTTCAAGCAAATCAGTGGAACGCGTACACAAATGCTTGCCCAAGCCATCCAGCGCATGGAACAACGGAACGGCCATTTGGTGGTGCTGGTGCCTCAAGAGGCCCTGGCTATAAAATCAAGCCCCATTTGTTTGCGATGCTTGCTTGGGAAGGTGGTAGCCCGCGACCAAAGCAAGGAGCCTATCACTTAAAGAAACAACTTGTACCAAGCTTTTCCCTTTGATATCAGTCGGTTTGGTGACCTTTGCCTGCACAAACGTGTTTGGTTGCCACATGGCTCAAGGACCCGATTGTTGCCTGACGAACCCCGGACCTCACGCTGTTCATGGACGAGTTCCCACAAAGAATAGAAGCATAGCAAACAGGTCGACTTCTCAAGATATCACATTGACCTTGCTCAGCGCTTGTCGGCTCGCATTACCACGAGCCAACCTTGTGGTAACGCCAACTCACATACGAAGGTTCTTTGCTCCGGGATTCATTATGTTTCCAGTTTGAGAACGGTGGTAACGTGTTGGGCATCCAAAGGTAGCCCAACGCCGATCGGCGGCTTGACTTGGCCAACGCCAGCCAGGCCGCCCTCAGAGCCTTCCATCGAAGACGACGTGAAAGTGGCACCTGGGCAAAAATAATTGTGTTCTTCATTTGTTTGTTTGTTTGTTTGTTTGTTTGCCTGCCTGCCTGCCTGCCTGCCTGTCTGTCTGTTTGTCTGTCTGTTTATTTGTTTGTATCAGTTTGTTGGGTTTCATTTGTTTGGTGTAATTAGTTTTTGTTTGTTTTGTGTGTGTGTGTGTTTTTGTCTGTCTGTCGGTTTGTTGCAGTTTCACTGTTATGTTTGTTTGTTTGTTTGTTTGTTTGCTTGCTTGTTTGTTTGTTTGTTTGTTTGTTTGTTTGTGTGTTTGTTTCTTTCTTTCTTTCTTTCTTTCTTTCTTTCTTTCTTTCTTTCTTTCTTTCTTTCTTTCTTTCTTTCTTTATTTGTCTTTCTTTGTTTCTTTGTTTTTTTGTTTGATTGATTGTTTGTTTGTTTCTGTGTTTGACTTATTGTTTGTTTGTTTATTTGCGTGTTTGTTTGTTTGTTTGTCTGTTTGGTTGGTTGTTTGTTTGTTTGGTTTGTTTGGCTTGTTATTTTGTTTGGGGTTGTTTGTTTGCTTGCTTGCCTGGTTTGGTTTGGTTTGGTTTGGTTTGTTTGGCCTGTTTGTTTGTTTGTTTGTTTGTTTGTGGGGTTGTTTGCCGGTTTGTGTGTTTTGCTTGTTTGTGTGTTTGTTTATTTGTTTGCTGGCTTGCTTGGTTTCGTGTCGTTTCGTTTGGTTTGGTTTGGTTTGGTTTGGCCTGTTTGTTTGTTTCATTTTCTATTAGTTTGTTTGTTTGTTCGTTTGTTTGTTTGTTTGTTTGTTTGTTTGTTTGTTTGTGGGGTTGTTTGTTAAAGTTTGGTATGAATCTTGTTTGCAGGCGTGCGTGGGTCGTTTGTTTGTTTGCTTGCTTGCTTGGCTTGGCTTGGCTTGGTTTGGTTTGGTTTGGTTTGGTTTGGTTTGGCCTTTTTGTTATTTTGTTTGTTTGTTTGTTTGTAGGTCTGTAGGTCTGTCTGTTTGATGGATGGATGGATGGATGGGTGGGTGGGAGGGTGGGTGGGTGGGTGGGTGGGTGGGTGGGTGGGTGGTGGGTGGATGAATGGATGGATGGAATTGAATGAAATGACATGACATGAAATGAAATGAAATGACATGTATGACATGACATGTATGAAATGAAGGAAGGAAGGAAAAAAGGAAGGAAGGAAGGAAGGAAGGAAGGAAGGAAGGAAGGAAGGAAAGGAAGGAAGGAAGGAAGGAAGGAAGGAAGGAAGGAAGGAAGGAAGGAAGGAAGGAAGGAAGGAAGGAAGGAAGGAAGGAAGGAAGGAAGTAAGGAAGGAAGCAAGGAAGGAAGGAAGGAAGGAAGGAAATAATTAATTTGTGAACATACATTTATAGAGTGTCCTCCCGGGATGAATTCATCACGAAATAAATGTATGTATGACACGTTAATTTATTTGTTCATGTTTGTGTCGTTTCTTTTGCATTTGTTTATCCAAGTATCAGGTTATTGGTTTTGTTGGCTTCCAGCTTCGTTGGTTTCCTGTAACTACCGAGGGCCTTCATTCAACACTGCAACAATTTGTGTGTCTCGAAACTGGCTCCGTCCTAGAAGCAGGCGCCTGGTCCAACAGCCAGGGGCACAAAGCCGTGGTGGGTGAGTTAGGGTTTAGGGTCAGGCTTGAAGGCGGGTTCGTTTGGAGCACGCTTGGAGCCAGCAAAGGAGAACGTTTTGCTGCACAGAAGTCATTGACATTGGCGCTGAACGTAGAATGCGTGTGGTGTGTGATGGTGTGTGGTACCGCATGCTATCAGCATGCATGCATTGGGGTGGTTGATCCGATGACCTATCAAGCTTGATGCCAAAGCCAGCTCTAGTATGTTGAAAGCAATGGTGGGGACTTTGCTCCAACCATATCTGGTCACTAGGTGACAGTTCTTTTGACTCCTCAACGCGTGCCTTGGTCAAAATTAGAGATGCCTTCAAGCCACTGAATTCTTTTTGGCTTCCCTTCAAATCTGCTTGCTCAAAGTCCCTCTGATCTAAATGTAACACGACACCCAACGCACCAGCATCGCTGAGCGCCGAAAGGGGCAACTGGGCCTCTCGGAGTGGACAGCGCCTTCCAAGGCAAAACACATGAATCCCCATTTTCACATCCTCCAGACCCAAAAGGTTACACAGATGCCCTTCAACTAAGGGGCCCGTTGGCACTGACAGTCTGCTGTTTGTTGGATTGAGGAGGGACGTGGAGGGACAAGCCACATTTCCCACAAAAAGAGCTGGGGAAGCATGTCATTTGTCCATGGGCTCATGTCTTCATTGGTAAAGGTCGCGCTTTACATTTGTGTCACCCAAAACGAACCAAACGGGCTGTGCCGCGCCCAAAAGTTGCGGCTCAGGCCGAGATGATTTTGCGGCCCGTGTCCGAGTCCCTGGAGAGGCCAAGGGGCGGACGGTTTGGCTGTGTGTGTGTGTGTTTTTCCATGGCAAAGGTGCCTGTCTTGTTTCAGGATATAGGCTACCGGCTGCGCAGAATCGCACATAATCGCACCCCAGTTTTGAGCTCAGTGTTTGTGTGAGTTGTGGCGTGGTCTTACGAACAGCTGCGTGTTCACGGCCGTGAAGTGGGGAACAAGGCTTTCCTGCTATCTTGTACATTATCCTGCTAGCCTGCAATACTTGAGGGTCCGATAATGAAGGGCGGAAGTGTTTGTTGGTAACACAGTTCTGGCCACGGCGTTTGCGGGGACCTTGTATCTGCCCAGCGGCCTTTTGCCATGGGACATAGACTGCCTTGGTTTCGTTGTTCGCAAGCTGATGGGGAGCGCGTTCCATGGCCCCAACATATGCGCAACACACATGCCAACTTGCTGCGACATGTGCCAATTTGGGGGCAAACCTTGTGCCTTTTTTGCCATCCACAGTATATCAGCTGCTTGGGTCGCCCGACCTTGTACTTATCGCTGCTTGCTACCAGAGGCACATTGAAGGCATTAACCTTGAAATTTCAGATTTGTTTCTCGGCATGTTGTGGACTGGTGAAGCCTAGGCGCGCTGTCATGTTTTCCCTCGTAACAGTTCCCCGGATGGCGGTGCGCGGATGGCGGTGCGTGTGTGTGTGTGTGTGTGTGTGTGTGTGTGTGTAGGTGTGTGTGTGTGGGTGAGTGTGTGCGAGAGGGTACCCTTTCCAAGTTGGTGTAAGGGGACATACACGGAAAAGCCACCATTTTTTAGTGTCGCCTAGTCTGACACATCCCCATGTTTCCTCTCTTTGGGCTGAAAGGATCGCCTTTCGGCCAACTTTATTCGAGTTTCTGCTTGGGGGGGTTGTTTGAAGGGGACATATAGCCATGGTCACAACATATGCGGGCAGGTATGGTCATCAGAGTGGCGAAGGTTGGTAAGGGAGTGGCATTGATCCAGAGGTCCGGAGTTCCCATGGCAACGAACTCCGACCCGCCACGAAGGCTGCGGGTCTCCATCGAGGCCTCGACGCCTCGTTTGGAGGCCGAGTGCGCTTGAGGATTGGGAGCTTGGGGTTTTGAGGCCCCGTCTTGCTGAACTGGCTGTGGGTCAAAAATGCGTAAATGGAACGCTGATAAATGGAACCAAAGACTAAAACCTGCGGTTCCCTGGTGGGTTTATTTTGACCCATACCCAAATGGGAGTCGATCTAAATCGACGGAACTAGGCTTTGTGTACGGGAGACCTAGTGGAGATACAAGGTGTTGCCACACTGTGGTCGCGAAAGAGGGCGTAAGGGCGAGCGAAAGGGAAAGTGGTCGGTGTTATGCACAATGGTTTTGAGGGCCTCAAATGGCTCCAAATGTTATTTTGGTCTGCGCAAAACAATTGAAGCATTTTCGGCATGCTGGGTTTGGAATCTGTAGGTTTTTGATCCGATTAGGATCCTTTAGTCACCAGGGCCTAAGGCCCCCCCCAAAAAAAGTTCAGGCAAGTTCTTGGGAGAGTGGACTGCCGGTTCAACGATCCATTTAATGGAATAGTTCAACGATCCATCCGGTTGCTTGTCAGCTTTGTTTGCCAGAGATGTGGTGCGTCGTGTCCTTTAGCAGCCGCTCGGTTTTGACTGAAGTGGGAGAACAACCGGGTGTTCTAAAGAAATATTGTGCTGTGTGAACCTCCTAAACGTGAGTTCTGGTTCAGCGGCGCAGCCTTCTGGCTATGCACTGCTTTGTGTTTGTTCTTTCCTCTCTCCCTGCCCCTCCATCCCTCCTTTGCTCCCTCCCTCCCTCCCTCCCTCACTCCCTCCCCCACTCCTCCCTGCCTTCCAGGTCCTCCCCTCGCTCTTGCTCTCGCTCTCGCTCTCTCGCTCTCTCTCCCTCTCTCTCTAACCAGGGTGCCAGGAGATATACATGTGTGCGCCTGGCTTGTCTTGATCGCAGTTTGTCTGGCATGTGCGCAGTTTGTGATTGGGCGGTTCGATGGAAAGTATCGCCCTCGGTGTCTGGGCTTGAGGCTCCTGAAAGGGAAGAGCAGGCCCCGCATCGGAGGTAACATGGATGCTCTATGTACCCACCGTGTAACCTTTGCATCCACTGTGAGCCTAAACTCATGTGGACAATTCGGAGGGTCCCCCGCCTCCCCCGATCCCTGCAACGAATTCCTTGGACTGCGTCACAGGCAGCGAAGCTGCCGGGAGCTCATGGATCGTCTTGAGGGTCCCTCAAGGTCTTATTCTGCTGGCGGTGGTGGTGAACGGATGATTGAGTTAATGTTGAATGGGTGGTTGGTGGTGGTGGTGGCGGCGGCGGTGGTGGCGGTGGTGGTGGTTTCCTTTGTTTTAAACAAGCTGTTTTTTCATTGGCGTTTTCTTGAAAGCAGCCCTGAAAGAATGAGACTGGCACCCCTGAGAATGTAGGAGAATGTAGGACTGAAGGTATGAATACACCACAGCAGCGGTCCCCTGAGGGCCTCCGAACAACCATTATAGACGGCCTTAACAACAAGGGCTGGTTTGGGGGCGTGTCACACATGTTTGACGAATGGGTTGGTGCTTTGGCATTTGTTATGCTACCGGATGGGCATGCTGATGAACTTACAAGGAGCCTCGCTGCAAACGTGGTAGTAGGTAGCATGCGCGAGAATATTGAAAGAGTGCCAATTGTTGGCCTTTTGCATTTGTTCGCTCTGGTGCCTGTCAAAAATTATTAAAAACAAGGGCTTTCAGAAAATGCGCTGTAGCTCGGCAATGCACCGGCACTGCGTGCATCAGCGAGTCAGCTCAGGCCTAGCCCCAGTGCGCTTTCTGCGCGCAGCGCCCGGGGGCTTGGTGATGCTGAGTGGAGATGGTGGGGGATAGGCAGCCAGACAAACGGGGCTAGGAGTGATAGCTTTGCAAAGCAGAAGGACGTTCACAGTTGTCAGGGGGTGAGCAAACTGAATTCAAATAATTAGACAAATGGAGCAAAGGATGGGTGGTCAAGCACAGGCTAAGCATCAGAGTCATTGCTCTGAATGACGCATTCCGACTTGCTGCTCCGGGAAGACAGGCAATAGGAAGAAGGCTGGATTGTTTGTCACACACTTTTCGGTTTGCAGGTGCAGGCGCTGAACTGTGCATGTTTTGGACATATCATCAAACGTTTCCAAGCCGAATGGTGTCTCTGTGTGGAAAAAGCGCAACTTAGCAGGTGCGTCGAGGCGATCAGCCTCGACACTTCGTTGGACCATCGCATAAATGGATGGCTCCCCTTCTTGGAATGATGCGAAAGAAGGAGTGACTCTCTCCCTCCATGAACTAGGAGAGGTCACACCCACCCACACCCACGCACGCGCACACACACACACACACCCACACGCTCACAAACACAAACATACACGACCCCAAAGACCCACCCACCCGCCCACCCACCCACCCACCCACCCACCGACCCACCCACCCACCCACCCACCCACCCTCCCTCCCTCCCTCCCTCCCTCCCTCCCTTTGTTCATTTCATCGGCGCCCCAGCCCTTCTTGACCGATTCCGCAAGTGCCTGCCTGCTCTTCTGTTGTTCATGCTGTTTTCGTTTTTTCCTTCGGGCGATATGAGCGACGCGCACAGGCGTCTCCCTCGCCCATCTTCCATCCGGCGAACAGCTGGGAGGCGGAGGCCACTGTCGGGTCACGTCCGCGCTATATCGGATGGGTCTCAGACTTTGCTCCTCTGCCTTTTCGTGTTTATTTGGAAAAGTGTGACGACACCATAAAGGGGGTTCGAGACATCACTCATGAAGACTAATTGTTACTATTCGCCCAGACGATTGGCTTTCGGAAATGGGCACGGGATCTATACAAAGTTCGCAACCCCCCCCCCAGGCTGCCCAAAAACTTCTTGCTGTTTCCTAACCCAGCAACCGGGAGTTGGTGGCCGGCCTAGAGGTCATCCCAGATAGCAAGCCGAGATGGGGCCTGGTTAGACGCATATGGACACGTGCCTCGTTTTCCATTGCCACGATGAGCCATGCCGCTTGCCATGCAATTCTGTTTTTGCCAATGCTCATCCATGTGTGCGCTTTGTTTCATTGGATCTTGCAAGCATGGCTTTCTCTACATTTTCCATTGGGCCATTCGGAAGTGATGTTTCAGGGGGAAATGTGGGAACATAGGTGTCCTTTCAGTTTGGTGGAACATAGATGGATTGATTTGTCAGTCTTGCCAAAAGCCCGAAAACCCGGTCCAAGACCATTTTCGAAGCTGGGTGTGTTTAGCGCCAGGTCCAAACTGCGGCGCCCGGAGGCGGGAAGGATTGAACTATCGAATTTCTCTTTTTTCAGGTTTCTCCTACTTCTCTTAGCTGTGTCTCCGGGTGAGGACACTTTGGGACGTGGTAGACATCACCATGGACGTGTCGGAGATTCCCTTGCGACCCAAAGAGTCCCTTGCCTCCAGAGATGCAGCTGAGTTTTCCAGTTCCGCATGCCCCTCATTTGAGCAATGGACTCCATGGCTTTATTGCCAGGACTCCGCTTGGCTCTGTGGAAGCCGCATGTCTTGGGTTGGTTTCTGCTGATGGGACATAAAGCTGCTGATGAGGCTCTCACAGGTCGTCCTTAGCACTGTGAGAGCGATGACGGAACACGGGCATTGCCTAAAATTTGGGCGACACCCGTTTGGTTGCTCAAAGGGAAACCCAACTGATGCCAAACCGTTTGTCGGGGTCCTATTTTGGGAAACAACCCCTTGGGCGAGTTCTTCTCCAAACTTGGCGCAAGATTCGAGACATGTACGGGGCAAGTTGGGCTTTCAACCTTCCGGCTACACACTCCACATCCATGAATTGTGAGAGATCCATGTTCCCTTTCAATATGTCCCGTGCCTGGAGGACAAAGAAGGACTCAAAGTGATGTGTTGGTTTGCCTCGGGCTCTCTACTGCCAGTAATTCCAGTGGAGAGCTATGCCGCTCATAGCCTTGCTTAGCAGAAAAGTGCGGCGCCGACCATCCCCAGCCATTCTCATTTCTCAAACTTCTCTGAGAGCCCAGCAACCTGAAAGCGAGGCGTCTCCGTCCGGGAAGAGGTGATTTCCGAGGCTTTCGGGAAGTCGCTGGGCATGGGCCAGCGAAGGGCGGTTCGCCGTCCCCTTCGCTTTTTGGGTTGTTGGGTTAGGGGAGGTGTCTATTTAACCCACTAAAAGTTAAACATTTAGCAGGGGATCTGTCCTCGTATTTTGCCCACTTTCGTTTCAGAGTACTTCTTCTAGCCGGGGAGTTCCCGGTTTGACTTGGCAAAGCAGTCTAGCTGCTCTTCCGCATGCCCTGAGAATCAGCAGATCCTTCGAGGTGGGTCTAAAGGATGGAAGCATCCCATCTCAATAAGCGATTTGAACGGATATGCTGCATATGTATGTATACATACACATATTGTATACACATGCGTGTATATACAGTGTTTCTTTTTTCGGAAGAATAGGGATCAAAACAAGCATCCAAACACGTCGTGTTGGCACCAGCCACTTGAGCCCCAACGGTGGTGCCGATTGTGAGGGGGCTGGTGGCAGTCACTCTTGCATTTGACATAGAAGCCCGTTTCATCCCCGATTGGGGAGATCCGTCTTTTTCTTTTGGGCTCATTGTGTGTTCATTTCGAGGGGGAGGTGCAGCAAGTCATCAAATAGCCGAAGGCAAAGGTGTAGGTGCGTTGGGTGGTTTAACCAACTGGCAAAGGGGAACCCTCCACAAGACATGGATGGAAAATCCACTTTGCACCAGGTGGTTCATCCTAATATTCACAGGCTTTCTTCCAATGCCCCTGGCGTTTGCCAGGCCTTACAGTCTTCTCACCGCTCAGCGGACATCGAGGTCAGCCGCTGCCCCTGTTGGGTTTGCAATCAATCCCAAGTGTTTTTTGTGTTTTGTTTTTTTTGCCGGGGGGGGGGGGGGGGCACGGGATATTTCGGATGTGACAGCAAATTGCCAGAGTTTTGTGGCTGGAGTACTGGATGTGGTTTCACTCGCATGACGTATCCAAGTCTCCGGCAGGCTCCGGCCAGTGCAATCACGCCATGACCAGAATCCATCCGAAGCACGGCCAGGGACAACAAACAACTGCTTCACATCTACGGGGGCTGGCCTGGGGAATCACCTATCAGGGCACCCTTCGTCCTCCGCCATCTCAGCGGTCTGGGCGAGTTTGGCAGTGGCCCTCTTTGAGGGTTTTGTGCCCAAATGATCATTTTGGGTCTGGGCATTCAGCACTGAGGCAAGGCCCCAGTTCTGGCAGAGGCGGGGTGTTTTTTTGTGACTTGATGCCGACCATCTTGGAACTTCATTGTTGCCAGACGCGCGCCACGGTTTTTGGCGTCTAGGATTCTGCCGGCTCCAGAAGGGTGCTTTGATGCCAGCACTTGAACGCGCCAGTCCTCTCAACGAGGCAAACAATTTCAGGGCTTTGACCATCCCTGGAGGGGATGCCGGCGATTTTATCCCAAACAAGTTGTGTCAAAATAAGTTGACGCAAAATGTCAAGATCAGTTGGCAAAATAATCAAGATGCCTTATGTTCTTGGCAAAATGATCTTGTGGCAACTTATTTTGCGAAGCAAAACGAATCCATCCAGGTGTGTCTGGAGGTGCTCTCGCAGCTGGAGAGCGAGCTGAGCAACCTGGAGGCTCCTGTTTTTGTTTGTCCGAAGGGGCGGAAGAAAACAATTTGCAAAAAAAGGGGCTAGAGGGGTGGTTATGGTTTTTATGTTCGTCTCAAACCTATGGCCCCCCTTGTTCGTTTTGAAAAAGGGTGTTTTGGGGAGCAGTAGCCAGCACAGACACTAGTCAAAGTCGGCCTTTTGGTGTCCCTATCCCCTTCAGCATGCAAATGCGGCTGCGTTGGATGAGCGTCAAAGGTAGTTGGAGACACATGCCATCGCAGAGGCTTTGACGATTCAAAGGATTTCTTGATGAAACCCTGAAACACATGCTTGATAGATTTTGGGGGATTTTGCAGGGGCCTGTTTCATGGTCTTAGAGGAGGACCTCAAAGAAAGCAGGGGTCCCCTAGGTGGGGACTCACTCACACACAAATCAATCTTTCCTACATTGTCACCAAGGAAGCAAGAGGTTTCCCAAAGACATGCAACAGGTCACGGTGAAATGGCATGTGGACTCAGGAATCTGCCAGCTTTTAGATCGACTCTAAGAGGACAGGGCCTGCGCACAATTATCTTCGAGACCTCCCGATTTCGGCAATCAATCGACCGACAAAATTCAGACTCGACCCATGTTGACTCACACGTGCAATCTCCTCGCTTCTCACTCAGAAGCCTTGCATGATCAACCCAAGTTCTGCAGCTCCGGCATGTCGATCCACTGCCTTTCATTCCTTGCTTGCGAAAGTATGCTGCACACGCATTTCACGGGCCTTAGATTGACCTCCACCTGCGCAGCGCCTCAATGGATCCAGCGGAATTGTCCAGTGCTTTTGATGCCCTGGCTGCGAAGATTGACTTGTTCATGCCCAGGACTTCACGAATAAACATCCCAGAAGCTTTTGCGGGGAAATCAATTCCCACGCCCCCCCCGGTCGAAAGTCCCTCTTGAGGAACTCAAGAGATTGAGCCTTGTCTGGGATCCCAGATCTCTTCAACATTTATTCGATATGAAATATGGTCTAGAATCCAACATATTTTATTTTTTGGTTGGAGGGCAAAAACTGTCAGACCCCTGTTTTGCTCAGCTGGGGCGGCCGGGGCCAGGCCATTGTAGCCGCGGTGGAGGGGGCCAAGCGGGGGGCCACGGCGTTTTGTGGGCACGGCAAAGGGATCGCCTCCCGACTCCATGCTGCCTTAGTGCTTCTTTATTCCCATGGCTTGGTTTAGCGCCGCATCGTTTCCCTGGCATTGTTCAATTTGCACCTATCGAACCGAGTCATTGCTGATCAACGACTGCAAGTGCTCGCAATCTGCCAGCACACGTAAGAGAGACGCATCAGGGCCTCTTTGAAGCACTCACTTGTCACAGGCACCTCTACACATGCCTTTTGTTTCCCAGCTCAAACGGCTGGAGTGAAGTGGTGGAGCTTGGTCCTTGGTGCATTGAGAGTTTCTCAGATCTCAGCAATTCTCAAAAAGGCAGTTCCGGAAGGCATTCCGTGCTAGTTTAAGTGCTTTCCAAGATGTTCAAGATTGGCCGTGATGGGGAAACTTAGGGCGATCTTTTCGTCGAGTCTTCAGGAGAGCCTTCGGGTTATCGAGGTTACCTTTCACTCGCCAAGGGGCTGAGGGAGATCCACCTTCCGAGCTTGGCGGAAAACTGCAGCTCCTTAAGGCTGAGTGAACAAAGTTCTCAAGGCCCAGTCAGCCCAGACTCCTTTTCCCGGGCTTCTCGTCTGAGGCAGCTGGTTGGGCGGACTTCGCCCAAGCGTGAGAGGGCTGCCTGAAGCCTGGCGGTTGCGCCGGGATTTGCTTGAATATCCTCGGTCTGCGGTGGAATTGGGTTCGGAGCATTGGGGGTCTTACTTTCTCAACCCGGACTGGACATGAATCACTCAATGTCCTTTAGGGCTCTGGAAACCGGGATGTCAGAGGCGGGATATGCCAAAGAGGTGATGCAGCATCTCAGAGTACGTTTGCTTTCTGTGTGACTGTGCAAGGAGTAGCTTGGACTTAGACCTTTCTGTGGGCCTTTGGGATTTGATCAGACATCTATTTTCTCACGAGCTAGCTGCGCTGCGCTTCCTTTTTTCAACCGCAAAGGAAAAGGGAACTTGGGGCTTGGCCCAGTCTCGCCGACCGAAGGTCCCAAGCGCCCCAAGGGCGCTTGGCTTACAAATCCGCGGAATTCGGTGCCTCTCTCGGCCGGAAGTTTGGAGGGCCGGTTGGAGAGACCCTCGGTCACATTTGAGGACTGTTGCGAATTACAACAACCAATTGCCCAGAACAACACTTGGCCCGTATATTTGCACGTTACATACACATGAAACACAGCTGGTGCTTGATAGGCCCGAAGGTAAAGCCCATTTGGGAACACACCCACCTGGAGTTAGCTTCCTCTGTGGTCTTCTCCATTCACTCGGCGAAGAGGCAGCGGTGCAGGGCCTGCAGTGCTGGAGCTGAATGCACCTCGGATGCTTCCTCAATCCCTCAAAGGTGTGACTCGAGGCCCTGTTCAAAACCGACAAGCAAACTCGTAGCATGAGTTTTTCTGGAGCACCGTTTGAGCTGAGCTGCATTCTGAAAAGGGGCATGCGGGAGTAGCCACTTTAGCGATGGCTCCAGCAGAGGGTGTGCAGGAGCTCGACGCACCGGGGAAAAAGGGCGCGGCTTGCGATCAGCCCGTGGCTGCCTTAGGGGAAACGACTCGAGCATGCGTCACGACGACCGAGGGATGTTTCCATGCGCTGTTTGACTCGACGCCGTGTTTCAGCGTTCTTTCTCACCTCTCGAACATTCCCGAAGGGCTCCACTTCCCAACAGCGCCATCGTTATCTCAGTAACTGGAAGTTCAATCCAACCTATCCGGCTGGTGGTTGACTGGGAGGGCTCGTTCTCGCAAGGCACGTGCACATTGGACAGCTTATGGTGTCGCTTGCTCGCCTGTCCGATTTGGTCTCTGTACTGGAAAATGATCGCCCTGTACAGTAAATCCATGTCAAGTGGTCGCCAGCTGCGAGCAAACTGTTGCAAAAAGGCTGCGATTTCGGCCCATGTGTTGGACAATGACTGCCAATTAAACTCGACGCGTTGAGAAATGATCGCTATAGTCGTGTTCGCGTGTTGGACAATTATCGTGGAAATGCGTGTGTTGCGAAAGGATCGTGAATCGGTGTAAAATGACGGCCCTCCCGTTGGCGTGGAGTTGAATTGAGATGAGCACCGACTCGACGCGCTGTTCTGCTTTTTCATACACCAACTTGCATACATTTCTTTTCCGAAAATGAAACGCAACCCAGCGGAGTACGCCTGGCACATGCAGCTGCAGTTGGGGCACGGGCTCACACAGGGCGCTGGTACGAGTGTTTCACATCGCCCGTCTCCGGATCGATGGCGCAGAGAAAATCGCTTCTTCGGGAGCATGCCACACAGGCCCAGGCAATGATTGAAACCGTCCACAGGCGACTGATTGCCTGATTCCAATTTCCCATCTTCATTTGCTGCCGAAGTGGCATCTCTCTAGGATTTTGGCGCACTAGATGCTTCCAGCCTGCAAAAGTTGTCGCAACTGAGGCAGACAGGGAAAGGCCCTTGGGAACTTCCCTTTGCCACCGCATACATCCGGCAGCTCTACGTTGAAAGATCCTTGACACTAGTGACTGCTCAGAGTTGCAACCGCAATCCACGACCCTGGGGGCTTCTCGCCACGACTCCAGTAACAATTTCCTCGCGTGGCTAGGTGGCTCAGCGTTGGTGAGCGACAGACATTGCCTGGATTCGATGTCTGCTTTTGGGAGACAACTCAAGTTGTTTGTTGCAAGCATAGCGCTCGGCTGAAGACCCTCTTGGCCGCCGGAATCTTCATGTTTCAGAGGTCCATGTGATGTGCTAACCGAGCCCAGTTGCGTGCAAGTGTTTCCGCTCCACACCTTGTGCCTGTGTTTTCGTTGATTGGGCTTCGCTCACTCAACCAATGTCGAGGTCACAAAGGTCTGGCCCTTCTCTCGCTGGTTCGGAGGCTCCAAGTATCCTCGTTTTGTTTTGAATCAACCACCAACGGGCTTCTGCTTTCCACCCTGTTTCATTTGGCCAAGTTTGCAGGTGGGTTGGAGCTAGCAGCTTCGTTTCACCTGGAGCTGCGCGACGGCTGCAATCACAACATGCAAGCCGCAAAATAGGCCTTAGAATCCGCAGCCTTGTCACACAATTTCTGCATAGCGGGTAGGCGTCATGCTGCCTGATCTCAAGAAGATTAGTTCTCCGCGAAATTGTGGCTGTTGCGGCCACGACCTTGACGTATTCCTGGCAGCCGCCGCCAATGGGCTGGATGCCAAAAAACATGTTGCAAAACGCTGCCCTCCATGCTACAGTTCTGGCACGCTGATGTTTCCTCTGGCGTTTGGTCCTGCCATGTTCCTTCATGGTTGACTTCTCACACCTTTGAAGAGGTTTGGTGCTTTGCACTTCAATGCCCGCATTTTCCAGCAGCGTAACTCGCAGTGCAAAAAGTCACAAGGCGCGTGGCTTTTCGCTCGCGCCCAATAGATGCTTCGCGTGCTGCTCCCTCAGCAGACAGTTTCGCGTTTAGGCACGGGCGCTATCGGGCGCTTCTTGCAGCTCCCGGCCTCACTGCCCCCTATCGTCGCCGCCCAGGGGGCGGCTTGCGGTCGACGCAACCATTGTGCTCACAGCCGACAGTGGCTCGCTCCTTACCCGCCCCATTGTTTTGGAACAACGCGTGGCAGAACCGATGGCCTAGAGGCTCGGGCCAGGCGGCGGCGCCCGGCAATGGTGCTCGCTACCCGCAGAGCACACGCTGTCGGCCGTTTCCTTCCCGCCAGCCGCATGTGCTGAGCCGCGCTGTGGCCAGGCTGCACACCTCCGCAGGGAGTTTTTTGACTTTAAAGGGAAGCCCTGGGCACAACAGGGCGGGGGGTCAGCTGCTTGCGCTTGACACCATTTTTTTCGGCATTGCGTTGGCCAACGCTCGCCGCCGCAAGGAGCAGACGTGCCAAGCTCTTTCGCTCTGCCAAATGCCGCTCAGCCGTGCTTGCAATTGAGGTCCAATCCATTCTTGCTCAAGCCATCTCAAACCATTTTGGCTCAAGTTCAGTTGTGGTTGGCTCCTATCCCCCTTGTTCTTCGGTTGTTTGTTTGGGCTCCCGGCCAGAAGCGTTCCAGACCCGTGTCTTGCAGTGGTTCAGGGAGATGCGCGCACGGCGCCACAAAGTCTCAGGCAAGCATTGTTGATAAGTTTGTTAGTATTTGTTAGTTGCTTAGCCGGTGTGGAACTGGAGGAAGGTGCTGTTAGCAAGTTAGTGCGAAGCAGGAGGAAATGGAAGTTAGCAAGGTAGAGGCAGAGGTGCTTCCTTTCTCTTTGTCGCTGACCAGCTCGCCAAGGCCCACTCCCTCCACTGCAGCTCTTTGAGCCATTCAGATTCGCATAGTTCAACATCCAGACGTGAAGTAACCCAGGTGACCTGAATCAGATCGTCGTGGGCGTCCGCACAGATGTCACAACTTGCGGGCTTCTCAACTTGCTCCCGGTAAGTCCCCTCCTGCTTGCGCCGGGCCGCCTGTTCCATCACCCCGCTTCCCTGGCGCACTGCGGGCCCAACAGGGTGCCCCCATGCCACATAAGCAAGATTTCAACTCGCCTGACAGGTCCACGTTGATGACGGCCTCGCCAACACACAGGGAGCAGCTGGCACAAACATGCAGCGAGCGCATCGTCGTGCCCAGCAGCGTACTCAGCCGTCTCGGCGGGCGGCGGCAATGGTGAGGCGCAAGTTGCAGCCTAACTGGGCCAGCCTCGCAGCGCGCCAGAGCCACCTCAGTGCCCTGGAGCCCGGCTCCGCAACGGGCCGAGAGCCCCGAAGCGCGTTGCGGCCCCGGCTTCGTGCGTCGTCGCAGCTTCCGTCGCTCGCTGGATCCTTGTGCTTCCGCAATGTGCCGGCTAGTAGACCCCTGCAGTGAGGGCCTCGCCGGGCACCAAACCAAAGGGAAACCACAAAAAAGCAAGGACTGAACAGTGCAGACATCACAGAGGTTCTGAGACCGGGGTCAGCAAAGGCGGTGGGTGATGATGATGCTGAGACGTACGCAAGCAGACAAAGAGGTGAATGGCAAACAAGCAAGGTGAATGGTGAACTTGTTTGTCGAGGTTGCGCGCAAAGGAGCAGGAGTCATGAGCCCATGCGCTCTGTAGGTGCGGCACCGCATCCCTAAATCCAACATCTGGCCAACTTGCCCGTGTGCGTTGCTTTGAGCAATAACTGGTAAGAGAATGGTTCGGCTGCCGACCTTCGTTTTTGGTGGTGCTGCAGCTGCAGCTGCCATCGCGGTTGGCATGGCGAATGGGGGTTGGTGCCGCGAGACCATGTGTTTTCAAGCGCCCAGGGTTTGTAGCGGCGTGCGAATTTGCAACAGTCTCGCAACCACGTTGATACCCAATTGACGGCTCCAGCGGCATGTCTGGAGCCCCGGCCGGCAGCCAATGCCCATGCAACGAGAATAATTAACGCCCAACAGCCCGCACGCCCTCCACATTCATTGCATGCATTGCGAAGAGGCCCGCATACTTCCAGGCAGGCAGAAGTTGGCCGAGTCAAATTTAGCGTCCGGTAGTGCTGTGCTGCCGCCTTTGACGCATTCTGCGCCCCTCGGCTGAACTAAGTGGGGGCAATGGCAATTAGTCACATTGGGTCTTTAGATGTATGCAGGACCGGGGCCTTGCTTGTGAGCTTGTAGCATGCAGCCGCCGACGATGATTTTGACAGAGTCACTCGGGGCCGACAAAGGCCGAACCAAGCCTGTGGGATTTCTGAACGCGGTCGTCATGCAGCGGCCCCGGTTGAATGTGTCGTGCGATGTTGCGTGCAGAAAGCCTGTGGCCAGCGTGGATGCCAGGGGTGCTTGGCATGTTTGATTCCGTTGATGATGTCTCGTGGCAAGCAGCTTGAGCGCAAAAGAGTTTATTAAAACAGTGCCACGGACACGTTCCGCCAAGTCCAACTCGTTGACAGGTCTTACTCAACTATGGACAAGTTCGGGGACATGAAGCACATCTATGCTCCGCCTCGTTCCGATGCGTGTGACGCCTGGCCCAGCATGGTGCGTTGGACCTTGTCACTTGCAAAGCAAAAAAGGGGCAAGAATTGCCCTGGCCGAACGTCTTGTCTGAAGTCACTTTGCACCTGGGCTCAGGTTTGTGAGGGGCATATGGTGGCCTGACTACGGCCCGCGCCCCCAGTTGAAAGTCAAACATCACCAGACGTTGCCATGGAACGAATTTTGAAGTAGAAGGTAGACTTTTGGTTTGGCTGATTTCAGAGACCTTGTGCCCAGACAAATCTAGATGACTTTCTGCATCAAATGGAACGTGAAGAATTCAGGGACATATCTGAGAGAAGTGAGTTTTATCGCTTCTTTGCATTTGCATTTGGTCTACGCCTTGTCCATCACAAAGGCCCAATGACTGTGGAGTTCTCCAATCAGCAGGGCGCCTCAGAGAATGCTCGCGCCAGAGGGTTCAGGCCGTAAGTGCCCACTTTGGCATGTATTTGGCATGCCCCGGCAAGCAGTGACCGATGCGAAGCAAGGGCGAAGATGCATCCCACCAACACCATTTTCGAGAACCAGATTGCCAAGCCAGTGAAAGCGAAGCGGGACTTGCCGGGAGCTTACCGTTCTCGGGCTGCCTGTGTTTGAGCCTCTTGCTGTGATGCCAAAGCGGCGCTTGATGGCCGACACAGTCCCCACGGGGATAGCCCAGTTTGCCACAGAAAGGGTTAGTTGGGCACGGCAATATTGCTTCAAATGCCTAGGCAAGCAGGATGTTTAACCATTTAAATCGGGGGTTGCTGCCTTGGGCTTAGCCATGCGCCGAGGATGGCCAGACCAATGGGCCAGGCACTCGGGCGCTTGCTTGAGCCTGGGCCCAGGGTTTTTTGTTTTGTTTTGCGATTAGTGAGATCTTTGGACATGTCCTATGTCCGGTTCATGAACTTGAGGTCTTCATTGTCCCATGGAGGCTGTGTCCGGTTTCTTGATGGTTTACCCCGATGTCGCGTTCAACTTGTCTCCCAAGGCCGGCCTGAGCCGCCGATGCCGCAGCACCTTGACAGAAAGCCGGGGGTGGGCCTTGCAAAGTAAGATGGAGCCAGCAGGACTTTCGGGGCCCTCAAACATGAGCTGGAGGGTAGGCGTTTTGTTGCAAATCAACAAGCAGTCGATCAAATCGGAAGCCCCAGCCAGCCGCATGTTGTTTCAACTTTCAAAGTGGTTGGCCCGACGCTGGACTGCATTGTGTCTCGGGCCAGTCGCCGCTTTTGGTTTCAGTGATGTGCTCAGTGAAAAGCGCGCAACGCCTTACGTCAATCCATGCATCCATGATTGTTCATTCATTTATGCAATCATTCACTCATCCACTCACCTGTTTTTCCCCTCATTGGTTTCTCCATTCATGCATTTCTTCATCAATCATTCACACGTTCTTGTATTCCTGCATTTACACATTCATATCTTCATCCCGTTTGCCAATTTACACAGAAATTATTACATTCACGCAAACGCACACGCGCACATCCGCAAATTGTTGACAGGGAAACGCGCACACCGAGCAAACAGACAAACACAAACAAACAAAGAAGCAAAGAAACCAACAATGATACAAGCAAGCAAGCAAGCAAGCACACAACAAGCAAGCACACACACAGACAAGAAAACAACACAGCACAGAACAGAACAGCACAGCACAGCACAGCACAGCACAGCACAGCACACACATGTCTGTATTGCTTCTATGTGACAATGCGTCAAATTTACGTGGAGACACGCGCATAGATATTCATGTGTAAGCATGCATGCGCCGGGGTTCCGGGCAGAGGTTCCGGCGGCAGCCGCCCACGGAGGCGCTTTGGAGCCGGGCGCCCGATCGGAATGCGCAAGGCTCCGAAGGCACGTGTCAACTTGGGTAAAGAGGCGGTATTTCCCATATGTTTCGTTTAGTTTCCCTTGAAACCAGGGTCAACGAACACCCTCAAAAGAGCCAAATGCAGATGGATGTTATTTCAGCTGTCTGAAAGGGAAGTCGCCTTTGTTCCGGCGGCAGGTCTGGATGCATGACGATATTTGCGAGTTGATGGCTAACTATATAGTGACCGTCGAAATGGAGAAGCAGAAAGCGGCTCTGCCCCTCCATCAAACGCAGCTCACTGGAAGTGTTGTTCACGAAGCAATGACCCCAGCAATGACCACGACCACGCAGTGGTCAAATCTGGAAGTCTGGAAGGCAAGGGACTCCCATTTGCCATACTTATTTCGCAAGCGAAGCGCAGGATCAAGCAAACGCATGATATTGGTGAATGGGGGAGGACCGTATTTTAGAGCGGATCCTTCACTTTCAAGGGAATCATGCCCAAAGCCCGCATATTCCGCGAACAACCAAGCTGTAGTTTTCTGATGTAGGGAACCCTACGTTTGCCCAGGGCTTCCTTGTGGCTTCTCGTGTGCAAACACATCCTAAGAATGGCCCCACGGTGAATCGTACGAACGGGCATGCGTGATTTGCTCAGGCTCAACCATTATTCAGCCCTACAAGAGCTGCAGCCTCAGTGCTTTCCCCGTGGAGGTTCAGACTGCTCGAAGGGGAGTTTGCTTGGGCAGAGTTCTCCCGGCCTGTTCGTCAGGAATCTGAGGGTGGTTGTGGATCGAATTTGGGGATCTGGCTATTGTTGCGCAGGCGGAGGTCGCATGCCGGAGATCTTTGAAGGCGTCCTGGAGCCCAGTTGCCATGTTGACGACGCATGCGCCAAACTCATCCTTGGGCCTGATTCACTGGCGCAACACCTCCCGGGCGAGTACTCACCACCAGCCAGCCAGCCAACCCACCCCAACTTAACCCAACCCAACCAATTAACTAGTTAGCCAAGCCACCCCAAGCCACCCCAACCGTTTCATTGGGCGCCGAGGCCTGGCACCGGAAGGCCCACCAGTCCCACACGGCGCACGAAGAGGCGGTGGCCGAGACCCTCACGCGCAGGTGCCGACGCGGCCAAAGCCGGGGCGCCGTGGTTTAAAGGGAGACCAGTTTGCCAAATTCTTTGGGGGGCGTGCGTTCATTTTTCCTCTCCAGAAGGCCTGGGTGTTGGCAGAAGGTTCGGGTAGTCTCATGGGCCAATCCGCTTTCAGCATTGTTTTTTTTCTTTTCCGGTTGACCGGATCAAAAGCGAGGCAACCGCAGAAGGAGCCAAACAAAAGAACAAGCCAGAATAGTGGAGGGAAACAAGAGGTGAACTATGTCAGCGAACAAGTTTAGCCTCAGTTTCGATTCGGTGTTCCAGCAAGAAAGCAAGAGCAACAGCAGCTCGGATTCAGCTTGGCAAAACACATGCACAAGCTGCGAGCAGGCTTGTGGGCATGTGTCCCTGCAGGTGTTACTTGACGGGTCGCCCAGGTTACCCCAATGTCCAATCAAGATCGCAGTATTTTTTTCAGATATTGGGAAGTGTCGACCACCCGAAAGCCAAGCCGAGTGATTTGGTAAGGCACCTGCTGCTTTTTCAAGGAGTTTAGATGGAATCCCTCCTTGCTTCAACCCCATTTTCCTCCTTGTCTGGGGAATCCGCTTTTTTCAGATCCTCCCTTGCGCTGGGTGTTGCTGGGTTTGGTTCGCATTATGGGGGTGGACCTCTCAGCTCCGACGCCCTTTCCAGGACCTTGAAGCAGCAGGAGCTGTCGATGTCGCTGAGGCCGGAATGCGAGGCTTCTGGTCTGGTGGCCAGGCGAGCTTAGGGGAGAATGACACGCGAATCCCTTATTTTGGGACCTCTTGGATGATGCTCGGTTGTTGCTGTTGTCATCCCCGCTTGCGAACAGACTCTCCCTGAGCCGAGGGTGCGCCACGATCACACAACCATTCTGGTCGGGTGGATTCCTTGCGCCTCAGTCCAAAGCGATCGCTCTCCTGCTCGCTCTCCCCCTGCCAACGCCTCAGAGTGGGCCTGGCTGAGCCAGTTGGGCCCCAGCAAAGTGGGGCGGCGCCTCGGCACCCCCAAGCAGAAACCGCATAGATTTGGTTTGGCCGTCGCTCACTTGGCCAAGTCCTCAGCCATTGAAGCCCAGGTTCTCTACCCAAGGCGCGGGGCTTGCACTCAGGCACTGTGCCGGAAGCACGGTTGGTAGGTTTTTGGAGGGGTGATGAGGGGTGTCCTTGGGGATGCGTAAAGTTGCCCTAAACTTGTTTCACTCAAATGCCGTCAGAGATTTGGGAGCGTTGCCCTAAGTCGAGCGACTCAAGAAGCGGTGTGCTCCTGACAGCGCGTTGGCAAGGGAACTGGCACACTACATACCTGTGCATCTTGTACTTCTTCTAAGATTCTAAATCCAAAGGCGTGGTGTTGTCAGTGGCATGGCCCTGAGTGCCTTCATTTTGAGAGAGTCATGGGGGGGGGTTCTCCCTCTAGGGTACCCCCCTTTTGGCTGGTTTAGTGTTTCAAGGGAATATAGAAGGGAAGTTACATGATGGTTTTAAGGGTCCTATCTTGAGCATTGAGAAGCATGTGCCAGTGAACCTTGGCTCCCTGGCAGTCCCCCTCCTGGGTGGCTGCCAGCAGCCGTCCGCATCCGCCTCGGTCGAAACCGGATTGGACTGGGGTCTGCGAGAGAGAGGAGCTTGTTTGCTTCCGGCTTCCATGCGGCGCTCACGGTGATGGTGCAAATGTTGATGACCGTGTGGCCAGCATGAGGGCAAGGATGGTTTGAACTTGCAACCAGCACAAAATCTACTTGGATGGGTCCCTAATTTTGACACAGAAAGACAGGATGTTGTTGGCAGTTTTGACCGGTTCGGAGGGGAACTTGCTTCTGGTGTTGGTGTTTGGGTAGGCCTCAAGGTTAGAATCCCAGATTGCTTTTCTCAGGCTCGACGCAGCCGGGCTGAATGGCAATGCCAGGGGTCGCCAGCGGCTTAGGGGCATGGAAGGATGCGGCATACATCGTGTCCAACAATGGGCCAAAAACCATAATTGGACATGCTGAATGGGAGCGCCTGGATTTCGCCTCACGCCCGCAAGGGCCTCAAGTCGAGCCATGTCGCTCCGCTTGGGCCAATAAATATGAGCAACGCGGGGTGGTCGAGCGGCCGGGATCGGTGCCAATGGACGCCGCCAGGCGTCTACAAAGACGGCGCCAGCGAACTGGGTTTGGACCCTGAGCCCGGCACCTCAGCCCTCTGGTTGACCACGGTGTGTGCCTCAATGTGTTTGTTTTTTTTGTTGTTCTTCTTGTTTTCGGGGGATGCCCCTGCGTTTTTGGGAGAGGCCCTGTGAATCAACAACCTGTCAAATTCCGTTGTTGACATTGCAAGACCCATTCACGCATTTTTCGGTTCATTGGCATAGACAAGCATGTAGACCTCAGATTTCCTCGGAACAGTGGCGATCAGAGGGCCCATCCTTGCCCGTTTGGTTTTTGTCCAGGCTAACAAGTGATCAGGGCTGGGGCTGGCGGCTCATGAATGTGTTGTGTGTGTGTGTGCGCGAGTGCCACCGGGGGGAAAGAGTCAGGACAGGTACGGCTTGCTGTCAAGCCATGCGCACATGTTTGTTCACCGCATGTCACAATGCAAATTCCTTGTGTTGCCAGACAATGCAGAACAGGTTGGGGCGTTTGCGGCGTTTGCATTTGCATATGCAACATAAATCTTGTACTCCCAAGGGAAAATCCGCCATCACCCCCCCCTCATCTCAGAGCCTTTCTTGGTTGTTGCTGGAGTCAGCTATCCGGCCAAAATTGGATGCTGAGGTGTGCTGCTGCCCGCACGTTGGAGAAGTCCCGCTCCTTCACAATGGGCTAAGTGAGGGGAAGCGATGCAAGCGATGCAAGCGATGCAAGCGATGCAAGCGATGCACGTACCTGACCTTCCGGATGGATGGCATACCTCCCAGCCAGCCTCAAAAGATCTATAGTTGACATAGAGGATGCGTCATTGTTTGATTTTTCAAGACCCCCAATTTGATACCCGGCCACCACAATGAATGTTGAGAGAGTGGTCCTGCGCATTTTAGCCTAAGCATGCTTCCAGCCGAGCGTCGAGTGGGTGCATGCGAAGGATACTGCCGAGTGGAGTGTTCAAAACATGGGTAAGCATTGGAAGTACGCAACTTTCGCCCCATTCTGCCCTTCTGGCAGTTGAATTGAAGCAGAACACCCTTTGGGCTATAATAGCTAGAGATTTATGGTCCCTCTTTGGACTGTCTTGGCCAGCTAAGCTGGCCAGGGCGAGGCAGCATGCGTATGCTTACGACTGCGCTTTTTCCTTCGCCTCCAGATGGACCGCTATGGTGCTGGGAGCATTGGGTTCAGAACCGCTTGGCGCACTGTAGCATGACGCATGCGAGTAGGTTTGTTCGCCCTTGATAGCTGCTTGAGGCTTAGACCCTCGAATGAGAGGTCCGCATTCATAGCTTTATGCATTGCAGCCAGGATTTCGAAGAAAATGTGCCGATTGTATTTTCACACGGCAGGCTCCGGCTCGTGCCTACCCTGCGGTTGGCCGTTGGATGGTAAAGGTTTGTGGTGCCTAAGGGGTGGTGAGGAGTTGTGCCTGCGAGAAGATTCATGGAGATCTTGAGGGCCTCGCTTGAAGCCCGCGCAGGTTGCAAGTGCGCAATCGTGGCTCGAGAGCGTGGTGCTTCGTGTGCTTTGCATGTTCAACCCGGCCATGGAAGATATTACCCAAACGCAAAGTCAGTCGCACGCAGCCGGCTTGGAGGCATGACAGCTGCCTGCAAGAACTGATCTTGGCACCCTCGCGGCGCGCCGAGCCCGGATGTTTCTTTCCAGAGGCCTGGCCATGCCCGATGCCCTTGGGCCACGGCGAAGGAATGCCCCTTGAAACCACAAGCCAACTCTAAGCAGCTTGCTTTGCCCTCACTCTGTGCACTCTTCCCAGTGCAGCCTGGATCCGGCAGGGCTGCTTGTGGCCGGCCTGGTGCTCTGCGCCTGCGGTGAGGACAAGGCCCAAGCTGCTTGCAGGGTGGCATGGCGTTCAAAGAACTAGACCCTGGGCCCACTTTCACAAAAAGAAAAAAAGAAAAACAATGAATGTACAAGCATGTTTCAACAGCTTAGCCAGCCCTGGTGTACCTTTTCTGGGCTAGCCCATTGAAAGCACACCCACAAATACCCATGCTCTGTGTGGGTGTCTCAAAAATAGGAGCCCTCAAAGATGGGTGGTTTCCTTTTCGCTTCACTTTAAGAAGTTGGGGACACCGTATGTGAAAATACACGCATTGGAATCCCTCACGGAACGTGTGTGTTTGTGTGTGAGTTGGTTCCATGTTAATTTGGAGATCTCTCATTTTCAGGTATTGGACGTGTGGCAACTGCTTGGGCAAAGTACGCACCCTGTTTCACAGTCCCCAAGTTCCTGAGACTTTAGTCGAGTTTTGGGAAGACCTAGTCCCCTCTTGCGGCACATGCCAACGCCCAGCCAGCGTCACGTAGCAACCAGCGCAATGGCAACCCCATAGGCAGACGGGTTTGGCCCAAATGAGTCTTGCGTTCTGTGGAATGGCAACCTTGCTTCAGATTGCAGCCACGCCCCGAAATGATCGCTCTGGCCTCCACATGCCACTGGAGAACAAAGAATCTATTTTGAGGGACGCCTCCCTTTTCTCCACCTGGCCCCTTGCTGCTTTCTCTCAGCTGTGAGTTGGAATCCCACGTTACTCGCCAGTCCATGCAGGTTGGCTATGGGGGGGTAACCGCCTCGTGTGCGAACTGTGAACTCTCAGGAGGGTGCGGCCTCACAAGTGACGACCCTCACGGACAGCAACTTTGAGGAGTGGGGTTCGGGTCAAGCCTTGGCAGAGCCGCTTTGGCCTTTTTCTTTCCACGCTGCAAATCCTGGCGACAGGTTTGAAAGCACCAGATGTATGGACAGTGAAGCTGGCGAGCCATTGTCGTTTGTCAGGCAAAATGGCCAAAGATGCCAGCCTATCCAAGCTACCGCCACCAAAGATGCCACCCGCGACCCCAACACTGCTACCACGCATTGTCCCCAGCATCACTGGCACTGTTGAGCCAGCCACCGCCAGCATCATCATGAGCACTACCAGCATTGTCAGCACTTACCAGCCTTCCAAAGATGACAGCGAGCACCCCCACAACCGGACGCTCACGGCAGGTGCGTGTCGTCCCGCACGCCACTTGCGCGCAAGGAGTTGGTTGCGCGAGGTGCGGGCAAGCCCTGGTCTCGGTGCAAAATGCGTGACAGGGATTGTCTCATGAGATGCCGCCGGCAGCAGTTATTCGCCAGGCTTGATAACTACATGATCAACAGGATGCGGCTGCAACGGGCTCTGTCAAGGGTGCAGGTGGCTTGGGGCTGCGGTAATGGGAGTTTGTCATGAATTCTTTCACTGGTGAATCCATTGGCATCTACGTTGTGGCACCATTGCCATACAAAAGCCCAGTTGCGCACATGAGGGTAGATCAAACCAGAGCTCGCATCGTTGGTCCCGAGCACTGCAGAGACTTTTGCAGCCGTTTTCGGACCCATGCCAGGCTGCTTCAACCCTCCGCCCCCTCAAAAACCTCAGTAACAGCCACCGATTTTGCGAATTGGCTGCTGCTACTCGCGCCTTCGGCAAAAACTAGGGCATCATACTATGGGCTTGTTCATTAAGCCTTTAGTGGTGTAAAAAGTAAATGCCACATTAGAGTGCTTGGGGTAGAGGCAGCCGCCAGCCTGCAGTGCTCCTTGTGGCACGGTCATGGCTTGCCGGCTTGCCAATGGCATGGGTTCAGTTGCATTTTCATTATTGGGGGTTCTGGCGGAGCCTTACCCCGTCAGGTTTTCAAAGCTCTCCAATCCTTCGGCCCCCTTTCTACGAAGCTCAGACGCTGCGGGGAAGACTTGGGTTCGTGCGGCTTTAGGCCCTGGGCGGTGAAGTTCTATGCGCCTTGGTGTGGGCACTGCAAGGCGCGGTTGGCCTCGAATCGCCAATCGACGTGCGGCCAAAGGAATCGACCGCAAACTTGATCACTGGTTGCCGTGGCTTCTGGCGTCCTTTTTCTAATAGGCGGATCTAAGGGCTGGCGCCCAGTGCCGCCGACCCCAACCATCATATCTCTACTAGAACACTGGTGATGGTAGGCCGTGTCGAGCGCTTTATCTCGCAGATCTGTTTATGAACCACTATCTAGCGTTTGTTCCCAATGTTGCCCTTGCCTCGAAAAGGAGCTGTTTGCTCCCAAACGTTGTTACTTTGCCTCCCCAGCATCACCAGCGCTGCCTAACGTCACATTTGAATTCCATAAAGAGAAATACGAGGATGACGACAATGATGATGATGATGGTGATGATGATGATGCTGCTGCTGATGATGATGATGATGATGGTGATGGCGACGGTGATGGTGATGATGGTGGTGGTGATGATGACGAGGAGGAGGATGACGGTGGCGATGGGTATAATTTAGTGATGGTGGTGGTGAGATGATGATGTCGGCAGTGGCGATGATGAAAGTGATGGTGATGAAAATGATGAAAGCGAATGCTATGATGAGGATGACGATGACGATGATGATGATGGTGATGGGTGATGATGATGTGCTGCTGATGATGATGACGATGATGATGGTGATGATGATTGTGGTGATGGTGGTTGTGCTGATGATGATGGTGATGGTGGTGGCGATGATGACGAGGCGGAGGATGGCCATGGCCAGGGTGATAGTTTAGTGATGATGATGATGGTGGTGAGATGATGATGACGACAGTGGCGATGATGAAGGTGATGGTGATGATAAAGATGACGACGGATGCGATGATGATCATGGTGATGGTGGTGATGGTGATGGTGATGGTGGTGATAGTAATGATAATAGGATGACGATGGCGATGGTGATAATAAATTTAGTGTTGATGATGGTGGTGGTGAGATGATGATGTCGGTAGTGGCGATGATGAAAGTGATGGTGATGATAATGATGAAAACGAATGCTATGATGAGGATGACGATGACGATGACGATGATGGTGATGGGTGATGATGATGTGCTGCTGATGATGATGACGACGATGATGGTGATGGTGATTGTGGTGATGGTGGTTGTGCTGATGATGATGGTGATGGTGGTGGCGATGCTGACGAGGCGGAGGATGGCCATGGCAAGGGTGATAGTTTAGTGATGATGATGATGGTGGTGAGATGATGATGACGACAGTGGCGATGATGAAGGTGATGGTGATGATAAAGATGACGGCGAATGCGATGATGATCATGGTGATGGTGATGGTGGTGATGGTGATGGTGATGGTGGTGATAGTAATGATAATAGGATGACGATGGCGATGGTGATAATAAATTTAGTGTTGACGATGATGGTGGTGAGATGATGATGATGATGACATTGGCGAGGATGAAGGTGATGGTGATGACAATGATGACGACGAATGCGATGATGATGGTCCATCCTTCCCGTGCCCTTTTGAAAGCAGGGGTTCACACGGTTGCGGGGCTCCATGTTAGATCTTTGGGGCGAAGGCGCCAGCGGCTGCCAGGTGCTGGCGCCCAAATGGGAGGAATTGGCGGAGAAGCTGCAAGGCGCAAGTTTGGCTGCTTGGTGGCTTGGTGGGTTGGCTGGTTGAGTTGTTGAGCGCTGCCCACGCTGCAACCATTGGACGCATGTCGGCTCCAAAAAGGCAACGAAGTACAGCCTTTTATCGGTACTGCTGGGGTGTATGGCTCAGCTGAAACTAGGCCAGATTGGTTCACTGGTTTCGGCTGTGCATCTCAAGCACTGGCTCATGCCGTTCGTGTTCCACAGTCTTGCCTGCTCTCCAACTCAAGGGCCGCGGCTGTCCTTCCTGATGCGGCCTGCGTACACTTCCTTGCTTCCTACTAGCTGCCTACGCAACTGTGGGTAGTCAGTAGGTGGCTTGGCTGACCGGCCTGGCCCTACCCATGTAGATTGTGAGTTGGATGTCTGAGCAGCCATATTGGTCACCTTGCCTTGCGTCGCTCACAAAGAAGCTCGCCAGCCGCTGCTGATTTCAGTTTGGCCGGACAAGGGCAATGGCGAGTGTTTTTGCAGTCTGGCTGGGCGTCACGGGACCCCCACAAGTTTTGCCCCGTTTACTTGCAGACTACGTAGTGTGCGGTTTGGCAAAGCCAACGCGCGGGGTGTGTGGCACATGAGTTGCCACCGCCTATGTGGGGCTGGTTTTAGCCCTGTGCCGCGGTGCAATAGCGCGAGTTGGCGATTTCGCGGCTGCCGCAACGTTAGATCGCATCTTGGCGAAGGACACTGGAGATTTGTTCTCTTGCGCTTGCAAGAGCCCAAAACGCCTGAACACGTGTGGAAACTGCCATATCCGGTGCCACGCATGTATGCATCTTTGTTGGCTGGATCAAGGGATCGCTCGACATGTAGGTAGGCCCTAGGGCGAGGACTTACGGTAGGGCACTGAGCCATAAAAGCTGCGCGGCGATCAAATTGGTAGCGAGAGCTTCGACACGATCAGGGAGATCGCGATCGAGATGGACAAAGGCAAGGACTTCAGCTCCGCCATCAAGAGATTCAGCGGAGATGGCGACGACGGGAGCAGCAAGGCATACCGTCGGTGGCGACGCTGGAGCCGGGCCTACCTCACGGTGCAGAAGGCAAAGGGGACCCCCGCCGAGGCGTTTGGGTCCGTGCTGTACACTTTGCTGGATGGAACTGCGCTCCGGGCCTTTGACCAGGTGGACATGGCAAGGCTGGAAGAACATGGGGGAGAAGAGGTGATCTACGAGATATTGGATCAGAGGTACCCCGAAGAGGAGGCGCACGACCGCATCGGTGAGGTCATGGACACCATCTTCGACTTGAAGGTGGACAGAGGAGAGACGACCGGGAACTTCACTGGCAAGGTGAGAGCTGCGTTTGCGGCGGCGGAGGCAGAGGGGATCTCCTTCCCGTCGGTGGCGCGTGGCTACATGCTGCTGAGGTTCGCCAAGGTCAGTGCGGAGAGGCGGGCAGTCATTCTGGCAGCAGCCAGGCAAAGCTATGAAGAACGGGATGTGGCGGCGGCCCTGAGGACGACGTATCCGGAGGGGCTTGGATCAGGAGCCCCGAGAGGGGTGCACGCGGTGGAGATGGAAACGGTGGAGGAGGGTGACGACGGGATGAGCCAGGCGGTGCTCGCCGCGGAGGAGTTCGACCCCTTCGATGGCGAGGAAGCGGTGGAAGAGCAGGACGCCATTGAAGTGCTGCTCTCCTGGAAGCAGACCCGGGCCACCATCAACAAGGAGCGCATCTCGCGAGGCCTCCCACCGGGGCCGAAGCCGGATGTGAAGAAGTTGGAGGCGAGAGTGAGATGCTTTCGCTGTAAGCAGATCGGCCACTTCAGCAGGAACTGCCCGAAGAAGCAGGTCGCCGAGCGGGCCGGGAAGGCCACTGGCAGCAACGTGAACTACGTGTTCATGGCATGGCCTCATGGAAAGGACGTGCCGGAGAGGAGATCTATCTGGCGAGACGGCGGAAAGCATCGAGTTCCACCGTGGAAGCGGGACGAGCCCTACACGTCCCACTCGTCAGTTGAAGAGGAAGAGCAGGGCAGCAGCGTCTCCCAGGAGCCGGAGCAACCGGTGGAGGGCGACACTGTGGATGAGATGGAGTTCTACGACGAGGAGCTCCTCCAGAAGCAGGACTCGTGGGTGCAGGAGGGCAACCAGGTCATCCGGATCCACGAGGTCCCACGTCACGCACTATATCAACCGCGAGGTGGATGCCCGGTGCCCAGGAGCGAACTGGAGCCCGAGCGAATGACGATCATGGACGTCGAGGGGGTCGGGAGCTTTGAGTACGTGAACCAATGGCGACAACCTCAAGAAGCTAATCTTCATGCGGGACAACTCTGGACGGGGCGATCGATCTTCTGGATCAAGGGCGGCCCCGGCGGAGGTGGACGTGGAAGAGACGTCGGTCAAGCGGACCTGGAAAGCGACCGGTCACGGTCGGCGAGACCAAGGAGCTCCGGGACAAGGAGGAGACGGCGCGTGACCGAGGACAAGGACGGGGAGAACCTGACCGATACGATCGACCAGCTGCAGGAGGGCCTTGAGAATGCGAAGGCCGAGCAGGTGGAGATCGTGGGGGAGCAGGACACCACGGATGTGCTGGACAATGTGGACCAGGCGGTGAACCTGGCGGAGACGTTCTCTGACGATGCGGAGGGCATGGACGGTGGGGAGGAGGTGAGTGAATGCCTGCTCACACATCCTGCCGGCTTCGGAGTGCTAGACACGGGATGTGGGCGAGGCATCGTGGGCGAGATGACGTTGCGAAAGCACGAGATCGCCCTCAACAAGGCCGGCCTGCAGATCACGGAGTTGAAGATGAAGCCGCAGCGGTTTCGGTATGGGAATGGGTCGACTGACGAGGCCATTCGTCGGGTGCAGATTCCGTGCTATCTCCGGGGCAAGCTCATCGGCATGAAGGTCTACGTGGTGCCGGGAAAGGTCCCATTGCTCATCAGCAAGAAGTTCCTCAAGGGAATGGGTGCAAAATTGGACTTGGAGAAGAACACGCTCGTGTTGAATGGTCTGGAGGTGGAGATGCACGAGCCGCCGGACGGGTCCTACCAGCTGAACCTGATGGACGGGATCCCCACAACGGATGTCCTGGCGGTGGCGAGTAAGGAGCCAGGGGCTGACTCCTCGGATGAGGAGGCAGGCCAGTGGTGCGTCATGAGCCGCAACCAGCGGAAGAAGTTGCAGGCCAATCTGGTGGAAGTGATGGCAGCATCCAACGAGCCGATGTCCGTGGCAGAGGTATTCGTGCCGGGGCGGTTCGCGGACGAGTGTGCAAGAGTGGGCCTAGAGAGCAAGGGCATCTACGACCTTAGCAATGGATGGGACTGGAGAGTTCCGTTGGCGAGGCGCGAAGCCCAGCAGTCCATCCTGGAGACTGAGCCGGACCTGGTGGCGATGAGTCCGCCATGTGGGGCGTTGTCGGTGCTGCAGAACTTAACACCCAGTGCCCGGAGACGCGACCCGGCTCGATTTTCAGCAGAGGTTGAGGAAGCCAAGAGCATGATTCGGTGGTGTTGCGGTTTGGCGGAAGGCCAGGTCAACGTGGGGAAACATTTCCTTTTCGAGTCAGCACGGGGATCGGGTGCCTGGAAGTTACCAGAAGTGCAACGGTTGGGCAACAAACATTTTGTGATTGACGTCCCGGCATGTGCAGTTGGTTTGAGGGACAAGGACTCTGGCAAACCTTTTGGGAAATCGTGGAGGTTTATCACGTCATCCGAATCAATCGCGCTGCAATTGGGGAAGTTGGTTTGCAGCGGGGATCACGAACATCAGCTGGTGGAAGGCAGTTCGGGAGGGGTCGCACGATCCATCCAATCACAGGTCTACCCACCGACGCTGGTGAGACGAATTCTGGCTGGAGCAGTGGCGCAGGACCACTGGTCAGACGCATGTTCAAATGTGTTGACGACAGAGGAACTGAAAGGGGAGGGTCGACGGAAGGTGGAGAATGCCCTCAAGAAAATGCATGTCAATCTGGGGCACGCAAGCATTCCGGACATGATCAGGATCCTGCAGCATCGTGGGGCCTCTGAGGGAGTGTTAGACATGGTCCGAGCGTTTGACTGTCCCACATGTGCGGCCAGAAAGGAACCCAAGATTGTTCGTGCATCAGCAGTCCCCAAAGATGTGGCACCTTTGCGATATGTTGGTTTGGACGTGAAGCACCTTCCCAGCTGGCGCAAGGGGGAAAAGATCAAAGCCTTGAATGTTGTGTGCCGCACAAGTGGACTGCAGCAGATGACCCCGTTCCGAGAGACAGAGTCGTCCGACCTGATACGGAGATTGTATCGGCAGTCGTGGACGCGGCCATATGGCAGACCGCGGTGGGTGAAATTCGACGCATCCAGATGCAATCTTGGGCAGCACTTCATAGACGCCTTGGAACGGGATGGGACAACTCCATTGGATATTCCGGGGGAGGCGCATGAGCAGATTGGGGACGTAGAAGTTCAGGGGAAGCATTTTGAGGACATGTTGATCAAAGTTCTGGACCAAGCAAACCCCAGCAATTATGACGAGTGGGTGGAATGTGTCGATTGCACAGTTGAAGCCAAGAACATGTTGCTGCGGAAGGCTGGGCACAGCCCGTACCAGATGGTCCTGGGGCGTGACCCGGAAATCCCAGGGGATGACATTCTGACACCGGACCCAAACCCCATAGCAAATGGAGCAATTCTGGAAGATGCGGAGGCCGCCCGAGCCCATCTGGTGCGACAGTTTGCGCGCAAAGCAGTGCTCGAGGCCGCGGATTGCAAGGCGGCTCGGGTGGCTCTGAACAGCCGGCCGCGCCCGCAACGAGAATTCAGGCATGGCGACCAGGTGGCGGTTTGGAGAAGAGGTCGGGGCATTCCCGGAAAACGCGGATACGCGCGCTGGCGAGGGCCGGGCATCATAGCAGGAGAAGCAGGTGGCAATTTTTGGGTCGCTATGCCTGGATCTTTCATCAAGCGCTCGCCAGAACAGTTGCGTCTGCGGACCCTGGAGGAAAGAGAAGCCGACAGATTTTTGGTTCGGGATTTGAGGCTTGCAGCGGCCAATCTTTACCCAGAGGTTGGAGGCACTAACCCACACCAGAAGAATTTCTTGGACATTACAGGGGCTGATTATCCTCCAGGATCCGCTCCTCCGGTGATCGAAGCGCAGCAACTGCCAGATTGCCGTGACGGCGCGGCAGAGGCGGCAGGCGAGCTCCCTCCGGTTCCGGAAAGTGAGGGCTCTCAGCTTTCCGGAGCCGAAGTTCCGTCAGACAACCAGACGATAGGAAGGGACTCCGAATGGATATCCTCGGACAGCCGGAGCGTTCAGTCTTGGGAGAACCGGGTGAGTGCTTTGTCGGGACAAGATCTGACCAACTTGCCGGCGTCAATCGATCAAGCAGACATTTTGGATGGTATCCCTGTTGGGCGGAGAGATAAGGACACTGGGGAACGACAACTCAAACAACCGAGATTTGAGGGTCAACAGGTCGCTGGTCAGATCTATCCACCCTCCCTACCTGCCCCGGCTAGTTCGAGACCGCATTTGCATCCTCCCGTTCCCGGCCAGGGCCGATCCGAAGGGCCCATGTTTGTTGGTTGTATTGACAGTACAAAGCAAGCAACAGTTTTGTCGGAAAAGCTTCCAGATGATGAAGATGAGGACACCTCTTGGATATTAGCATGCGGGTCAGATGACGGGGACGAATTCACCGCTGAGTGCTTGCTGGCCGGAGGCCGCAAGGAGCTGAACCCGCGAGATCCGCGGTGGCAAGAGGCGGAAGGGAAGAAGAAAATGCAAGCTGGGGTAATGAAGGAGTATTCCAATGTCGTGCATGAGAAGCAAGCACTCCGGCCTCTTAGCCTCGAAGAATCGCGGCGGGTGATGCGGGAATCTCCGGAGAGACTGGTGGAGTCTCGATACGTCCTCACGGAGAAGGTCGAGGAGACTGGAGAGACCATAGTCAAGGGCAGGTGGACGGCTAGGGGAGACAAGGACCCTGACTTGTTTGAGCTGGTTCGTGAAGGAAAGACACAGTCTCCAACCATTTCTTCCAACGGACGTTTCGCAGTATTGCAGTGTATTGCGAGCTGCCAGTTTCAGCTACAGCTGGGAGACGTGACGGGTGCTTTCCTGGAGGGTGACCAGATTGAACGAAAACGGGGACCCTTGTATCTGAAGCAGCCGAGAAATGCCGAGTTTACGGGCGTTCATCCAGAAGTACTGTTCGAAGTCGTCAAGCCGTTATATGGGTTCAACGACTCGCCACAGCTCTGGTTTTGCAAATTCGTGCAGACGCTTCGGAAGCAGAACTGGCGGCAGTCAGTATTGGATCCTTGTGTCTTCTATTGGCGTGACCATTTGCAACCGCATGGTATCGGAGGTGTGTTGGGGGTACATGTGGATGATGTGCTTACAGGGGGAAAGGGCAAGTCCTATGAAGAAGCAATTCGGCTTTTGAGAGGAACCTTCCCGTTTCGAAAATGGAAGTACGATGAGGGTACCTTTTGCGGATCATCCCTGAAGCAGGACCCCAAAACCAAAGACATCACTGTCAGTCAGGCTGAGTTCATTGCAGAAATGAAGAAGCCGCAGCTGCGCAGCAAGGATCCGGGTACAGTGCAAGCGAATGCCGCAGAGATCAAATCGCTACGTTCCGTCTTAGGTGCAGCGTTGTGGGTTGCCAAAGAGACCCGCCCGGACTTGGCAGTGCAAGTGAGCATGGGACAACAAATGTTTCCGACACCAACTTTGGAACAGGCACGGACTGTTGCTCACACTGTGAAACGAGCAAAACAGCATGCAGATTTGCAGTGGGTGATTCAGGCAGTGCCGATCAGCAAGTTGAGAATTTGTTTACACACAGATGCTGCATTTGCAAATGCCAAGAAGGGAGGAACACAAGCAGGATATTTGGTTGGTATCACAACTGACGCGCTCGAAGACGGGCGGACAGCACCGTGGACTCCGGCGGCATGGAAATCCTACAGGCTGAAGCGTGTGGTTGGGTCAACGTTTGCTGGGGAGACGCAAGTGTTGGCGGACGGTTTGGGACATGCAGAATGGTTAGCATGTCATTTGGTTGAGATGATTGATGGGGTGATCAATCTGGGGAAGAGGCATGAGGTACTGCACAGATTCAGTATCCAGGCGGTGGTTGACTGTAAATCAGTATACGACCACCTTCAGACTTTTTCATCACCGAATTCAGTTGGGGACAAACGGGTGGCGATCGACTTGGTTATCATACGTGAATCCATCAGACGGATAGGAGGACGCGTCAGATGGGCCCCCACGTGGTTGCAACTGGCAGATGCTTTGACTAAGGAAAACCCTGAGGCCATGGATCTGTTGAGAGCGGCTATGAGAAGTGGGCGGTATCAGCTCAGCAAGGAAAGCAGCATGATGGAAGCAGCAGCAGCAGAGCGAGCTAAGCGTCAAGCTAGAACCGAGGGTCAAAAGCAAGCGGCCCGGAAGGCATACTTGGCTCGGCCCCCCCAGGCAGTTCTCGCAGTGACCGCGATAGGCGGGCCCGACATGGTGAAGGTGACGACCCACGGCTTTGCCGAGGTGGAGATCAGGGCCTTCTTTGAGAAGCTCGCGGAGGCCATTGCGGGCAACGAGGGTGAGTTCCGGCGGATGCTGACGCAAAGTGCATCGCAATGCAGGATGAAGATGGCACTCGGGCGGGTGCAAGAGAAGACCTATAAGGGGCTGTCCAGCGAGGTGACGTTCACATTCACGAAGAACACCGCGGCCATTCAGATTCAGACCGGAGCGGCGTACATAGACCAGGTGACCAAGATCCTGGAGATGGTGCTCGGTGTCTACAAGAAGATGCTCAGCAACGAGGAAGTGGAACCGCTTCCTGATGGGATGCGATGGTGGAGCACCGCGGTCCGCGCGGTCATGGCGGAGGGTGGCGCCGTTTCGGCGTACCTGGACGCGCAGGCGAAGGTCAAGGAGAAGGAGACCCTGGGCGCTTCAAGCGCTAGACCCGCTGTTCCCAACTCGGAAGAGTTTCGGGCGGCAGTGGCCGACCTCACGAATGTGGCGGGGCTGAAGTTGCACAATTTCCCTGGATGGAGGGATAAGCTTTTGAAGTATCTCATGGAGGAGTTCGATGCGGACGCGGGCCAGGTTGTGGCGATGGCGGACCTCACGGAGAAGTTCAATCTGGCCACCGACGATGAGAGCGGTGAGTGGGTCGATGAGTGCGAAGTGGCTGCAAAGCCAAAGTCGAAGGCCAAGGCCGGCTATGCCAGAGATGTGTATAGCCCCGGGCGTGCATGAGTGCTGAAAGCACTGAGTGGGTGAGCGTGGCACTTAAAAGATATTTTGATGGATGTGGAAACTGCCATATCCGGTGCCACGCATGTATGCATCTTTGTTGGCTGGATCAAGGGATCGCTCGACATGTAGGTAGGCCCTAGGGCGAGGACTTACGGTAGGGCACTGAGCCATAAAAGCTGCGCGGCGATCAAAACACGAAACATCCATCAGATCATCAGAGAGAAGAGCCCGATAGCACCAATCGGGTTTGCAGCTGCCTGAAGAGAAAGAACCATGCTGCAATTAGGAAGCGACCGCACTTGCGCAAAGCAACAAGCTGACTGGAAGAACTTGTCTCTCGAACCTAGAAAGGGACCGCCTTCTGACAAGTTTACTGTTTGCCGTCATCACAAGAAAAGTAGTGCCGCTAAACGGTAAGTTGCCCAACTTCGACAAATTGGAGAGCACCTGAAAATTGCTGAGACGACAGTGATTTCCGCGGCGTGCATCTCCAGCTTCGCCGGATAGCCCGCCTGCGGATTTGAGACTTGGCACACTGCAAGATCTTCCAGTTCGTTTAACCAGCTGACAGATCATCTCACGGGCGACGTATGCAAAGTGTGATGGCCCGTATGAAAGGGGGTTCACCCGAATTGTGTTCCCAAAGTGGCCCCATGGAAACCTTGGAAAGAGATGGCCTGTACTTCTTCTTGGCAAGCGACTGCCCGAATCCGGAAGCCTCCATTTGTGCGCACTCAGCCGGGCGCAGCAGGAAGTTTGTTGGAACACAGCCGGGCCCCCCAACCCTGGAAGAGGAGAAGCAGCCAACGTTGATTTTGCGTGTTGGGTTTGGCAGGTTTGTTTGGTGGGGTGGTCGGGGGGTGCCCTACAAGGGCAGCGGTTCAACGCGAAACGACGCAGTCGAACATCCCGACAAGAGATGAAGCTGGCTTCTGCCTCGGTGAGAAAAAGCGAATGGTAAATTATGTAGATGGCGAGTGTCCCAAAGGGGTTCTGAATCAGACAGATTGGAAGAACACCGCCTTGTTGTGTGTTTCGCATTGGTCCATGACGTCTCGCGGGCTCGATGCTGGACTCGCGGGCCGGCTGCCATTGCAGGCGAGGTGAACGTGGGCAAGGTGGACTGCACGGAGGCCTTTCGATTTCGGGGCGTCTTGTTTTTTGAGGGGGGGAATGAGGTTTAGCAGGGAGGGTATTCCTTGAGGTTGCCACATCAAACAGAAAGTTCTTTTCGTGGGGTGATGCTTTCAGGGGAAAAAAACAAACTGTGTTTTTCATCAGGCCGTGGGGGGAACGGCCAGTGCGGCATGCCATCTCTAAAAGTGATGCCAACCTGAAGACTAGCCCTTGGTTCAGATGGCAGACCCGATGAAAAGAGCCGTGTTCATTTACCTGAAATTTGGACATGGCCCGCGGAAACATTGGCAGGGAAATCATAAAGCCGACTTATAACGTCAGTTTCTTACGGTCATCCCAGCCGGAGTCTCACAGGTTCACCAGCAGAGTGGACAAGGGTCAACAAGCTCCAACTAAGGCTGAAGTGTCGAGGGTCGTGAACATTCATGCTGCAAACAACTTGTGAAACTGGCCCATTTGGCCAGGCAAATGGTCTGTTTGAAGCGTCGCAGGCACGCCTGTAGATCATGTCAGGGTTTGTGTTGCCCACAACTCACTCAGCTTCTGTTGGCCATTTGAATCGGCTTGCCTCACAAGAGAGGAACCCACTGAGAGAGAGAGAGAGAGGGGTCGCCCCAGCTTTCATCAATCAAGCGCGTGCTAATTTAGCTTGGAAAGCTTTTGATGAGGCTATTGACTTGAACTGTTGGCCCGATGCACATGCCTGTCCTGAGTTCAGCTATCACTTACTGTGTCAAACCAATTGTGGGGGATTGGGCTTTCAGCTCGAGATCCTGCCACCAAAGATTCGGCAGTCTCAAACCCTCGCCAACCTCTGCAGAATCTGCAGGTTCCTGCCCTCGCCATGTATAGAGACTGCGCGACCCATGGCAAGTCTTTGCCACCCACCGATAAAATAATTCAAGAACCCTGACGCAAAAGACCCCCCCCCAGAGGATGCAAGCATGTCAAGCTGCTTAGCATCATTTGGCCCAAGACAAACAGCAATCGGATTGTTTGGTTGCAAGCATGTGGCGGCTGAGGACACTCGCTTGCCCCTGTGTGCCACCTGCCCGTAGTCCCAATTCATCGGCAACATGTTCGACGTGCACGGATACCCCACGCTCAAGCTGATCTCTGAGGGCCAGATGTGCTCCCTGCCGGTTGTTGCTGGACTGGCGCGAAGACAGAAGGGACCTGAAGCAATCGCACCACAGAAGGGTCCATTGGCAACTCCTGGAAATGGGTTCCTGAATGCGGGCGACACGGAAAATCATCATCAACAGGTGGTGCCCCTTGCAAGAGGGAGTCCTTCACTTTCACGGGGAGCCCCCTACAAATGAACCAGGTTTATTTTTCCAGGTCCAACTGTGCAGTAGTTTTAGTATGCGGGCACTCTGTGCTTGAGGAAGCCACATTCGAACGAAAGGCAGGGCTCACATGTCCAACGCCGAGGTTTTTTAGATCATATCCGCCTTTTCAGTTTCACAAGGCAACGGATCTCGCTTCACATGTGTGGCTGCGGTTCCCACTTTGCCAATTGCTGTTCAACTCATATGTTCGTTCAAGGAGAGGAAGTACATTGCGTTCCCTGCTGCTCGACAGCTTGAATCTGGAAGTCGCCCCAAAGTCAAACAATGGAATGCTGGATTTGACCTGCTCAATTCCGACCCCACCCGTGATCATTTGGATGGAAATTATTTGCCACCTTGTCCAATTGAAATACTGGCATGGCAAAAAAAGAAGGCGCTGTAAGGAGCTCGGGCCATCCGCACGCTTGGGGCGGTTTGACGAGCCGTAGCCAGGTACGCGTTCAGCGGGCCCCGCAGCCTTGGGCTCAGACGGAATCGGTGGAGGCTTTGAGATTAGTGTGAATCAGTGAATTGGTTGTTTCCCTGGAGCCCTCAACCCTGGATTCCCTTTTGGTCCGCGTTTGAACCTAGCTCACAAATGGTAGCCTAAAAAACACACTCCGAACTCCGAACTGTTGCGTTTGGGGCGCGCCTGGGTCGGGTGGCGCGAGGGTTCAGGCATAGTTCCGGGAAGGTTTCCTGGAAGTTCGGCTTTGCTCATTGGAGGCAAGCGGGTTTCGGAGAGGTTCCGAGGCAACTCATCACAGGAAAACAATGCGAGCCCGCTTGGCTGACACTTTCATTCGTGGACAATATCTGATACTCAAGGAATGACGAGCCCACGCTCCGGGCTTCTTAGGGGCCCCGAACCGGGACCCTCTCAATGGAGGGGGAGGCAGCCACCACTTGTTGATAAACCTGCCACCTTCCTGAGCTCGTTTTGCATGCCAAGAATTTGGGTTCCACTAAATGGTGCAAAGAAGCGAGCCCGCACGAGCAAGCCAAGGGCTCAGCGTGTTCTATGATTGAGAATGCATTGGCACGTCTCTGACACCTACGACAGCAAGTTGAAGTTCATCGGCGTCATAAATACGCTCGTGCGAACTAAAAGGGAATCGTGTTGAGAAACTCCGAGCCCGGCCTAGGCATAGAGGCTTTGGTGGCATGGGCGCAAGGAGGCCTGGTGGTGCGGGCGGGCGAATCCACGCAAAGTGCCAACGGCAAGCAAGAAACTAGATATTTCCAAGTGTAGATAACAACTTCCGACAACTTCCGAAATTCGACAAGTGATACATCTTCGCGCCAGCAGGCCAACAGCATTGCCTTGGTGGCCTCCATTGGTTGGCAGATGGGCTGCGCGGTTTTGGGCGGGCGTGACTCGCGATGCGTGGCTCGGGACTTGGCTGACCAAAATGTTGGTTTGTGTCCTTCTGGAGGCTATGATGCGAGCTCGCCCAAAGATGATCACTCTTTGTGTTTTTGATCAAGTGATTGACTCTTTTCACCAGGCGTTTGAAAATGCAGGCAGAAGACGCCCAATCACACGACGGCAGGTTGCAACTCGGTATTTTTGTGGTCGGCCTTTTGACAGGGGCCCTGATGCTTCCTTGGGGGACCCAACACGATGCCACGTGTGACAGGGTTGCGGGAATTGCCCGCTATGACATAAATGGAAGACCTTCCAGATGACGGATTCTCTTTTTCAACTTTCCCTGGCATTATAAAACTGGGAACCATCCCCGACCTTCCCCCGACCCTTTGATTGAAACCATTTCAGTCTGCGGATTTGGTCAGCGGCCAGGCTATAAGAGCCAAGAGCCGACCATGTATCCCTTCGATAGGCTGGGTTCAAAGGCTTGAATAGAACGGCAAGCTGTGACAAGCCCGCCACGGCGTGCCAGATGGATTGGACCCCACAGCCGTGTGCTTTCAGAGGAGTTGTGGGTGGCAAAAGAGATGGGCTATTGGAGGAACCCCGCTCCCGACATTGACCGGTTCAGTGCGCTTTTTTCGGTGGCGGTCGGCTGGAATCAAAAGCTGTGACAGGGGTGGCCTTGGGTTGAGCGCCGTCCAGGTCCGCTTTTCACCATTACCAGATTGTGGGGGCCCCGGCTTTTCTCCCAAAAAGGCAGTGCCAGCAGAGATTCGTTGGGTGCAAAGAAGCTGGATGAGGTGTTTGGCAGATTCGCGTGCCTGTGGTGAGGGTACCCAATACTGACAGTGGTTTGCAGTAGTGGGATGAGCCAGGAGTGTACCAAACAAATCCCAAAAGTAAAGTCAAACGTGGGCGCAATGAATTGAATATCGACAGTTGCTACTGCCGCTCGGTTTGGGGTAAACGCGTAAGTCTAGCTTCCGTCACCAAATGTCGAAGCTCTTATGGCCTGTTTCTAGCTTATCCTCCCAAGTTGCAATGGCATGCTCCTCTAAAATCCTGAGACTCTTGGTGCCTTGCACTGGGGCACACAGCTGGATTATTGCAGTGCCGCAGCACTCTGTTGGGCACAATTACCTAGCAGGGAAATTTGTGGGACGAAAAAGGAGCCAAGAAAGACATGACAAAACAGTCAGAAGAATCTCCCGGAAAGGTGATTTGACACAACTGTGAGCTTCCCAACTAGATCCAGGGTCTTTCGGGCTGATACCGGGGTGGCATGATCGCACATGGACGAGCCCGACTTGGTTCCAGATGGCTTCGACAATCTTTGCGAAATACGGGCCGCGGCCCCGGTGCAAAGACAGGCGTTGTCCATCAACACAGCGACCGGGGCTTTGATTCATGGAGATGGGGGCTGGCCATGATGGGCCTCGTAAGGGCGGAAGGCTTGCTCTGAGCTCAAGCTTCTGTGCGGGAGTGTAGTCGCTGCCCAGGGATAAAAGAGTACTCCTCGCTACAGACTGGTTTGCGGGCTGCTTAGGGCTGGTTTGGGGATGGCCTGGGTTTGGCAAAGGTTGTCTTTGGATTGGCCCAGCTCTAGTTTATAACTGGCTCATGCTTTGATTGGGTCCAGGCTTCAAACAGCGGCCCGCACCTTTTTTCCGCGCGCTCCTCATTGGTTTCTTCCTTTGTTTTGGTGGAGGGGCAAGCAACCAAACACTCGAACACTCGTGCACAAGCTGCTTGCGGCCAGGGCGTTTCCCTTGCCAAGTGCCTTGCTCAGCCCACTGGTACCAACAAAAGGGATCACTTGCAGCTGGGTTGGATTAAAATGTCGGCTGGCCAGGCTTTTTTTTCCCGATTGGCGCATGGCTGGCACGCATTTCATATGCGCGTGTCCTAATCTTGGGAGCCCCCTTCAGGCCCATGTGAAGCACCATGAACATCCAGCCGCTGTTTCTTTGTGGTACCGAGTTGATTCACATATAGATACATAGCCCTTTCAGTTGCTTCTCCCACTACCGCTTGGGCCTTTCTGTTTGATGAAAACCCCCACTGAGCACGAGGGCTTGAGGGGCCAACACTTCAGGCGTAGCCTGAGATCGTCGATCCTTCCGTGAGTCCATCACTTTGCCTGTCACAAACTCGCACGCCAATGTGTAAGCCGACCTGGCACACCCGGATGCCGGACACTGCATTTGGTAAAGCTCACCTTGCCAAATGCTAATTATCCATGCTTACTTTTCCTGGATCCATCTAGGGATGGCTGGCCATACCAAGTCGACCATAACCTTTTAGCAACTTATAGCTCCATGCGCCTTACGCTGGCCCATTTAGGTTCTACATCGTCGGGGTCCTTTTGGTCGGCATCGGCGCCATGATTTGTTTGGCCGGCTCAGTTGGCAACCGCTCCGGAGATTCGGGGTGGTGCTGAGCACTTTTCAGTTGCCCTTCCTTTGCAGGGAAGCAGCAACCAAAGTGCGAGCCGCAATGAACCCACCGCATGGGTCTTCAGCAAAGAGCATGATGCACTGGCCACCTGGCCAGGCCTCCTTGATCCAGGTGCTCCGGTCGCTATGCCGAGTCAGCCAGAGGCGAGGCAGCGTGGCCATGAAGTCGCAGCCGTTGTTGCAGCCATGTAGCCATGGATGTCCGTGTCAACTTCGACGAGTAGTCACAGATAGGCAAAGTCATTTGCCACCCTAAGGATCCCAACTCTTTTCGGGGCGTCGTTTGGCATTGGGCCCTCAGGGACAGAATGGCGAGGGGCCATAGAAACACGACCCCTCGTAGCAAGGGCCCCGGCTGCTCGGCGTCTGCAAACACTATCGATCATTCAATAACAACCGCTTTGACACTTACTGGCCCACACACCGTCCTGGCCGGCAAACAGAAGATTCAGTTGCCACGGGCAAATCGGTGAGCCCAAGTATTTCCTAGCAGACACAGATCTCGGACGGCTTTCCAACATCTGCTTTCCGACGGCGTTCTCACTCATGCTGGCATTCCGCGGTTTCTGCAAACTGTCCGACGGCTTTCCGGCGGTTTCTCGACGTTTCTGACGGCTTCCCGACGTTTCCGACGGCTTCCCGACGTGTTCCCGACGTTTCCGACGGCTTCCCGACGTTTCCGACGGCTTCCTGATATTTCCGACGGCTTCCGGACGTTTCGTTTCCGACGGCTTCCCGACGTTTCCGACGGCTTTCCGACGCTCGGGCCCTCGCGGGCCCTCGGTTTGCCTAGTTTTGAGGGCCCAAGCGTTAGCTTCCCGACGTGTTTCCGACGCCACAACTTGACGCGCGCCGTTCTAATCGGCACTCAACTGGCCCATAAATACAAACTGTGACTTTACGCCATTGCAAGCCAATAGCAGCGATAGCGTAACCAAAGGAATTTTGCACGGGGCTCATGGGCCTGTCAGACACACACACGCAAACAAGCAGTCAGCAACCTTTTAGCAAGCACGGGATAACACGGGACTCCTGCCAAGAAGCTGCGAAATACCAAACAAATGAAGACACATCACCAGCCCACAAGTACATCCGAAACAACAGGTGACGCGAAAGCGATAACACTGTGGACTCAAGCCGCCCAGCCTTCACCCGAATTATATATCTGAAAAACCGAATTTTGTTCTGCGCAGGGGTGCCGTTGCGGCCAGTGGCCAGTTGGGTTTCAGACCTTGTCGCGTGCGCTCAAAACGGGTCTGGGCCCCCGGGGCGTCGAATTGTGAACTGCCAGAGCCCCGGAACGTCGTCACCAGGGTATTTAGGCCGGACCCTTTCAATGCACATCCCGACCCTTCCAACGCACATACCAAAGAGCCTTGCAGGCCTGCTTCTTCTCGTTGCTCCTATTGTTGTTGCTGCTGCTGCTGCTGTTGCTGCTGTTGCTGTTGTTGCTGCTGCTGCTGCTGCTGTTGTTGTTGTTGTTGTTGTTGTTGTTGTTGTTGTTGCTGTTGCTGTTGCTGTTGCTGTTGCTGTTGCTGTTGCTGTTGCTGTTGTTGTTGTTGTTGTTGTTGTTGTTGTTGTTGTTGTTGTTGTTGTTGTTGTTGTTGTTGTTGTTGTTGTTGTTGTTGTTGTTGTTGTTGTTGTTGTTGTTGTTGTTGTTGTTGTTGTTGTTGTTGTTGTTGTTGTTGTTGTTGTTGTTGCTGTTGTTGTTGTTGTTGTTGTTGTTGCTGTTGCTGTTGTTGTTGTTGTTGCTGTTGCTGTTGCTGCTGTGCTGCTGCTGTTGCTGCTGCTGCTGCTGCTGCTGCGGTTGCCGTTGCTGTTGCTGTTGCTGCTGCTGCTGTTGCTGTTGCTGTTGCTGTTGCTGTTGCTGTTGCTGTTGCTGTTGCTGTTGCTGTTGCTGTTGCTGTTGGTGTTGTGTTGGTGGTGGTGGTGGTGGTGGTGGTGTTGTGTTGGTGTTGGTGGTGGTGGTGTGGTGTGGTGTGGTGTTGTGTTGTGTTGGTGTTGGTGTTGGTGTTGTGTGTTGGTGGTGTTGTTGGTGGTGTTGTGGTGTTGGTGGTGCTGTTGTGGTGTTGTTGTGGTTGTTGTTGTGGTTGTTGGTGGTTGTTGGTGTTGTTGGTGTTTTTGGTGTTGTTGGTGTTGTTGGTGTTGTTGGTGTTGTTGGTGTTGTTGGTGTTGTTGGTGTTGTTGGTGTTGCGGTTGCGGTTGCGGTTGCGGTCGTTGTCGTTGTTGCCGTTGTTGCCGGTGTTGCCGGTGTTGCCGGTGTTGCCGGCGTTGCCGGTGTTGCCGGTGTTGCCAGCTGCTGCCAGTTGTTGTTGTTGTTGTTGTTGTTGTTGTTGTTGTTGTCGTCGTCGTCGTCGTCGTCGTCGTCGTCGTCGTTGTTGTCGTTGTTGTTGTCGTTGTTGTTGTTGTGCTTGTTGTGCTTGTTGTGCTTGTTGTGGTTGTTGTGCGTGTTGTGCTTGTTGTGCTTGTTGTGCTTGTTGTTCTTGTTGTGCGTGTTGTGCTTGTTGTTGTTGTTGTTGCTGCTGCTGCTGCTGTTGCTGTTGCTGTTGCTGTTGCTGTTGCTGTGGCTGTTTGTTTGTTTGTTTGTTTGTTTGTTTGGGTGTGTTTTTGTTTGTTTGTTTGTTTGTTTGTTTGTTCGTTTGTTTGTTTATTGGTTGGTTGCCTGGTTGGTGGGTTGGTTGGTTGGTTGGTGGTTGGTTGTGATTGTTTGTTGTTTGTTCTTGTTGTTGGTGGTGGTGGTGGTGGTGGTGGTTGTGGTGTGGTGTCGTTGTTGTTGCTGCTGCCACACCTCTACGCCGCCAAGGCATCCTGGTCATTTTTTTTTTTTTCCGAGGGAAGGGGGCAAGAGGAGAGGATGGGGCAATTCGGGTTGTTGCTTTTCCTTGAGTGGCAAACCGGCTGGCAAGAGGGTTCGCAGAAGCCACAAAGACCGTTGGACGTGTTGTTCATGGCGAATTGGCGCGGGCATCAGGCCGTTGAACGCATCATGCGAAAGTGCACGAAGAGTGCGGGAGTTCCCTACGGGTACAGTTTTCTTCCGCTCCCATTACATGTTACCAGCAAGCCCCATTTCCAGTCCCGCTTATTTGTGACAAGCCTGGAGCGGGGGCCAAAGGCCAGGAAAGTTCCTGTCTAGTGGCGGACTCATGAATGACTCTGCAACCCACAGCAGGATGTATACATTGGGAACCCCAACTCTAAGACTCAAGTTGGGTCGAGGAATAGCAGCCGCGCCCGTCTGATTTCACCTTCCGAGCAACTGTTGGCTAGTGCCTGAGCATCAACCCCAGTCCTAGCAATCCCTTCCCCTCCCCCTAAAGAAAAAAAGACAAGAGGGAGATAATAAACAAGCAGCCCTACTGGCCTTTCTCGTGGGAGGCTTCTTTGAAGAAAAGGTTCTACTCGTTCGCAGGGGTTGGCAACCTCTTTGCACACGGCTAATCCGTTTCATAGCCGTTGTGTGACTGCTTCCCGGCGAGGCGAAGCCCGCGCCAGGGCCACAGGTTGAATCGGCCCTATTGGATCCGGCCAGCCGAATCCACGGCGCGCTGAAGCCTTCAGCGTCCTGCTTTTGGTGTTCTTGTTCCATTGCAGGGCGCTTGAACTGCTTGCAGAGTCCGTGTGGAGACTTGTGCTGAGGCAGGGCGCGGAGAAGGAGGAGGCAGGGATTTCCTTTGATCGAGGTTTTGCCAACGGACTTGATATATATCAGGTTGCCTTGCATAGCGAGAACGTTCTGTGCGCACCGGGGGACATGATTTTGTTTGCCCAGTGATCCAATTGTGCTCAGCTGGTTCTTGCCATGCAGGGTCCACTGGCAAGATATTTTCCTTGTTGCGGCCCCCAACTTGGATTGCTGGAAACGTTTTCCTTTGAAGTTGCACCCAGGCAGAAAAGATCAAAGCAGCCATGGCTTCAATAAATATTAATTGCTGCCTACAAATTGCTGCCCAGACCACCCCCAAAGAGAGGTACATAATACCAGTATTCTCAGCACCCGCGCCCAGGCTGAATCCAAGAAGGACTCCTGAGCGAACCAGCACTTTTGGAGAGCCATTGCTATGGATGCTCAGAGGTCAGTCCTTGCACGCAAATGCATGGGCCAAGAGGCCCTTTGTGGAAGGTTTCCGTTGACTGTGTTTGAGTCATCGAGCTTGCACTTGTGCGGCCCGGGGCATTAGAGCGCATGCCCCTCACAGGGTGGAGGGTGTCAGAGACAGGCCATTGAGGCCCAAACACCACCCCAGCTCGTTTTGAATCACTCCCCAGGTGCCTTTTGTAATGTGACAAGCCTACTTGATTGAAAGTGCCCAGGCTGTATCCAAAGAGGACGAGGCGACAGCAGTGACAACACTTGTTGAACTGAAAGTGGTACAATGACGCTAGTCACTCTAGTGACCACAGTGAGATGGCCTCTTAGCTTCCCAATTTACGGACCTTTGGTCACAATATTTCCGTCACATGCCAGCTGGTAGACAAGTGCAGCATCGGGGATAGAAGTTCCGTGAAGAGGCGGGACTGGTGTTGCATCAGTCTGGAAATTTATCTCGCAGTAATCTCGCCCTGGAGGGGGAGATGAAGGTGCCTTTTGCAGAGATCCTTTTGCAGAGATCCTTAACTGCAGTGATTCACACAGGCGAGTTGCTTGGCATCGCATCATTCCGACACCTTAGCAACTGCAATTAATTGCGCTTCCAAGCGCCAGAGGTGCGAGGTCGCACGGCAGCGGGATGCCTTGATTTAGGCGTGCCCTTACGAATGTCAGTGAGGGAAACATGTTCCTGCGCATTTTTGCTGGCAAGTGTGCATTCTGGGCAGTTTTCTCATTTGGCCAAGCAAATGTGGGAATTAGACATTTGCAAAGCCACTTAAGCATGACGCTTGCTTTGGCCAATTGTTTGATCGCAAGGGAAGCGCTTGAAAGTGAAAGCGACGCAGAGTCCAAGGGATAAGATTCAGCTTCGGATTTTGGATTGAGACGCTGGCTCCTCGATTAACACATACCAAGGCAAACCTAGCTCCCCTGTTTTAAGTCACACAGTAGTCAAAGCATGGCTCACTTTGGTATGTTGGAAGGTGATATTATTTCACAAAGTCACTCGTTGCGTTACCTGGCATTCAAGACAATATGGCCCAGGGGCAAGTCGAGCATCAATGTTGGCCCCTACACACTTTAGCTGGGTCATGGGGGCCACTGGGCTCTTCTGGAGCCGGTGCCCATGCAGCCAGAGGAAAGGATTTGCAAAGTCCCTGTTTCATTGACAGCGTGTCCCACGAGCTACATCCTTTCCCTTGGGAAGCACTTCTCTTTCATCCCGCAAGGTCAAACAAATCGGGGGGTCAACATCACCCAGCAGCCATGTCGCACTTTGCCTTCCAAATTTTATACCAGCGAGCATGCACAGGAACTTCCATCATCGTGTTTCCAACGTTTGCGAAAATGATTGATCTGCAGTTCGCACACGGCGTGAATTCCGTACACTTTGCAGACATTAGGCTCTATTGAAGCCAAGGCTGCTTCTCCAAGCTGCGAACTGTTTTTTTTTCTAGCGGAAGCGCTTGGTTTGCAGTGTGACCCACCTTGGCCAAATGGGGATGAACATGCCCAGTGTATTTGTGTAATATGAGCTCACCCTGGCCAATGTGAAAGTAAGACTGCCTAAAGAATTCAATTACGCTTTGGCCATGATCGTGAAAGCAAGCATGGATATCGTTTGCTTAGGCAACACCAGGCATTGCTTGTTGGCTTGGGGCAGGGCGAGAACATGTATAGCATTCTGGCCCAGAAATTAAGCACCGTGAATGTTTGACTTAAACTGCCCCCTTGGAGCGCAGGGTTTTGAGTCTCTGAGGTTTCCTGCAACTGGAAGCAAGCTCGATTGAGAGCGCTGCGCCTCCATGTCGCCATGCTTGGGGGTAAGTGGAAGTGCACGCAGCGCCGGTGGCTGAAGCTGCAGCACCGGTTCTACTGGCGTTTGGTGCGCCGTGCCAAGCATGCCAAGCGGCCTGCCCAGCAGCCGTGGCGTCGGCGGCGCGTGGACCCGATTTCGGCCAAGCTGCTGGGCCAGGGTTTCCGTTTGCTGGAAGTTTTTTCTGTTGGGTGCGGTCTCCAGGGAGGCTGAGTTGATTGGGATGGTTGGGCTGGTTCGGTTGGTTGGGTGTGTTCTCTCTCAGTGTGTGGCTGGGTTGGGCTGGGTTGGGGCAACGTCTTGGTTGGTGTGGTGGGTAGGTGGGTTGGCGTGCTTAACATTCCCAATTGGAAGAAGCGTGCCTTCTTTTTCAGGCGGTCTTTCTCGCCTTAGCTTATTAACTACACTTGTTTCTTGCTGTATTGAATGTAATCAAACTGCTTAAGATTGTGCTTGTCTTTTTTGTTTGTTTTTGTTTGTTTTGTTCTTGTTCTTTCTAAGTGTCTCGTTTTTGACTCTTTTGATTTTCTTTTTGTTCCTCCTTCCTGTGTTTAATCCTCGCCATCATTGTTCATTTCTTTTTGCTGCTGTCAGCCGGGCTTTTGGCTGTCCATTGGGTTTATATAGCTACCAGGTGGTGTTCCACAATGGTTTGAAGGGGGACAACAGAAGTCGCTGAACATCTGGGAGTTAGCTAGTGCTCACGATGGGAGGTTTGCCGTCCAAGTTCAAAGATCGGCGGGTTGTTTTGCCACGTGCCCTCGAAAAGGGAGAGGGAGGGTGCAGAGGCTGGGCGAGGCCTTATGAGACCTGAGACTCCCTCATCCCCCGTAGATCTTAGGGGGTTTTCCGATTTCAGGGATGAACAGGGTGAATGGAATTGGGCTGTTGCAGCCTTGTTGCCATACGTCTATCTTGACATCCCGGCAAACATCTTTCAATCCTTCCATTACATTAGAGTATTAGAGTGGCCGCGCGAATCCGAAGGGTTTGTTCGGAAGGAAACTGTCGCCTGCATTGATTGATTTTGTCAGGGCTCACTGGCCCAGAATCATGTGGCTGCTGGCATTTGCAGGCTCAGGTTTACTAGTACCTTGTGTGCCTCTACTGCTGGCAACCTCCCCCAATTAAATCTCGAGCGCAGAATCGCTCCAGATTGGGCGGGGGGGGACCCATGTTCTCCAAACCAAGATGGGGGTAATCAGGTGAATTCTGGGGAGGCCAGGTTTTTCTTTCCGAAATTCTGCTCCAGGCCCGAAGTCGAGTTCCCTGAGATCTGGCTTCCGCCGGCATACCAAGACCCCTTCACGCGGTCCAAGCGCATCAGGCTGCCCCTTGGCCCAGGGCATATTTATCACCCAAAATGAAAAAAGCTCAACACCTCCCGAAGAAGTGCACTGCGACCTGTCTGGCTGGCTGCTTTTCAAGTTGAGAATGCCAGGATGGGATGTTCCAGCGAGCTAGGAAGGAAGATGTGTGCGCTGTTTGATCCCCAGTCTTCCTGCTGTTTCCTAGGTGACGATGGTAAACTGAGAGTATTTCTGACTTGGCCTTTGCTTGATGTCTTGGGGCCGGATTCTGCTCAACTCAATCGGCGATGGGTCTTTGTTCGACACCAGCCCTGGGACCGGTTCTTTCGTTCTTGACGGTTTGAAGTTTGGAATGGGGGCAAGAAGTTCGAGGCTGCTTCGGGAAGTTCTGTTTTCTGGCATTTTCAAGGCTGGGCACTGTGCAGGCAGAAAAGCCGTGCAAGTGTAGGATGAGCCCAGGAAGACCACCTTTCGAAATTGAAGGCAGTCAACAAATAGGAAACCGCACGTGTCCAGCTTGGAACCAACTTTAGGGTGGAATGGGGGAAGTTTGGCGTGTAGGGTTCCCATGAGTCCCAGGTCGAGCGTGAATGGATCGAGGGCAGGCCAACAGGTCATCGCCGGCAACCAATCTTGGGGTTCCTGAACCGCAAGCTGACGAGCTGAGGGTGTTGGCATTGCTCGGGCAGCCGCAAGATGAGCTGCCCTGGTCAGAGTGGGAGAAGGAGACTCGCTGCCAAGGGTCCCTTGGCTGAAAATAGTGTCCAAAGCAATAAAGCAGCGTGCAGGAGGCAAAGAGCTCGAAGCCATAGCTTGCGAGAGGCCCAGGGTGATGGACAAATATGTGATTGATATCAGCAGAGCGGGCATGTGTTTGCTTTTTTTTGTCCATTGTTCCAGCTCTTTGCACCACAGAGCTGTGGGAGCCAGGGCTTGGTTACTGCTTCGACGCGATGGACCTTCCCGTGCTAAAAGGTTAATAAATTGTCATTGCAAAGGCCTTGCAGAAGCATCGTACAAGCGAAAAGGCAAGTCTGACAGCCAGCCCCCAGGTGTTGAGTACGAACTGTTGCTCAGGGACCCTGACCTGGGCTGTCCGCCTGAGCTGCTGGCGAGACAGCCGCCAGTGCACAGGGCACTGGAGCGCCGCGGAAGGTGTTGGTTTGGTCTGACCGGATGGGGTATGTTTTGAGACGTCACGCAGTTTGCTTGGGGGAGGTTCCGCTTTCACGCTTGCAATTGGCCCAGAAGTCCCTCTCGCCTTTCATCTTCAATGGAGCTTGCATTTGCCAGCTTCGGCCCTTGCTTCTTTTTTGTGGGGGAGGGCCCTCCAGTTTGAAGGCCCTGGGAATCTTGAACCGGTTTCTAGGCAGTATGTCTTGATACCGAGAGGCGCTGGATCACGTGGGGGCCAGGAATTTGGTGCAGACTGCTAAAGTTAGCCCCAGATAGTGAGGGAAGAAGCAAACCTGCCACCAAAAGGCTTCAGGAAGCTCAGGCTCAAACATTCAGGCAACAGTCGAAGCCAGTTGAGTCAAGACCATATCAGGCAGGGAGTGCCATGCAAGCCCCCGAGCATGGGACAGCGCTGTTGGGCCCGCGCTTTTCTTCTTGTACATCGAAATGAAAGTCAAGGATGCGCTTTGGAGAGTGGTTGGGTGCCTCATTTACAAGAATCCCGGACCCATATGCCAGGGTCCCATTTACAGCCCCTTCTTGTTTTTGCTGTTTCCCGTTGGCTCTACTACTCCGCTGGTACTTCCATAGTCACAGGGCAAGCAGTTGCATGTCGGCACTGGCACTCCCGGTCTGCGTGTCTGTGCCTTCTCCAACCCAAAGCGGCAAAAGCTGAGTCAGCTCGGTGAGGTGCTGCGACCCTGGGGGGTTCTGCGCTTGTGGCCTCCGGCGCGTGGTGTGCCAGCGGGGCCGGCTTCCACTGGTGCCGGCGCATGGAGCTGCCCAAGGACAGCAGTTGCGTTCGGGGCGTGATGCGTTTGAGGCCACTGTAGTGCACCCTGAAGCTGAGTTCCGACAAGTTGCTTCAAGCCCCTGCCCGAAATGCCGGGCAAATGGTTTTATTCCGCTCGCGCAAAGGTACCTGCCGTTTGGCCAGGGGGCACCTGCCGTTCAGACCGGCCTGGGTTGACCAGGGCAGTGATTTAAGTGGCAGAGCTTACGATATGCAACGATCGTGGCGTGAGATGCAAACGTGCCCCCCAAGTTTCGCCGCAGCAAATTATTGGACAGCGGTGGGTAGTTTTCTTGATGCCCCATGCCCGCGCCTGTTTGTGCATGCATTTGATACGCCCGCAGGGGAGCAAGCAAGCACACGTAATGCATGCACACACGCATTCATACACCATATGTACACATACTCGCAGCTTTAGATACACATTCCACACGAACCAGCGTAGCAGACATTGATTTAGGACATGTTCATGCACATGCACATGCTCTGACTCTTGTTTGCACGCAGATTGCACTTCCACATGATTTATGCATTGATGCCCTTATGCAGTAGCACATGAAATGTGCTCATGAGTACATCTACTAATATACGTATGCGCATGCATATGGGTATAATGCCGTAGGTATAGATGATACATACTTTTGCGTAGCGTTCGTTCACTTAATTTCCAATATGCTTGGCGTGTGCATGTGCAGCCTTGCCTGTCACGCCACATGCGCCACCAACAGGTAGCTCCGAGTCTGCACTTTCTGAAGCCGCCCAACAGCGGTTGTTGCTGGAGCTGAGCGACGCCCGGCGACTGGGAGGATTCATCAGAAATAAGCAGATTGCATAGTTTCCTCTATGTGGGTAGGTGGAATCATGTGGAATCAAAGTATGCAATTTGGCGTGTGGGTAGGCAACGGGGAACTACACCAACGCGCGGGGATTGTGCCATCGGCATTCGCCCAACTGTTGGAGTGTCAGGGCACCCTGACAGCGGACTTTTTGTCCCTTTTTGGGCTGGGAATGTTGCAGCAAGGCAGCTGGGACGACCTTTGTAAGCGTTTGAAGGGATGCTGCTGTGAACAGGGCCCCTAAAAGGGCGCCTTGCGTTTCCCTTTGAAGTTGATTTTAAGCTCATGCCCTGTTGGAAAGACCGATTTGAAGTGAGTTTCTTTAGCGGCACGATGCTTCAAGGATAAAAATGGCGACTGTCTAAGGGAGTTTCCACTACCACCCAGAATTTCTTTTTTGCCAAGGGGGCACAATGCATGTTTCTTTCAGCTTCGGCTAGATAGTGGTTATATACCCCTCCTCTCTTATGTCAGCATCTAAGCCCTCTGGAAAAAGGCAGACTTAGGATTTCAAGTACTAGGACGACCTTTCGAAACACAGGATTTCTCAAGATGGACTGTGTCTTTCATGCAAAAGGTGCTCCCCTACCAACCCGGAGGGTGTTTGCATCCAAAGTGGATAGCAGTCGGCTCTTTCCGATGGGCAAAGCTGTGATTCTCCCTTCCCCTTCCCCGCAATGTCCAGTGCCAAGAGTCCATTCAACCTCCAAGGAGTGGCTCTACAATGCAGCGGTGTGCTTGTGGCAGCGGGGGAGGACCGAGGAGCTGCGAGCATCTTTCTTGGGAAAGCTGAAAAGGTGCCGGGGCGTAGATACTCGGGGATGCTTGGATCGGTAGGGGGGCCCTTTTCACGCTCCTCAAAATGTGGTTTTGAACCGCATGGCTGGAGAAAACAGGCGCCAGCCATTTGCCAACAGCCAAGTGTGCCCGTCACGCAGCCTGGCCCGGCCAGGCAGACCACTTGGCTCATGTTCGACGGAAATCATTTTGAAGCCAACTTGAAGCCAACCGTTAGAGGGATCAGCCCATCCCTGAGCATTACCATGACGCAGGGTTCCCTACATTTGTCCCCTTACACGTCACCCCACCGACAGGAAGCTCGCTTTAACTTTTTCCTCGCAAGGGAGGGGGGGCATGATGGCGGGCGACACTTTTTTTGTTCTGTTTTGTTTGGCTGAAGCATTGCCTCAGTCAGTCGCGAGAGATGAGCCTGCCAGAAGCCATCCAACCAATATTAGCTCCTTGCTGGGAGCGTTTTGTTGGCCAGCGGCATCCCAAGAGTGAGCATGATGGGGTTTCTACTTCTCTCCCCAACATTTTGATTCACATTCAAAGAATACTGGGTACCCAGGGGTAGCCATCGATATGTCCAGATGAAATTACTTGGACAAGTCCAGGTCAACATCCTCAAGACTGTCCATGGAAACCGACCTCTCACACCTCGCGTGGTTTATGGAGACTGACTTCTCAGAGGTGTTCCCCCCAGAGGAGCGCGAGGACGTGATCATGCGGACGCCGCTCGACCTAGAGGAGTTCGAAGGTAGGGATTTTTGGGTTTCAGTTTGAAGATGGACGTGCCCTAGACTCCTAGACCCTCGGGCAGGTACTAAGGTCAAAGGCTCGAAATGCTTGCTTACTCGGCTGAGACAACGCTCGTGCCATGCAAGGCTGCAGATCGTGTGCGCGGACACCGCGGACTGGAGGCGCAGAGAGTCGCGCCAGCTTTCCCAGCATGACCACGAGGACAAGACAGGCCGGAGTTTGGATTCTGGCCGCCCGTTTGTCTAAAGCTTTGGGCTGGCCACGATTGGGGGCACTCAGGCCCAATGAGTCGAATGGTGAGGGGTATTAAGGCAAAAGCGATTTGGGGGAGGGGTGCAAGCAAGAGCCCTTGGGTGTGCGTCACCTGAGCTTTGCCATAGTCACTGGCCCCAAATCCCGCCATGCTTTGCAGATGCTTCAGGTCCATTATCCAAGGTTCTGCTGCTTCGACCTACAACTGACTGTTGTTTTTCTCGATGATGGAGCAAGGCGCACGGAAATGGCGGCATGCAGGAAGGAAATAAATTGTTCACTTGATATCAAACTGCTGGGGCTGGTCAGGGGTGGGATCCCATCAGTGCGGACAATAATCGTTTGAGCAGGACTTCTTTGAGTAGCGCAGTTTGCCTTTAACTTTGAACAAACACATTGCGCACAACAGCAATAATGTCGACCCCGGATGAATCCCTCTACGGATAATGGGGTGTTATCTGGTTTTAGTGCAGGATTCCCTCCAATCAGCGGTTTATCAATCCTGAGTTCCCATTGGAGAACCCGCACGGCCAAAAGCAAAATGGTCAAGCCTTCAAAGCCAAAACCAGCGCACAGGAGCGCATAGCAGCGCCATTCAGGTTCTTTCGCCGACTTCGCCAGGTACCAGGGCGGTGCAGCAAGACCAGCCCGTGGGTGTCCAGCCCCAGCTGCCCAACGCCGGGTAACCCAGGCGTGCACCGCATAACAATAATGCCGACAGCAAGCAAGCAACTCCACCCACGCACCCACCCACCGCGCAAGCAAGCACAAACACGAAAGCACGCACGCAGGCAAGCACGCACGCAAGCACACCAACACATACGGCAAGAACCAATTCAAGCACTCAAGCACCCCAGCACGTGCACAAGCACGCCAGCACGAAAGCACGCCGCAGGCAAGCACGCGAGCATGCCAGAACCAAGCACGGAAGCACGCGTGCAAGCGCGCCAGCACGCACTCAAGCATGCCAGCACGAAAGCACACACACAGACAGGCAAGCACGCAAGCACACCAGCACGCACATAAGCACGCACGCATGCAACATGCCAGCGTGTATGCAAGCACGCATGCAAGCACTCTAGCACGAAAGCACGCACGCAGGCAAGCAGGCAAGCACACCAGGGAATCGCATGCAAGCGCTCCAGCACGCACGCAAGCACGCCAGCACGTACGCAAGCACGCCAGCACGTAGGCAAGCACGGGTGCAAGCGCACCAGCACACAAGCACGCACGCCAAGCACGCCAGCACGCACGCAGGCAAGCACACAGGCAAGCACGCATGCAAGCACGCAAGCACGAAACGTAATGTTGAACCCCCCCTCCCCCTCCCCTGAACAGTGGAGCCAGTCTTCTGGATTCTCTTTAGGGAGTCTGGCTGGGAGGGACAGTACTTACTTTAGTATTGCTAGTGTTGCCAAGGGCCCCGTCTCAGATTCCCAGTACTTCCTTAAGCATTGCCAACTCTACTTTAGTATTGCCAAGCCTGACTCTCAGATTCCCAGTGCTTACTTTAGCATTGCCAATTCTACTTTAATATTGCCAAGGCTGGCTGAGGGTTACCCCATGCTTTCTTTAGTATTGCCAGCATTTCCAAGCCTGACTCTCAGATTCCCAGTGCTTACTTTAGTATTGCCAGTTCTACTTTAATATTGCCAAGGCTGACTCTAGATTCATTGCCAATTCTACTTTAGTATTGCCAAGGCCGCCTCTTATGCCGACTCTCAGATTCCAATACTTACTAGAGAATTGCCATTCCCAGTGCTCACTTTGGTGTTGCAATTCTACTTCAGTATTGTTAAGGCCCGTTATTTCAGCAACCAGCAAAAAGGTTGGACACTAAAAAAGGCCCCAACACAGTCACATTAAAGAGGCTCAGGGCTTATTGCGGGCAACCTTTTTGCGCGATTGTGTGCCCTTACTTGTTTGTAAAAGATGTTATCTTAAAATTGACGGTTTGGGGGCCACTTCAAAAAGGCATTCCCAATGTTTGCCCGGATTTGTTTGTCCGTTTGGCCGATTTCTTTGGCCCGTCGTTCTTTGCCCGGATTGTTTCCCGGTATCTTTCCAGCAACAGACATGCCACAATAAAGGGCCCCAAGCAGTGAATTATTAACGAAAGCTTTACACAACCTGCCATTACAGCGTGTGCAACACTACGCAAGCACACATGCACGCACGTAAGCACGCATGCAGGCAAGCACGCACGCGTGCACGCAAGTACGCCAGCACGTACCCACGCACACACGCAAGCACGTCAGCGCGAAAGCACGCACCCAGGCAAGACCGCAAGCGCGCAGGAAAGCACGCCAGCACGTCCGCACGCACGTACGCAAGCACGCACGCGGCAGCGCCGGAGAACGCGCACAAGCACGCCAGGGCGCACGCAAGCACGCGCGCAAACACGCCAGCACCAAAGCACGCAAGCGCGCCACGCCAGCGCGCAAGCACGCACACTGCACGCCAGCGCGAAAGCACGCAAGCACGCCCGCAAGCACGCACGCAAGCACAGCAGCGCGCAAGCAAGCAAGCAAGCACGCGCGCAAGCACGAAGGCAAACAAGCAGGCAAGCAAGCGACCGAGCGACCGAGCGAGCAGCGCCAGGAATCCAACCAACGAACAAACTGAGAGACGAAACAAACACAGCGAGTCGAATCCATTCACTCAAATGCAAACCAAGCCAAGCGAACCAAGCAAACTGATTAATCCAATCGACCGAGCACATGAACGAACACGAGCCCAGAGCAACAAATGACCACACAAAGAAGACCACCACGCGCAACAACAAAGGGACAAACAATAACATTGCAAGCTGTTTGTCGCACACACACTTGTCCAACTTTGCTAGCAAAGAAGCGGGTCAGACAGCCAAGAAAGCATCATCAAATTGTAACGAGTTGCCTTCGTGCTTTGGAGGTCGTAGCACCGCCTCTGCCGGTTTCTCTGCACGCAGCATGAGGACCACATGCACCCCATATCAAAGTGCAACCGCCGTTTGGCAATATTTTTACATGTATAGGCACACATACTCGGAACTGTTTTGTTGTAGTGGTTCACATTGTTGGAGCACATTTGCCCAAAGGCCTGCCCGCAACAGCAATCGTTTGCCAAGTGCCCTAAAACCCTCTCAGGGGAGGGGTCCGGGCAAGGGGGGGGGGGCGGGCCGGGTTTCACGCAGGTTCCGCGTCAGCTCGTCGCTGAGGGCGTTGTGTTTAGGCGTTTAAGGCTTTCTAGCTGTTTAGATTGGGAAGTGGGCCCAGGCTTGCCTAGAGGTGCGTGCAAACGATCGTCACCTGGTGTCCCAAAACTCGCAAGTAGCAGGTCGGTCTTTAATCCTTTTAGCAGACTTTGACAGCGACCGCTCGAGGACAACCCGTGGCTTTTGCGAGTTCAGGTGCCAAAGTTGAAGGAGGAACAGCTCCCCGAGTGCCACTATTATCTTGCGCCCGGCGCAGTAGGCAGCGCTTGTCGATGCTTGTCGATGAGGATGTCCCAAGCAGTTGTCAGAAGTTTGGGTTTGTTCAAGCAAGCCCGGGCGCGGCTGGACAGGCAAATGGCTGGCATTGGCATGTTCCTTCATATTGAAAATCCGTTCGGTGATGTTCGCGGTTGGAAGGGCCAGAAATTTGTGACATTTCAAGAAGGTTTATGAAAACCCGGTTAACTTGAATTTAGTCTTCGGAGGTCCCTTGTGTCCAAAACCCTATTTTACTGCCAAACAAGAAGGTTAAAAAAACCACATCGCTTGTGGGAAGCAGTCTTGCAGCTGGAGTGAGCATTGTTCGAAACATGAGGTCGTTGGGACTGGTGCTGACGCAAGGTTGACAGTCCCAGTCGCCCGTCAGGCCTGTGGAGAGTTGTGAAGGACAGGCTCAAGGAGCAGGGGTTTCTTTTGCACACGCAACCTGACAAAAACCACCAAAGGCACTGTCGTCATTTCCTTTGAGGGTTTTGGGAGCATGTGTGAGACTCATCTCCTGCGACGACTAGCCAAAGAAATGTTGAATGTGCTGCGCCAGGTCGTCGCGCGCCGTGTCACGAAACGGTCGCAGCAACACTTGCCCTTGCAAACTCATCTTGCTGCGCTTCTTGCGCGCAATGTATTTTTTGTTGCAGCGGTTTCTTTGCGATAGCCTTTTGGAGCGCTAGCTAACTTGCGTGCTTTGCTTACACGCGTGTTGCGTTTGCTTTTTGCATACGTGCTTTGTACGGGGTTTCTGGCTGCCAGCCCCTCGGAGCAAGCACGCGCGACATCAATAATTACCCCCAAATCATGCCTCCAAAAATATCCCCTCCCTTCAAGACACCCCCAAAACTATCTTACAACCCGGCGCCAAACCAACCTCAGAGGAAATCCCCCTGAGACCACCTGTCGCGAAATCGTCCCAAAGACACATCCGCCGAACGGGCATTTTTTTAAACATACGTCTCTGTGAAGACACCTTCCAACGACAGCCCAACAGTCGTCCCCAAAGACATCACCCACGACAACAGCAAAGACATCCCCAGCCAAGACACCTTCCAAACACACTTGCAGAGGGAGATAGTTGCGCAGAGAGCTTGTGCAGAGCACTGGCGCAGAGAACATGCACTGAGAGCTCTCCAGAGAACTTGCGTCGAGAACTTCCGCAGAGAAACGTGGGTCGAAAACTGGGGTAGACAAACTTGAGTAGAGAAGTTTGAGGCCAGAGTTTGCGCAGAGAAAGTTGCGCAGAAAACTTACACGAGAAATTTGGGCCGAGAACTTGCGCAGAGAGACTTGCGCGGAGAACTTGCTCGGACAATGCTCGGGACACTCTTGCTCAGAGATCTTGCTCAGAGAAAGTTGCTTAGCAAACTTGCGCAGAGAAGCATGGCGAATGAACCTGCGCAGAGACCAGTGGCGCGGAGAACGTGTTTCGCCTACTATATGTAATTCTTTCGGGCCGTTGTTCGGTCCGTGCATATGATGGTATCATTCCGGCCGCGCTGGTCGATTCCATGCGCCTGGGCCACCACTGCCACCAGGAGCCCATACATATTCGTGCCTCGGCGCAGGGTGAGAGGGTAGTCAGACGGAGGGACTTGGCGGCATGGAAATGTGTGTTTTAGCAGAATCCATTTGAGACCATCATGGAAGCCTTTCTTTCGTGAGCATGCCCCTAGCCCCTATTATTGCAAAGGCGCACCAAAATGTTGAGCCGTTCTTTATGCCCATGAGGTGATACATCGTTGATTGATGTCGACCAATGTTTTTTGCTGCCTGTGGTTGGACTGCGCTAGTTGCGTAAGGCCAAGTACGATTTGGGAAAGCATTTTGCAGGCGTCGTGCTTTTGCGTGCATCGCGTGGTAAGTGCGCAAACCTTGGATTCATCTTCGGCCTTCTCCAGAAGCACAGTTTACAGGTGTGCACTTTCACGGCCCCAGCTCGAAGGCTGCATTTTTTGAGCGAGCCGCAAAATCTGTAACGTAATTAGTCTGTAACGTAACGTTTTCACAGTGCGCACAAAACCGCTTGCGCAGATCATGTGCGCGGTGAACTGCAGAGAACGCGACCAAGAGGGCACCTCGCCCAGCAAGGTGGAGCTGAGCAAAAATTCACTTGCGCAAGGCCTTCCTGAGCAACCCACACACACGCATGAGGAAGAGTACGCAGGTGAAAGCTGCGCATGAGCCAGACAAAGCATGAGATAGATCGACGCGCGAGAGGGTATCTACTGGCTGCCGCCCTGTGTCGTCGCAACATCCAAAGCCCGCTGTTCCTGCTTGATCATGGCATTTCCACAGACAAAGGAAACCAACGGCAGGGAATCAAAACCAAAGCGAATAGGGAAGACAAAAAGGAAGGCAAAAAAAAGCCAAATGGAAATCGAAGAGAGCCTAAAAATACCAAAGGGGAAGCCAAAAAAGAAACGACAGAGCCTAGCCATTTGGGGACACCCCTTGCGGATGCTGCCAGAATCGCAGGCCAACCGCCATCAGCATCATCATCAGTATTTGCTGCGAAACGCGCAAGAAGTGTCGTGCGTTTTCTTTCTTACAACAATGGTGTTGCTGGGGGGTGACAGCCGCTGTCAGTAAACAACAAACAAACGGCGGATGTCAGCCACTACTCTTTGCACAGCCGAACGCCATGAGTATCTGGAACGAAACGTGCGAAACATGTCGTCTTTTCGCATCCTCAAGACCTCCAGGACTACCACAAACTGATAGTGATGATGATGATGCTGCTGCTGATGATGATGCTAATGATGATGCTAATGATGATGATGCTGATGATGCTGCTGTTGCTGATGATGATGGTAAGATACTCGCTACCTGATGTAGGTTTTTGACGGCTTGTTGAACGGCCGTCGCTGCTCTAGCTTCGAATTTCAGGGATGGATGCAAGCCATGCTTGCCTGGCCTTAGCCGGGGAGGCGATCGGATTCTGCTGGTTGCAGCCTAGAATACCTGGCAGTCGAGGGTATCAACGTGTTCTGGGCCTTCACCGGAGCGGGAGTGCGGGGGAGCAGGAGATCACTTTCTCTCTCAAAGAGAAGCCTAGTTTCTGGTGTGAGCAAAGGGCTGCAAATTTTGGATGGCTAGATTTGTGGCAGGAGACGTCGCGCGCGTGGTTATGAAGCCCCAGATGTAGCGACCCTCGCCGACGCAGAACGTCTGCCTTGTGTCGTCCCCGGCCATGTGGGTCGCACAAAGTGGAGTTCCCAGTGGAGACAGGGAGGATGACTGCCTGAGCCGTATGATTGTCCTGGCCGTAAAGTTTGACGGGCTGAACATTTCCAATCTTGCTTGCTTTCAGCTAGCAGTTAGGCGGAAGCTCATGCATACAGTCCATCGTCTCCATCCTCTGAAGCAGCTGATCATTTCTTGGAGAAACTGCTCCAGCTCAAGCGTAGTGAATCCAAAGTAATCTGCTCATGCAACTGCTGTAAAAGGACCATGAGAAACCCATGGGAAGGACACTGAGACATGGGGAGATCTCTGCATGATCAGTGAAAGTCCGTCAAAACAGTTGGGCAGCGAATCTTGAGAAATCTCTCTTGCTTCTCTCACAGTAGTGTCACCCGCAAAGCACAAGAACCGCTTCATGTCTTTTGGTAGCTTGCAAGCATAGAAACAGTCCCGTATATCTGCGCCTCCGACGAAAAAAACAGTTCCCCAGCAGCTTGACACTCACAAAGAGCTGCAGCTGACCCAAGTTCTGAAATTGGAGGAGCTTGAAACTGCAGACTGACTTGCAGTATCAACCTTTGCCTCTCGGTCGCCTCAATCTCTTTTGGCTTCTTCCACACCGAGAAGGCTCCAACTCTCCCTCAAGGCGCTGTACAGAAAGAAATCTCTTGAAGACTCTGCAGAAGGCGCCTGTAGGGTTCATTGAACCAACTTCGCTGATGCGGGTAAGCCACCTGGCAACGCCAGTCGCTCGAGCCACAACTGCGCTTCGAGCAGCTGCCAGTGCCTACGAAGATGTGATTGGCGGCGTGGCAGGAGCTGGTCCAGCGCCTCGATGGCCCAGCCCATGAACTCGCACGGGCCGCTGAGCTTGCCGCCAATCATCAGCTGTTTGACGCAGTGATAATCCGAAGCCCCGATCAATGGGATATGCTTCTGCCAGAAAGCGGACTTGCCAAGAACATGCCAGGCGTGACCACTGCTACAGGCGAAAAGGGCTTCCCACCCCGAAGCAACGAAACGAGCCGCGGCTGCGGGTTCGGCAAACTTCATTCCCCAAAATAATCGAATACAAGGAGTCCACGACCATGTTTGTACGCCTCTGGATTGCATCTCTACGTTGGATCCTCTGTTGAGCACTGCAGCAAAGACTCTTCTTGGCCACCCCTAGCCAGTTTTGGTAAAGGAAAGATATCCCATTGACGCAGGTCTTGGGGTTCGAAAAACCGAGTTCGCCCGGATTGCTTGGGTGGTTTCGACTCACAATGTGCACAGCCAGTTGCTTCTACTTTACAGCCGCCCCGGAGCCTGCCTTATCAGCCCCGTGCTTGACGCGGGGCCATCTCCAGTTCTTGGCGGCAGCAACGAGTGCACCGCAATGCCCTACTGCGACAATGTTCACATTCTGAGCAGGGACGTGGGGGAGACACAGAGGTGCAGTGTGCAGAATTTCGGGAAGCAGGTTTTGAAATTCACCAGGAGACGGCAGCAACTTCAGTTATGCAAGCCCTGGGCGGTGTTGTGGGTGCGCGGCAGGGGCTGGTCATACCTACGTTATGCAGATTGTGGAATATTATCCTTGCTGCAGCAGGACGCCGTGCGACGGCTTTTGGGGCACGCTATGACCATTTGTGTTTCGCGGCGGGGAAGTATGTGCGTGTCCAGGGCCCTGCTTGCAGGCGCCTCGGACGCATGCCTTTGTGGGATAGCGCACGGAGGGAGTGTCTCAACTTCTTGTCCATCACGCCGCTGCTGGTCGAAGATCTTACTAGGGTCTGGTCTCAAAGGTGACGCACACAGATGCTTCCCCAGATGGTTTTGGCATTGTTGTTGACACCGATGTTGAAACCTCGGTTGTTGCTGGGATGGGAAGGTGGAACGAGCTTTGACGATACAAGCGGCTCCCGCCTGCTGAATGTCATCACTGAGGCCGCAACCGATCGGGGAGGCGTCCTATGTTTTTCACAAGAATGAAGAGTTTGCGGAGGTGGAGACATGCCTCAGAGCGAGAAGGGCTCTGAAGGGCTAACGCCGTTTGATGCCCTCAGAGCCGGCTGCCCCTTCCAAAGCTCGTGGCGAGCTAGCGCAGGGCAAGAGGGAGATGGCCATCAAGATCTATACCTGCGGCCAGGGTCCTGGAAAAAATGTGGTCCTTCCCTCCCACTGGCAGAAGTTCAATACGGAAAGCTTTCGGTCATCATTTGGGACCAGGACAAGGATAAGCCGGACAAGACAGGAATCTTTGACAACACCTTCATTCTGGACAATCCAGAGACAGAGAGATGGCTGGGACCCACGTGGTGCGAACGGAAAATTTTTCAGTTCAGACCAGAGAAGTTCAGAGGAGCGTTACAAGCCTGGGATGACACTAGGCGAGCCTGCGTACATGTCAACTCCGGCACGGTGGGGCGAGCAAGGACCTAAACAGCAAGCTGGTGTGCGGGAGCGGGGCAGGTGTGGACGAAGGCGCGCCAAGTCAGGGAAGATCCAGAAGCTGCTGCAGGAGCTCAAGCCGCATCATTCGAAGTTCTGTCGCGGGGCCGTGACCAATGGAGAGAGCAAATCCCAGCGACAGAGGTCCTGGCGAAGAAAGATGATGCTGGGGGGTTGGCTTACAGCGGCCATGAGAACAAAGGGCTTACCTGCTTTTGCAATCGATATTCTGCGCAACTCAGCGGATGATGTGTTGAATCCGCAAGGTGAAGTTCATTTGGCTTGGGATGCCCTGGGACATTCAGCGTTGTGCGTAGGCATGATGGAATTGGACCGCCACCGTTGCGGGGCGACGCCTGGAGTAGAACGTAGAAACTGGACGAGGGTAATGCCTTACTCTGGTTCTTTGTTGAAATCATTCAAGCTTGCAATCGCTTCAATGTTCCGTGGACCCCTGCTTTCCAACGGCTCCTGCGCAAACATCATAGCACAGTCCTGGATTTCTGCTAGTATGGAGAACCGTGGAGAAAGCGAACCCGGGTGATGTATCACATCATTGATCTTTCTGGAAGTTGCGCAATCTGCACTGGTAGGAGGAATCAGTGTTCGCGCACACAGCGACCACATATTTTGCTTGAAAGGTGTCAATGCCGAGGGGGTGTTTTGGACGCTGGTGGGGCAACCGTATCCCCTGGCGCTGGCAGAGCAGATTGCTGACTGTGTGTGCAACCGAGTGACAGGGCGCTAAGCGGATATGGGATGCAAGATGTCTTTTTCCAAGCGTTCGCTGCCAAGACGGTAGCTCGATCTCACCATGGCTGAGATGGCTTTCAATCAATCGTGGATTGCTCCACCCTGGCCAATAGCAATGGCGGCGGACCTAAGTCACAATGGTGATGATGATGCTGCTGCTCATGATGATTGTGATGGTGATGGTGATGCGGGTAGTGATGATGATGATGAAGATGCTGCTGCTGATGATGATGGTGATGCTGATGATTCATTTACTTCTCAGGGTAACAAGGAATTGTTGCCAGCCTTCCTGTGCGCCTGCCCTTTTGCAGAAGGGGTCGGCTGACATATCTCCAGTTTAAGCCTGCATGTTCATTCACGAAACATGGGGAACAAGGCGGCGCAAGACTTGTCTCATAGTCTTGCACATGGTTGAGCCCGAATTCTAAACAACAGTCAGCCGCCGTTTGCGCTCACATATTGTTTGGACAGCCTTAGCTGGTTTGCGACCCTTTTTGAATCACGGCCAAGCCGGCATGAAACATGAGAAAAGCATGGCAGGATTTGCCGGTGTCGCTGGTTTATGCTTTCGGGCCATGGAGTAGTTCTCTTGCTTGGCACCCTGGTTTTCCAAACCCAAACAAATGGCTGCGTAATTAGAAGTGTTCCATGCCACACCTAGACTATGTTTCCCAATGTGAGACTGGTTTTTTTGCCCCTGGACTTCAACCCATCAACCCCAACATGCTACCCCAGGTGCCGTTTGGTTTTTTACATCCGTTTTTCAAGCAAACGTGGGCGCGCCGCCTGCCCAAATTCTCAAATTCTTGCCTAGACCTTGACGAGAAGTACGGGCGACCAGGGCGGCTGGCCCTAGGCGATTGGGTCTGGGGTGGGCAGGGATGTGTGCAGCCAGTCAGGACCTAGTTGGATGTTGGGAGCGCGATGCCTGGCGAGGCATTATGGCTCGATATCTCCAAAATCCGAACGAGGAGAAGGAGCAGCGGTGGCAACTATTTTGGAACAGGGTCCACAAACCTGAGGAGAACCTGCAGGACGGGATGATGCTATTGCTGGAGGGATCGCGTAGTATCGCGCAGTTAAAATTGCCGATGCCAGTCTTTTGACACCAGTAGGTACCCCACCATTTGATGATTTGTACCAGATTAGATGGCTGGCACGGTTTCTTGCAAGGCTTGTGCTGTTTGGTTGTGATGGAATGGCGGGAAGGGGGCCTCGTGCTAGGTTGGCACTTCATCCTATACAGCTTCAGGGAGTGACCAGAAGGATCCGGCATGGGAGGTGGACCCGGTGGACGCGGTGGACGCGGTGGACCCGGTGGACCCTGGGCTCAGCCCTTTTGGAAGCATCGAATTTTCCTTTCCTTTAGCGTTAGATAAGGCCCTGACCTTGGGAATCGGGAACAAGGACTTCCAAGGACTTCCCTGTGTTTCCCCACTGCTTGCAGCTGGTTTCCCAGTTCGTCCTTTTTTTTTGGTGATCCGAGGAGCCATCTTTCACGCAGTCCAACAAGATCTTGGTGCGTCGGGCCAGGGAAGCGCCCACCTGGGACCTGCAGACGAGGTGCGAATGCGTCAGCCAGCTCTTCATGGCCTGGCAGCAGGCCTCGCGCTGGCCAAGGCTTACCTCCAATACCGCCTGGCTGTTCCAAGATGGCTGTGGCTCAAAAAAGTGGTACCCGTTTTTGGGCCCCTTTTAGGGAAACAAAGACCAAAACCTGCGTAACCGCAGCTCTTCAATTTTGAGCCACACCCAGATCACCCAAAGTGAAGTGAGTCAACACGTGAGAAAGCTCGAATTCCTTCCTCTTCAACCGCAGCAGCAAGGACAGGTCCCTTCAAGCTCAACGTAAAACAACTTCGCGATCAACCACTCCACACCCACCAACCCACCCAAGCCAACCCTCAACCCACCCTGGATGTCGAGTGAGTTTAGGATTGTTTCCGGTGGGTGCAGGGTGAAAAGCCAGAAACCAAAAGCCGCAAAAGGGCCGCAAAGCTAAAGGCCTTCCCAGACTTTGGCTTTGAAGGCTTGTGCAAACGACCCAACTAAGGCAACAAGCATTCGCCCACTCCAGCTGGGGGCATCCCTTCAAATAGAGGGGCTGTTTTTGTTCACAGTTGTTGGTTCCTTTTGGACAAGTTACAAGCTACAAGCTACTTGGCACCAAGTGGTCAAAACAGCTCAAACGAAGGTGTTACATTCACCGCGTGCTTATTCTGATGCCAAGGATGAGTAGCCTATCCCTGAATAAACCGTCAGCTCATCCATTCACCCAGTGCAAACATGTGCAAACCAGGTTCAAACCCACCCTTACAAGCCCAAGACCACCCGCCACCCTTGAACCTCCTTCCCTAAGCCTAAGCCAGCCGGAAAAGAGCGCGAAACCAAGCCAAGCAAATCCGAGATCAATGAAATAACCCCCAAACAAGTTCTCAACACGCTACAACCCGGAAGCTGACCAAGATAACGAGCCTACCCTCCACGCCACGCCTGAGCCACGATGCAGAAAAATAGAACACGGCACGCCATGTTGGCCATTGCACTGCAATCGCAGGAAAGTAGAGATCACTTCAAACCTCGAATGAAGGCGGCGGCTTTTGCGATTTCATGCATATTCCCATGAAACCGGATAAAATTGTTGTGACTGCGCCTTTTTGAGGGTATCGTGCAGACAGCACCTTGGCGATTCGAATCCATTCCAGGCCGAGGGCCAGCACCAGGTGGCAGCAGAGCTCAATGTGATGATGGCCGAGGCTTAGCTTCGACCCGACTCCATTTGGCTGTTTTCGACAATTGGCGCTGGGTTGGGAGCAAGGCAACGGCCACGCGATAGAAAGCCCTGAGAAGTAGGTTGGCTGCAGATTTCTGGCCTTTTGATTCTCGACTCAACTTCGGGTAGATCCTTTCAATACAATATTTTGATCGTGACTCATTCGAATTCTGGGCAAAGGGGGCCCATACAATTTTCCAATAGCATCTCTTCCTGCTATGCAAAAAACATGCAAACATACAGGGTGCAGGCACACGGCCCTGCTGCTTGCCAAAAACACGTCTGGCTTTTTGGACCCCGCACAACAGCTGCGCAATGCCGTATAAAAACGGAAGAACACACATTTTTTCAGCATGCTGTGCGAAAAGCGGGCTTTTCCCCGGAAATCTTGTCATTGTTCAGAGCCTTTCTGTTCCGACTTTTTGGGAGCAGCAATTTGTGTGCGGTGGTCCACGGATGGGCGCAGCAGGTTGGCCCTCGTGAGACACAAGTGGAGTGGGTGACTGGAGAAATAAGGTGGCCTTGGACGTTGCAACATTTTCTGAAGATAAACAAAGCATCACGTGAAATAAAGTGAAATTGTTTTGTCCATCAAACTCAAGGGCAACGTGAACAACTGTCAGATGTCTTGCCCTCGCTGCAAGCCGCGCAGCCCAATCGCTCAGCTCCCGGTTCGAGCGGCAGCCCGCATCACTGCCCATTTGGGCAAGTGGCGAGCGAGGCGTGGCTGGACTGCCCAAGGGCCCCTACCCCAGGTGAAATTTCCGCCGAAAGCTAAGTTGGAGGCTTGTTGGCGCATGCCAAGGATCTCTATCGCCTCCCTTTGGGCCCCGAAGTCCCGGGCCGTGGGCCGCTGGGCCTGCTGGTTGAGCTGCTGCCCTCCCGCAAAGTGAGAGAGGAGGCGCTTGGGGAGAGGGGGAGAACCCGCGAGGGACCCAACCTGGAACCCGCGCAACCTCAATTCATTACATCAAGCTTCAAAACGACGCTCGTTGGGGAAGAGCTTGTAGCTGGAGACCATGTTCATTTGCATGAAAATCATAGCCCTGCCCAGTGTTTCCACGACGACGTAGGGTTTAAGGCTTAGAACGCGCCCGGATTGTCCGTAAGGCCCCCAGACCTGCCCTTTCGAGCTGAATGCGCTGAGGGGCAGTGATGATTGCAGACCCCTGAGACTCGCGTTTCACCTTTGGATTGCGCACTTGGTCCCTAGGTTTGGTGCTTTCCAGTGCTTTTGTACTTTGTGAAGCAACGCCGGTTGCCAGCAACATGCCAGCAACATGCCAGCAACATGCCAGCAACATCACTGTTCAGCAATGGCTGATGTTGAAGACCCCTCCACCCCAAGCCAGCACAAAAGGACACCAAACAAGAATCTCAGCTTTAAAAGAGCAAATCGCCTGAACAGACGGCTACCGGGCACCCCGCTCCCATGAAGCACCGACGGCTGCTTTCCGGCGTTTGCAGCCTCGCAGGCTGGTCGGCCAGTTGTGCGGAAAAGCAGGGAGGCGGCATCGCCCTTGGCCCCACGGGCGGAAATTGAGAGCCTCACGATTCTGGTGGCGCAGTATCCCGGGGACTC